ACCACCCATTCGCTCTAGCTGGGCAAAAGAGGTGAACCAGAGGCAAAACGATTAATGGACTACGAATGGGAGGAATAGAAGTGACGGAGTCACATCGATTAAGTGCTTCAGACTCCAATTTCAAAGACAATTTCCAGAGTTCGGATTATTCAGATTATTAACTTAATATTGGTTGCTTAACTTTCTCCGATCTCGTATTTCAGCCATACGAAATTCTACCAGCAATGGAACATTTGTGGTTTCCCAAAAATTGTTCTAGTGTTTTTAGCAGGTCAGCAATGCCCCATCTTGTTTGTCAAAGGCCAGGCAGAGGAATGCACCAAATCCAAACGGTTGCTTATGCCTGCAATAGAACTGAGTGACGTTTAAACAAGTGGCTCTTGTATCAAAGTCTGGTACCGAATAAATCGCCTCCTGCATCTGTGCTGAAGACGAAATGCTTTAGACCAGCATTGCTCTCATATTGCTCATGACAAAGGCTTTCGTGAAGTTTTGAAATAAAGGATTAAGAACATCAGCAATAGCGACTCCCGCATGACAGTTTAGATGCATCTTTAAAAAATTAAGGCTTATTCATTATGTCGTGCGAGAAGACGGGTTAAGAAAACGATAAGACATTTTAGGCAAAAAAAATTATCTCATAAATTTACTTGCTAGTCGCTAACAGGTTTGGCGCTCAATTTTAAACTCAGTCGGAGGCATCACTCGCACTCAAGGAGGCTCGCAGACGCATTCATTTGAGGACTGGCCAATTATTTCGAAAGGCCAGGGAGGTGTCTGGTGAGCTAAATTTACAAGATGATTCTGAAAATGGCATAGCTGTAGCATTCTGAAATTCTCCTGGGGACAAAAGGAGACAGTGCTCTGGCAGAGTATAAAATCACCGACGTAATGAAGGAATGTGAGCGTAGGTGCAGCGGCAGTGAACCTAAGTGGATCCTTTGCCAGAAGCGAACTTTAAACAAGCATCCAAAGTATCGCAGAAGGTGACATTGCAACTTCAGAACAAACACCAATGCGAATGTTTAATGTCCTAAAAGATGTTGACTTATTCCCATCTTTCACCTTACCACGGTTTTGCTCATTGAATTCTAAATGTCAAGTTAATTAAAGAGCCTTTAATCAACTTTGTGCATCTAATCAGTCCATTTGCAACATTCCTTAAAATGGATCATAAGCCTAATCTACTAATTTTTAAAATACCTCTTTACTCAGGACCACGAATGGCTGAGGAGAGCATACAGACTACGCTACGGAGAGATCAGAGAATGGCAATTTCGAATCGGTGGAGCAGATTTGGGCACCACTGCCCAGCTAAGCAAGTTATTCCATCACCTCTCTAAGCCCCGCATTGAAAATAAGCTCAGAACTGCCGAATAACATCCACGCAAGGGTGCTTGGGGAAGATCTAAAACATGCCTTCTAAATTAACAGTTTACCATTCAACTTTCCTTATCAAACAGGCGTGTAATCTAGTCGCCATTGGAGCCCTTGTCCCTCGCTTCCCGTGTTTCTGGCCACACCAAATCTTACTGTAACACTGTGTCTAGAAAAGTTACAAGTTATGCGCGAAGATGGTGAGCTGCTGTACACGCTGGTAAAGGTTATCGGTAACGCTCATGTGCGTTTCATTCACTGAATTTACGCGCGGTCCAAAATCCAGATGGTGTCGTTTTCAATAGCAATGACGATCTACTTCCAAGCCGAATTCGAGAATCCGACTTTTGCTTTGCATAGGGGCATTCCGGAATAATGCTTAGGATAGTTAAAAAATTTTTCTTCGTTTCTTAAATCCCTGAATTTCAATAAGGAGTCGGAGGCGGTTAGAGGTTGCGAAATTAAGGAGGTAAGTCGGGTGCTCTGCTGGACTATGGCTTTAACTATCCTGATTGAGCCAGCCCCACCTAACTGTCCTGCCCGCTGTCACCGCAGCAAGATACACCATAGCAGATTTGTTTTAGACCCATTTTGAAATTCTCGATAGGACGAGTTTCGACAAGACAGGTCCCAGCTATGGGTAGGCGTGTCACCCTTCCTACTGCACTTTGTCGTATTCGAGCGAAATTGGCGCCGCTATAGAAATCCTATTTCATTTCGGTGGTCGAATTTCTGAGATAATGCCTACATTTTTGTGGGATGTTGGGGGTAAATCAGTGATAAGGCGCTGATGAAAATGTTCGAGTTTTACCAATGTTGAGTACGAACGCCGTGAATTCGCAGATCAATTTGCAAGGTATGCAAAAGCGCTTCGACAGAAACAAGAACTTGCATTTCTTTAATGAGCTCATTGTTGTCTCCTTAACGCTCCAAATTCAAACTGAGTTATCAACCTCACAAAGTGACGAAACACTTCCTGTGTAAGAAAATTTATATGCATCTGAATGGAGGCAAAAGCTCAGCATTTTTCCCTACAGGAAAAAGTATAAAAAGAGTGAAATAGATCAAAGATGGCATAAAGATAGTGCTGCGGACTTGCTACCCAACATGTCGTCAAGATTATATCGACTTCTCTGAACATATAAATCTACTCAACTGTGTTGAGAACTGATAAGCTTTGGAGGAAATTATTATCCACACTCGAGCCTCTATTGTCAAACTAATCGAAATGTGCACCGCTACTCTCATCGAGCGTCTGAAGGCGAACTGTAATCACACAGTCTACAAGTGTCACCCTTCCCAAGGCTTCGGTTTCCATCATTTCCCCTAACGATGAATTCGATGAAAATTCTAGTTGCGAAAATTTCCTTAAACAAGTTGGTTTGCCGAAGGTAAAGAAATAAATGATGTCAGTGTTACTTTAATGTTTGGAGCTCAATGCAAGTCTCACGGGTCTATTTTAATCACTCGAAACGGTTCCCAACACAACCATGAGCGGCCTGGATTTTTACTTTCCAAGCGTGTTAGCCCGCGTTTATTTTGCCTTTTTGAAAGAAGTGCAAGCCATTTGAAACCCTTTCAAAGTTAACTCACGCGAGAAGTAAGGTGCTTTTCAAAACGCTGACTACAGGTGTGAGCACCTGACGTCACTGTCACTGAGGTCACCTGTGGGAAATGACCTGCAGGATTAAGCATTTCCCCCTTCTATTGTAAACACCTCTTAAAAGTGCATGCCTCCTACTTTACCTTACTTCGATGGTGCGCATATCACATTTTTCTCGACCAACTCCTAAATTTTGGTATTCGTAAAGACACAGAGGTACACAATCCCAGGTTGTCCTAGTTTTCAAGGGTCTAAGATGTACCCTTCCGCAAGACCTGCCCCCGGTCGATCGCAAATAACCCCTCGGGAGCGATCTTTTGGCAATGGTGACAGTACAGAAGAGCGACAAGAGCATTACCAAAACTGCCACCCTACACCAGCATGTGATAACTCGTTGGAGGTGAGCCGGACGATCATATTTGCGCGACAACGTTGTTTAGCGGACCTTTTTGCGATTAATCAACGTCCATAAGTCAAATTTTCACCACTTAAATTTGAATGGCCAAATGGACAAGATGAAGTTGCTTAATTTAGCCTCAAATACTTTTAAAGTTCGAGAGGACGCATTCCATTTTAAACAGAGCAAGTTAACGAACCGAAGAATTCAATTCAGCAATTCTTCAAGTCAATTCAGGAGGTTCGCGTTAGCCAAACGAATGCCTTGATTGAGAAATTTACGAGAAAGTAGAACTTGTGGATAAACCACGCTTCCTTTCTATGCAAGGGAATTTCTTCTGCTTAAAATAAAATGTCCTGCACTGCGCTCACGGACATTGTGACATTGTTTGGAGCTAAAGTACACGACTTTATTGCATCCTGAAATAATATCATCGCTGCCATGATGTTACAAACTCTTCTCCGAAGCGGTTTAGAAGCAAGAAAGGCAGCCAGCGCCTATTTGGAGCTGCTTTCGGATACATCTAAGGTAGAATACAGACTTTATTCAAAAGAGGATGAGAGATCTCATACATCGCCTTCTTCAAAGTTAATTAACTCACATAGCAGAAGGTATTTGCATATTGGGGCGAATAAGCAAGGATCAGGACAGGAAAAAAGATTTGAATCGAAAGGATCAATTGCACAGTTCACCCCAGCTGAGAAGTGGCAGAACTTTTATGAAGGCAAGTCAAAGCTGGTCTACACAAGACTACCTACTACCGGGAAGTCTAACATGACTATAAACCTGTGATTGTAAAAATAGGCTCAGCCAACCTTTGTAAATCGCAGGTGTTCTTGGCTCTCATTTTAGCTTTGAAATGCCAAACGCCAAACAAATGACTTTTCTAGAATGCCTGGAAAACCAGCTAACTGTAACGTATCAATCACAATCACCGGAATTCAAACACCTGATGAGCTACTCCAGTCGACAAACCGATGCAACAAACTGCTAACGCGCAGCATAAAGACCACCATTTGATAAAACTGACGAACGCTGTCAGCACAAGATCCCTGCTGGTGTACTTAAGGTGAATGGAACTGGTTTTTGTCAATACGGCTTACCACTTGTCTGCAACACTTGGCGCTCCTTCCGCCCCTCTTCCTCTCCTATCCTAACACAGAAATCTGTGAACTGTAGGAAGTGACAAAATTCGCCAATTATTCAAAAATCAAGCAGACAAACAAAAACTCCTCAGGTCTTTTGCTTGTTAACCTATAGTAGGAGACCTTGCTACCTTTACCCCTGTACTCATCGAGGTGTTCGTTTAAAAACTCACAAGTTATAGCAAAAGGGAGTGCATTGCCAACCAAGTTGAGCACTGCGCCTAACATTGCCACTAAGTCAACTTCAATTTGCATGCGAAGTTGCTTTTTAGTGCGGTTCTTAAGTGACTTATAGCATTCCAAGCTTTAATTTCGCATACTGGTGAAAAAGCAACGGGCAATCAACGTTAGTTCGCCAATGTAGAAACCGACCACGCAAAGAGCTATATTGCCGATTACAGACACGAGCATGGAGGGAAGGAGGACGAGGTAGGCGGGTCGCCAATGCACAGAATTGAGGAAGCACCACCTAAGACTCTCAATTTTTCTCCTGATAGACCGATTTTCCTGGATCCTCCTTTAGGGTCACCGTGCGGTTGAAAACCAGCTGTAAGAGCAGAGAAAGAAACTGAGTAATAAAAGCAATCCACCTTCTATATGATGGCGAATGCAAACAACAATCTGTTATGCCTAGCACGGTCTCATTCTGCTGAATGAAATGAAAAATTATCCCTGGTAAGAAGACCCGCTGTAACGCCGATGAAAAACGGAAGCGTTACAAGCCACTACTGAGCCTACATAAAAGACATCTAATTAGACACCGAACAAAAGAAAAATGGCATTTGTAATAAGCTAAGAGGAGCCATAAAACCTGAGTAGTGGAGCTCATAAACCGTATCCTTGAAAAGTCCTCACATCTTAGAGGACTGGTTTTCAGAAGCTCCCAGCACAGCGCACAATGAGTTCAATGTTAATAATGGACAGAAAATCATCCAAAGCAGAATTTGAAAATGAAGTGAATTACGAGAAAAGTAATTTCCTTAAAATTAGCAAAAATCACCAAGAGGAAATAGCCAAAGGGACCAACAGGTTCCTCAAAATTAAGATTATCACAACCCCAACTGGAACCGAGATCATGAAAAATGGTGGTGCCAAAGTAACAAATGGATCGTTTTAACGAACTCAAACAAAGCAAAGAATTGCAAGAATTTTGAAACCAGGAAAAAGTCAACTTTGTTAAAAAATTGTGGCGGAAATTCCACTTTTAGTAGCAGGCACTTCAGACGCAGTAGCCACATAGCCCCGCCAGCGCTCCAGTGATAAATGCTACTTCCTCCTGTTTAGGGTCGAATGACTGTTTCCACGCAAAGAGAACACTTTGCGCGAGTCTTGAAAGGCGGTTTAGAAAAGCTTGCTTGCGTAACAGATGAGCGAAAGCAAACAAGTAGACCAAGTACAATGAATCAAGGAAGGGGAGTGAATAAAGAAGCAGCGACGTATGCATGCACAAACACTCGCTCAACGCTGCGGCGATGTCGCGCATTATACAAACACTAAATGAAGAGGAAGCCTGTCAAAAAACGATTGGCAAAGACTGATAAATAAAATTACTTTAAGGAAACCTTCCATTCCTTGTTAAGCCCCAACAATGTACTGTTTCTGACAAACAACCGCTGGATGCCACAAATCAACGGAAGAAGTCTTTGGCTCTTTATAATCGAATGGAACCAGAGAAGCCAACGAAAAGTCGGGCGAACAAAACACCAAGTTATCGAGAGGCAAAAATCAGTGTTATAAAGGGCAATCGTCCCCAATATCGCCGAACAGTTCTTCTATTTGCCGACCTCCTATCAGCTAATGGAAGTCGAAGACAGCTCTGTTAAGAGACTGGGGTAACGAGGTGACCAGTCCTCCCAAGCCTTACTTCGGCGACAGGAATGAGTAGAGCTATTTTACATTTCCCCACCTATTTTGCTGTCGGCGCATCTACATTGATGAATAAATGTACTATGCCTTGAAGTTGTATTTTATAGTAGCGACCTATCTAGAAGACTACCAAATGCCCTATTCAGTGTTTCACCTCATTTATTAGTAAAATTGAAAACTCCAACCAATCACCTTGCCATCTTCCCCCAGAAAAAGCCGTCGATAAGGTGGTAATAACCTTTGGGAGGGATTTTAATTTTTAAAAGGCAGAGGGGAAAAGTAAAGGTGCACTGAGCAAGCACAAAACGGACATTTCGTAGGAACTTGTTGAGAGCACAACTTCCTTCGACGCCGCGCACTGATAAGTGTAGAAACTATTCTGCATGTACTTGACAGATTTGCCATAATGCAGAAAAGTGTTTCAATCTACTTTGTGCAGTAATGAAAGTGGGAGTGGGCTTTTAGCATTGCAGATTGCAAAGGCGATCTTGGCGAAATGCGAAGTAGGGGTGGCCGTAGAGGTATGCGTGGGCAATTAATCACATGCGGTCACTTTTTTGCACGTGTGTATGCGTGCGTATGTGCAGTTAGCCTGTTCTGGTGACACCGTAGCCAAAGCAAAAAATCCCTCATTCATACTTCCAGCACAAAGAAGCGTTTTCATCATTGAAGATAAGTCACTTTGCAATAAGTTATGAAATCGTGTTTTGTTAAAGATCACAAAAGTAAAACTGAACTTCAGTCAGCAAAGAAACAGGAGAGATAGTGGTAACACAAACCCACACTGCTGACATTGTCCTCGTTTCTGCTGCAGCGCGAAAGCATATAGACGTGAAAAGTGAACAATGAAGGGGGATAAATAGAGCGTTGCCTTCACACAAATTAAAAATAGTAAGCGTTAAGGGGAGGGGGAGGCCCTGCCACATAGAGGGACAGGAAATTAGTGGAATCAGTTTTATAGGATTTGCAGAGCGTGGCCTGTACAAACCTATCCTGCTTCCAATCATTAAGCAAGACAAATAAGACAATAACCGCACTTCCTTGAAATTCATTATTTGCACCATAACTCTGGGCAGATGGTCACCGCCATCGGCTATTTGTATCTGGCTAAAACGACTTCGTTAACACCAGGGAAATGATGTGATAAAACTTGCTCAATACCTCGTAAAAAGGGCCAACAAAACCGATTTCGGTTTTATTAAGTAAAAAGTAAGATATTTGAATTACGATGTACGCCTTTTAAAGCAGGAAAAAGGACAACCAAATTGAAGAACACTTCTCCACGCAAAGCTACCTCCTCGAGCGCAAGCGCACTTTTTCTTCACGATCCCCGCCCTAAATTTTTGTGTCTCAGCAAAGTTTCAAGAAAGGAGGAATTATAGGGGAAGAAGGCAAACGAATTCTGTGTTCGCTGTATGCATGAGCTGTAATTGAAGTTGCAGAACGTTGGAAATTCAAGGGCATTTTCAGTAACCCTGCGCAGTGCGTACAGCCCACTTTCAACGCAAACGAGTTGCCCATACTCATACAACGATCCCAGAAAGGAAAGCTGTATTTTTGAGCTTTCAAATCTACAAAATGTGGAGTAAATAGGAGCACATAAAAAACAACGCTTTCATCAAGCATTTAAAAATAGTTTTGGCTGAATTTGCCCTACTTGTAGTTTAAAATTGCGCAAGCAAGAATTTGCAAGAAATAATGCAAAGCACGCAATGTCAACTATACGAAATGTTAAACAGTAAGGCAGCCGTTGCATATGATCGGCTGCTTCAATCGCTTAGTCTCCTTAACCAACACTCCAAGTCTGTCAATTCAATGCGGCCTTGCTTTCAGACGAAAACGCTACTATTTATCCAAGAGGAAAAGGCAAAAGGTGGCGAATCTTCGTACTTGAGTTTAAGGATGAAAAGATGTCTGCGAAACCTTCCCACAGCTACTAGAGTTGGTGTATTTTTTAAACAGTAGACCAAAAAGGGACGTGGTGCTGAAGTGACCTCAATTACAAATAAACAAATTCCATAAATAACAGTTGTCTTCAAGTCCTGGTAGATCAAAAAGAGACAGGAAATTTGGCCAGCGGTTTTGATATTGGTTTCGGAGGATGGAACAAGAACCCAGAAACTCACCCTGTGAGGTCCACTGTCCTGGTCGACTGTAAAAAAGCCAATGCGTTCGAACTGGAAACGGTCATACACCTTGGCACCCCTCACTGACTGCTCAACCAATGCATCGGAGGCCACGGTCAACGATTTCTGCAATGAAAAAGAGAAAATAATGGGACCCGAGAAGTCGGAATCGAGGAAATCTCGATTACCACATCAGCTTAAATAAAGCAGAGGTTGAGTGATGTGTCACTCGTAAAAAAGGAAAATTTTACGATATTCATAATACGTATTCGTCGGATTGTGATCAACAGATTGCAAGATGTGAGCTGATGTATTTCCCACTCGCCTTAACAGTTTATCGCGATAACAACAATGACGATTTCAACAAGTACAAAAGAAATAAAGAAATTCCTGCTGCGCCAAAATATCAACCAACTTTTTTACAACCAGATGCGTCATAGCAACAAGATTCTGGAGCCTGCTTTGCCTTCTAGACCCAGTAACAAAATCTATCAGCATCTGTCTTTGGCAGTGCCTAAGCCATGATCATCGACTACTCTAGCTGCAAAGATGAGAGCCAGAGCTGTGAGTGCCTTTTTAAACAGTAGGGGTTAAAATGGACGATTTCGACGGACAGCAAGCAACCCCAATATGCATTCACAAGTCTTAGATCAAGGCCTATTTTTTTCGCACAAGTGAGCAAAGGCATAGGGAGCTAACTCTCATGCGGCAACCTCACATGGGAATACGATTTGTACGCAGCAAAGCTCTCTGGTTCAACGGTCTTAGTGATCAAACAGAGCAGAGAAAGTCCTGCATTCAGACGTCCATAGTTTGAAACATGTGTCAAAATTCACGTGAATCAAGTAAGCACTCGCCAACCACTAACAATATTTTCGGTTTCTGCAATAAAGAGAAAAGTGGAAAGGAAAGAGAATTTGATGAAACCTCACAACAGAACCGTAAAATGGAGAAGCGGGCCAAAATTAAGATGTGTTTATCTTTTTCAAGATCCACTGTAAGTGGTATAAATAAATATTACGACTTCTCTCCTCTATAAGGACAGATAGAGCGGTTACAATAACTGAAAGGCTAACAGCCAAGTACAAAGTTCACTGGCATTTAGCAAACTTTCTCCCAATAACAAAGCAACTCCACTCCTAGATTCCAGAGTGTCTAGTGGTACAGCGGCAATGAGAAGCTAGTTTTGCAGTGTCAAACAGCGTACATTGGAACCATGCTAGGCTTTTTACATCAAGGGAGAAAGAAAAGTAGCTAGGAAGAGGATCTCTTACTGCAAAAGATCAAGCGACTATATCATGCCATTATAAATCTAAAACAATTTTCCAAGGATGCTTAAAATGTTGCATGCAATTTTAACCAGTTCGATCCCAAAGGTTTCTACAGAAATAAATTAAAAAACATCGCTCTCTGAAGATACCAGATCACCCAGTAACCTCTAAAGCCATAACCATTAAACTTTCGGTTAATGCGAAAAACATCGCAGCCTTTTGAGTGCGGACTCAGTCCAACTAGGCGAAAGGTTAAACTAAAAATGTGACCTAAAAGTTTGCTTATTGCACAATTTGAGGAAATGAACAAAATTTCATGGTTATATGGGACAGCATAAGTGAAACAAAAACATCGCCCAAAATAACTAAACAAGGAAACGACAGTGTTGATTCAAGGAAGATGCCTGGATTACTTTACCGGGTTGACGGCAGCCATGAATCCTCCGGGACAATCCTCAGGGTTCTTTTCCTTGAATCTGGAATGCAAAAATACAACGCAGATATAAGAAAGACACGTACCTCCAACTTACCCCATTGTCAGTGGTTGTCAAAAGCCAAAGGAGGGCATTGCTTAGTTTCCCACAGCCCTCAGAAAACAAAACAACTGGGAAAACAGTCAGGACTAGGGCATCCCTCAGTGATGTCCCGAAAAGAAGGCTTTAAAAACCTAGTCTAGCTATACGATGAACTTGGTGCATGCAACACGCTATAACCGCGGGGGTGGGAATGCACCCATCGAAACTGAAAAAAGAGGTGAAGAAGGAGAAAGCAATTTGCGCAAATACGTTGACCGGAGACGATTATCTGTTGAAAAGGGAAACTTCGCCCTATTAAATTAAGCCAATGGTTGTAGAATTAAATTTCGCTCAACAGGTAAGAGGGACCCAAGGTGAGTTGCCTTTTTATCAAATCAAATTCCTATAGATGAAATTGGATTAGATTTCTACGGCAGGAGGAAAGACAACTATCCCTGCATAAAATATTAAGTATTACAGACAGATGCCCAAACTTCTACGCCTCGTGTTGCAGCTCGCAGCGCATGGTCACACATCACGGTAAAACCCCAAGGAGAAACAGTCTTCGACACCAAAACCGAAGCTGGCTTAAACACCAGATGACAATGACAAAGTGCTGTCATCCAACCTAACCTGACCCGGTTGCGCCTCCGAGGCTTGGTTATGACGCCCGACCTGGCCGTTTCAACAGACTGGGTTTTCATTCGGTCAAGCGGATAAATGTATTTGATCATAGATTACGAAGATGATTCCAATAGTATCCACTCTCAACTACTGACCTTCATTCACTTACAATTTATTTATAAAGAAGAAATAAGCTGAATGAATGCTAAAACGTTTTCTACCAATCTCGACTTGGACTGCAATAGATAACAAGTGATTCCCCAGATTCAATTATAATTTACAAAAGATTACAATTTCACACCAACGCGATTTTCAGCCCCGGCTACTGACTGCGGTGCGACAAGAGGTATTTCTATATCATCAAACTTTTGAGGCAGACTTACCCAAAGAAGCCAAATATTCGCCTCGTGATGAGTAAAAATATGGAAAACAACCTAGAGGAAACAATAGCAAACACTCGAGACAGTAGAAAATATTTGAACTCACAATTGATTGTAGAGACGAAGTTCACATTCTAGCGGACTCGAAACCCAATGAATAAATGCCTTCGGTTTGTTTTCCGTAGAAACCGGAGTCGCGATGACAGAAATGCTCAATATTTTGTCATTAGCATCCTAAAAGAACATAAAAGAGAGTGATTCATGCACAAAGGCAATTTTTTATAAAAACAAGCTGATAGAAAGAAATACCAAGGGGATATAAGTAGGCAATTCTTCGGTCACGAGTTCCTCACGTCCTCAACTATTACATTATTGACTTCAATCATTTTCGTAACTAACTCAGATGCTAATTTAACCAATGCCACAAATGCAATGGTACTAAGAGGCGGGTTGGAGATGAAGGGGATAGCATACCCTGTGGATCTCCTTAAAGGAGAGAACAAGACCAGCATAACGGATGCCAACCGCTTGGGTGGGTGTCAGACGACGAAAACCAGGTTTCGTGTCAAGCATGAAATCAGACTTTTCAATGAACAATTCAGGCGCAAGGACCATCTTACGCGTGGCGCTGTTCTCCTCCGCAGGAAAGTCAGGCGCGATCACCTTGAGAATGAAAACAAAAATGCATCTTTCAATGCCTCCGCATTGATGGGGGGGGAGTGAGAGAAGAGACAGAAGAGGGCGCAGGTTAAGTCTTTCACGTTATCAAAAATGAACATTTTTGTAATTAGTCGATTCACACAAGTGTCAACCAGCGCAGACTTTCGACATGCATCATTCACTTGTACTAAATTCGGGTGAGGATTGCGAAGATTTCGGATTCATGCACCATGGCGCATGAGACATGGATCTGAACTAAATTTCGTTACATTTATCTGGAACCTCAAGTTATACAGACGAGTGAGTTAAGCTGTAGGCAAAATTAAGATAAGCCATGAGACAGCCTACCAGTTTACGAGCAGTGGGCATGGGTTCTAGCACGATTGGACAACGGGGATTTCGATACATAAAGTGGAGTTGTTAGAAGCAGCGGTATGATTAGATAAATAGCAACGTATGGAGAAACTAGAATGCAGAGACAAGGACTAGTGGCCTAGAGAAACAGTTTCAAAATGAACTTTAACGCATGAGTGAAAAAAACACTAGCCAAGTAATGACGACTATGCTACCATCGTTTCGAGTCAATTTATTGCACCGGTTTAATGCATTTTTGCCGTATTGCACCATAACCAAAAAATATGGATAGGGTGGCAATGGCATTGGAAAGATATGATAGGGAGTCTGAAATCCAGCAAATTTCGTGCCCTGAAACGCATGCATGCTTAATGATAGATACAAGGGATCCACGCATGAACGAAATGCCAGCGTTTTACACTGCACTTGATGCCTTCTTGGATGCTTATAATTTACTGCAACGAGGACACGATTGAGTATGAAAAAATGCACGCTTCAGGAAGTTACAAGAAGAAAGTTTGCGATTACTACGAACAACGAGAATGATATGCTAAGAAATGAGTACCCATCCGTGTAAAACACTACAGGAAACCACAGAGCATCGGTGATCTATTAGAACAAATATATCCGAGGGGCTCAATGAATATGTACCAAGGAACAAGCCAAATCGATGGTGCCAAAGGATTTGCTTAACCATTGTACATCGGCTAAGTGGACATTCACCCTGATTTTGTCCGATTCACCAAATGAAGGAATAAGTTGGTCATTAAACAAGACCCATGGTAGTAAAAATTTGCTCAAAACCACTTTTCCACATGTGCCTCAAGGGACTTATGCTTGTTGTGTCGTAGGCCGAAATTCCGTGTTCTTTGGGAGTCCGGCTACTCCTTAGACAAGGAATGTGCCAATTGACGGTTCATTCCCATGAAGTTATTAAATTCATACCCTTTGCTTGCATTTAAAAGCGGTACAAGCCTAAAACTATTTTTGCTATGGCTGTAATGTCAATGTGGCGGTGAAAAAAGCACTTGTCACGAAAATGAGAAACAACCAAACTCAACCAGTCAATTAAATGGTATTCCAATCATGGGACTATTTTGAAATCGTAACAAGTGGTACTTGTTGGAGAAGTCACCCTCAAGAATGGCATGACACACTAGACAGCACGCTATCCTGCCTTTGTTAAAAAAGTTCTTAAAGCCGCCTCCGCCTCATCATTACATTGTATCTCTCTCAGAGCGGTTAAAGAATCACAAAATTTCCTCCACCATACGAAGTTCTGCAAGTTGCCCTAACTTGTACAATCGGTGTTTATCGAATGTGATTGAGGTCTTCACTAATGGTGTTTGATTATAAAAATCTACTGCTACCAGAGGATTTAGTGTTTAAATAAAATATCAAAAACGATGTGAGGAAGAATTCACCAACTGCTAACTACCCAAGCGGCCGATACGTGATATGAGATGTTTTGATTACAAAATTCAAACCAGCAAACAACCAGCAATAAATCAGATAACTAATCTGACTGTATAATTTACGGCCTGACGCTTTCGCAAATTTATTAATGGGTAGCATGGGGAGGAGCGTGGACAATTGAAACCAAGCGCATCGGAATTCCTTACTATCAAATAACATTGTTTTATTACAGAAAAACGATTATTTTGCGACACAAGCATAGTAGTGCTAAGTAGGACCTCCAAAACCTAATGATTCTGGACTCCATAATTTTTTTGGGCATCAGAAGAGATGCATTAGTTTCATTAGACCAAATTTACTTTTCTCCAAAGCATAGCAAACCACCATTTATCGCTAATAAAATTCGTAACAGGGCGATGCCTACCAATTCAACACGAAAATCGTCCCGCCTTTTAAACTGAAAGAAAGCTCAGTGATGGTGAACATGGTGGGAAAGAACTGAAAACTTGGACAAAAAGGAAGAACGCTATGGACGTCTTCGGCTATTGGGCAAGGAATGAGTGCTCTCAAACTCACAAAATGACCAATGCTTTCACGCACATTGAATTGAACGTTAATAATGCCATGATCCTAAGCTCCAATGAGCCACCAATGATAGTGAAATGACCAACCGTCAACCGCCTTTTCCAAATACAAATGTGAGAAAATAATTAGATTAGCACCAGAGAAATAAATTGTTCATCATGACGAAAAGCCAAGTAATTTTTTTACAAGTTTTACTGCATGTAAAGGAAAGGAAACGCTTCCAGTTGGGAATAAGGAAGATCTCGAAGGGCAGAATTTCAGGGATCATCGCACATTGCAGAGTTAAACTCGCAGAAACTTCTGCGTCAAAACTCTGAAGCAGCAGAGGCAATGTGACCTTTTAAGTGGCGTGCCGTAAAAACACGGTTCATTTAGACCGTCTGATGCAATAGTGAAGAGGTCCTTGGGGTAAAACCTACTACCAATGCTTAACTTTAGTTTAGTACCCTAGTCAGAATAAGTTGAAAGCATTTCCCGGGTTTCCGCCTGGAGTGCATAGTATAGAAGATAATGCATCTCACTCAGAAATTTGTACATTTAATAGTAAAAAAGTCGTCAATCTGTCCATGAAAAGGTGGAGGCACTAAAGATGGAAATTAATGCGTAAAAAATATAATTGAATTTCTAAGAAATCTAGATAAACTGCAACAAGCTCCTTCTACCTTATTTTAGTCAAAAATAGGCCATTGTAAGGGTCACCTAGCAACAACTTTATGACACTGGCGTACTTGAATAAGATACTTAGTAGCTTTGAGGGCAAAAGTGAAGGACAAACTTGAAAATAGCCATGGATGAAGAAAAGGGTGTCTAACAGACGGAGTTTCAGTTATGCTGCAATTATGGAAATGCAATCACGAAGTAGGCGATTCCCAGAAAACCGTGGAATGCATCATAATTGCATGAGTGTTAAACCGAAAAGCTCCCCTGGAGATAAAAGCACGGCTGTATCATTTAGTTCTGAATAGCTTGACAAAAATGGAGAAATTTTGACGAGAATAGAGAAATGTGAACAGAACCATAACACAAGAGTTCTGACGCATTGGTTCGCGCATATTAGACGTTTTTACATCGTAATAACATAATTTTACAAACGTAGCAATGAAATGCGGCAGCTTTGGATTATGATCGGCAAAGAAAACGAGTGAATGTTGGCGTCGAGTAAACCTTGAAAAGCATTAGTAAGTAATGATCGAGGATGTCAAAATGTCAAAATCACACTATTCGCGTGATAAAAACATTCATTTCGATAGACTGAATTAGCATGACCAATCCAAAGAGATGTCTAAGACAGGTAAAAGAGAATCTTGGCACAATTAATTGAGCAATCTATCGTGAATTGGAAAGCACTGAGGCCGCAACGAAGACGTGTCATTTACCTCAATTTTTATTTTGTCACCATAGAGTTCTTTCCAGTTGGTAATTACCAGTTTGAGCGGTTCTTCCACGCACATTCGACGGGGAGCGTGTTTATTGAGGTAGTCGCGAACGCAGGCCTCAAGGGCGGACGGATCCAATACGGTCTGGCTCATAGTAATACCGATGACCTCACAGAAGCGGTTTATAGCCTCAGGAGGAAAACCGCGGCGTCGCAGCGCGGTGAGCGTGAATAAGCGTGGGTCATCCCAGTCTGCCACCACGCCCGCAGAGACCAACTTAAGAATCTTTCTTTTTGAAACCACTGTGTAGTTGAAGTTCAATCTACCATACTCCCATTGTACGGGACAGTAGATATCCAAAGCATTGCACAACCAGTAGTAGGAGGAACGCCTAAATTGTACGATTTAGAGACTGAAAAAACGTCGAGGCTGGCTTTATCCACCCATACAGCCATTCACCGTCTTAACACTGAATTTCTTGATACAATACAACATGGAATCGTTTATAGATAACGGATACAGTATAGGAGTTACGCCAGCTTCAACATCCTCACCACTACAAGAAATTACGATAAGCTCCTTCTATCTACTTCAAGAAGATTCAATTTCGAATCGACACTATAAGCACTTTGCAAGTAACCAGTAATTCTGACTGCAGGTAAATTGGCCACTATTAGGAGCCTCTATTGACAGACTCGAGTTATTCAACGGCTTCGTCTTCCGGCACTCGCAGGTGTAAGGAATGGCGGCAAAATAAAGCAAGTACCTCAATAAAAATAGCTGTTAATTTCGCCTGCCCGGCAATGTAATTAAGTTGATTAACTAATCATCCACACCCAACTAGGGTTGAAAATTCTACGTGCAGCTAGCCCACAGCCCAGGAACCTATTAACTCGCTCCAACAGCAGGCCTCTCCTGCGCTAATTCACTAAAAGCAGTCGTCTAAAAAAACCCATTTCTTAAATGATTTGTAGAGCAGAATAAATGAAATCATAATCAACAATGGTAAATTCGAAAAATTTGGGCTTGAAAATAAGCCACGTGAAGAGTAAACACAAAAAAATGAGCAAAAGAACAAATGAATAATGAGCATTTGAAAAAGATTCGGACATTTAACATATCGGAAATGAGCTAAGATGTGCTTTTGGAAAAGTGATATTGCAAAAAATTCGTAAGATCAAATTTAATGCATAAATAAGTGTGAAAACCAAAGGAGTCCAGAAAATAACCTCTACTTGGATAAATATAGTCGATGCATACATCCAAGGTAATTCGTTGGCCGTCGACTAGGTTCTTCCGGTTACTGCAATATCTAAATATTTACTTATTCTTAAATAGTAGATGCTTAAATGTCGACGGAATTTCGACAAGCAGCAGCAGTTCAAGCAGATGCTGTCAAGCTGCCGATAGTCCACACAGTAGTAGCGAGCCTCAGAAAGCCTCACCATAAGATTGATGAAAATTAAGCTAGTCGCCAAAATGGGGTCAAAACCTGAGTTGTGGATGCTACCAGAATTTGACAGGAAATGTAGTGTGGATTCGTGACATGAAGGCGCCGATTTTCTCTTATATTTTGGTAAGGATGTTTGCAAGGAACACATACTTCTTTGTCAGACGGATTCCAGAGCCAGCAATATATATGTATATATATAGATTCAACTAACCAAGCCAATTCATACTAATCTAAACTGTTCCTAGCCTACATTTGAAAACGCTACTTTATGCAAGCGAGTAGCTCTACCCTTGAACCATTAAAACAAATGTGCCTTTAGCAAAGACCGTAAGGATAGGAACTATGAGGACCTACAGTACTTAGCTGCTTTCGCAGCAACGTCGGGCATGAAACTCATATATCACCACTTGAACGAACAGATTTAAGTTCTTGTAAATTGTTGGAAGTTTCAGAGTTAGGCGACCAAGTGGGAATAAGCACAGCAATAAATATCAACTCACCGAGACTGGAACTCCTTAGTACACAGAGAATGTGTGATATTTTCAATCGAATCACAGAGACAGTGAGTGTAGTCGTACGTAGGATAAATGCACCATTCATTTTTTGTTTGATGATGAGGACGCATTTTTATACGATAAGCTACCGGATCTTGTTTGCCATCCTCCAGCGTTAACTTCATTCTGAGAGTGGCCGCCCCTTCTTCCAACTATAGAGGTAATGAGTACAATAAATTACTCAAGCAGAGACTAACAAGGACACTCGAATATTATGACAGACTACTTTGAGCTACCAACGCCACATAAGCGGCACATGAATCCACCCATCTGTTGATCATGTTATAGCAATTGACTGCTTCCCATGGTACTCCTAAAGAAGTTTAAAGCGATGAAAGAGTTTCAAGGAACCTGACCCGAAAATATCAAGTTTTTAGGTTTCAAATAAAATAAGCCGACCAATTAGATAAATGGAGCACAAGATCAGCCTGAAGAATGTGAAATTCGGAGGCCGATGCAGTCGACTCTTAAAAGGGTGATGACAATAAGTGCATTTTTCCACTATACTCAATTAATGCTGGTATTAAAATACTCCTTTAAGTACGCAAATACTGAATGCAAGGAACAGAGTCCATAAATAAATACAAATGACCGACTCTGATATAACCCGAATAAACGGTCACAACCCGGCTAACTGCAGCAACACCCAGTTCTTAATGAGACATTGGTAATGACTAGCAAAGTGCCAGACCTTTCCACTTTTCATGTCCATAAATAATCTCCTTGACTCCTCGATGGGTCGATTGCGCCAAGGGGATGGTGGAGGATCAAAGCCCCTCAACTCTTCCGGACGCTGGTGACAAACGTAACATAGGTCCAAATCGATCAATTTCAATGCCCATTCAAAAAGTTGCTGAAAGTTGTCGGACGCGTAGGTAATCTTGTAGGGTTCGAATCCTAACCAACGGACCATCTCCAGAATGGCGTCAAAAAAACGAGCCTCCTCGTTTTCAGGGTTGGTATCATCATACCTCAAGTAGCAAAACCCGCCAGTTTTCTACGAAGTTGGGATGGGAATGCTTTATGTTACTTTTGCATATCCAAAATTAAAATTAATCGCTTTGGCGTGGCCGATGTGAAGGATCCCGTTAGGCTCCGGAGGAAAACGTGTTATAACACGACCATGTGTTTTGGCCAAATGCTCCTTCAGTAAAAAATGCGTGCGGTTAGTCACAATATAACCATCGGTTTTATAATTTTCACCAGGTTTATGAAACTTGGCAGGGTCGCCAACAAGCGAAGACGAGAGATCTACACTCATCTCAAACAGCAAGCACAAAACACCTAGACTCTGTACCGCTAAAGGACCGACCCTAACAGAATTGTAGTGATTGGCTATTTTAAACAAATGAACTCTAACACGTTATTGAGGACCACGAATTATTTCCTAATATGGAGATTCAAAAGAAATGCATACAAATTCACACACTATGCAACGTTTAAACTTACATATGCTTTGGCAATTACTTTTGTTATTATTAAACCGAAAAAATTCGAAAAAATACCATAGTCTAAAGCAAGTGGTGCTGCAATTATTTATTTATGTGGAGACGTGATGTCTGGTTGTAACTGAGGTTGGTCTTCCTCTCGCAAAGGCAGGCTGGACTTAAGGTCCAACTGTGGTCGCTCCCTCCTCTATTCATGCGTTTAGCTCAAATTAACTCCTTCTTCTACATAACTAGAAGTTCCGGAGTTCTACAGCTGTGGCCATTTTAGCATCCCGAGACCTTCTGACCGGTTAAAGAGGTCAGTAAATAAAGATGGCAAATGGGCTTGGGCATGGCCCGAAGGCCAGCCCACGTGTGCAAGGGCCAGACAAATCCTCGTGACCGCTAGACGTCATGTAGTCACATAAACGAAGCAATACAGCCATAAAACTATAATGTGAGTGGCGGTTTCATGATTCGAATAAGCGTAGATTTTGTTAAACGGGTTCTGTGGACTTTGTAGGCTACAACCTTGCCCCTCAAAAACGTGCCTTTCTGCGTCAATAAAGCATTTGCACATTGTGTTTCAGCGCTACTCAGACCCCACGACTTCTTTTGTTCGGACACTTTGCCTTCGCAGTGTGAGCGAGCCTCCTGAATGCCGTGTTTTTGATTCATTCCTTGTGCTGTGTACATGCACTTAGTCCATTACCGTCCACCCTTTCTGCTCCAGATATTGCTGCAATTTACCTGACCGCATGTCTGGAGTTTACGATGGCACTCATCTTGCCCTGGTACGCTCAGGTTGGCCTTCGGATCAGACCAAGGCTCAATACCTCCCCTTGGAATAACTGCATCCAGCTTAGCTTGATACCATCATCTGCCAAATGGGAAGACTCGATGCGCTACACTATCATTCGAAGGCCTCCTTCAGTTTGTAGTGCCGCACAAGGATGCGACTTTTGATGCGAGTCATGATTCTTAAGAGTTACCCTAGAGCAAAGTGCCAATTAATTGTACTTGTCCCCGGTTCTTCAGTCGCGATCTTTCAAGACCAAATAACTTGCCAAAACAACTTATGTAAAAATGTCTATGTAATAAATGGCTCCACACTAAAAATTCTAGAATTCCATGGACCTGGAACTTCTTTGTCAGGATATCTTGTCTCGAAAATAGGGCAGCGGCGACTGCAGCTCAGAGGAAAATATCGCATTCCTGTGACGTCGTGGCTTCCCATTAGCTCTAGGGCCCAGTGGCAGTTCATTCAGACTGAAGATGCTTTTAGGCGGTAACGACATGGGACCTTGAAAACCTACCATAGGCTAAGTAAAGTAAACATAAATAATCACGATACCATTGTCACCCAAAATATCACACCACAATCAAGACCAACCTAGGTTACCCTCCCAAGACATCGAATGTTCGAACACGACCAACCCTCTACCACTCAGGGCGTGAATGTAGATGACCCGGAGCAAGATTCGTACTTCTACTTAAAGGTACAATGCTCGTGCAACCACAAAATTTTTTGACCACTATATCGTCGATTTAAAGACAGAATGCTCCGCGCGGTACCGACCATAATCATTCTATTACCGAATGCACCCGAACTGCTGTCAGTCAAAAGTCTCCGCAACCAACAATTGCGCCTCCAATAGCTTTATACCAACGCTGCTGGAGGATGACCGCAAACAGAACTAAAAGTTCTCATAAAAACAACTAGTCAGCGCATCATTTGCGGCGATTAAAACAATTTCCTCCCAGAAACGCAGCTTATGATGCACTTTACACTCTGACGTCCGTGTAAGAATTAACCACACTTGAGCACTAAAGAGCACCAATTAGCAACCCAACTGACACAAAACCTTCCTGATTGACCTACGAAATGCATCGAGGATGGCACCACTGAATGCTAGGATGGGCGAGCAGAGGAGGGACTGCACCAAGTCGCACATACAGTCTGCCTTTTCCAAATTAAGTTAATCAACATTCTACGATGCGATTTCCAACAGTGGTACCGAGCATAAAAGTAAGCCCTTACGCCAGCAGAAGCAGCGCAGATTACAATTTGCTCAGGAGCCAAACTCAGAAACTCGGAGGATAGAAGAACTGACACCATGCGAATCAACTACCTTCACATTATCAAAGGGGTCAAACTGCGCGCAACCACAATGTTCAGCTTCTTATTTTCGATTCACAATGTAAATCATACAGGACTGGAGGAGCAGAAACAGTACAGACACTTTGACCTATACTCTGAAGTCCACCTAAATAGTGACTGCCTCCGAAATCCAAGATGGATCACTGTGGGGGGAAGTCGATGGCATGCAAAAAAGGTGGAAATGACATAAATTCATAATTGGAAAAAAACTTCAACTACAACTTAAGACCCACACACACACCAAACAAGGGAAGTGTAGATTAAAGGCTCTACCAACACAAAAAGCAGAAGAGGATGCACTGCATCGAATTTACTGGATCAGTACAGGAAGACGGGAGCCTAATCTACTTTAGCTACTTCATTGAAGGTTGTACATACGTCTGCACTCTTTCAGAGCATCTGCAACATACTGGCATTGTGAAATATCACTGTTCACATACGAACATCGCACCAGTTCATCAATGTGGTATTGGCAAGGATTTGCAGCAAGGGTAGTCATCGAAGCCTCAGGAGGTTGAGGTTGAGCGGAAACAGCTGCTGGTTGAGAGCTGTCGCCGGAAAGAGCGTTACCAATCGAATGACCCACGGCGGAGCCGACAGCCACGCCGGCCGCAGTAGCGGCCATCTGCTTGAATAAACCAGGTTGTTGCGTAGTAACTGGCGGCTGAGGCGGAGGTGCCGCGGGACGCATTGCCGGAGGAGACACCCTAGAACCGCCAGAAAACCTGGAAAGACAGACTTTGATTAAAATAATACAAGAATCAATGACATATGGGCAGACTGTTAACAAACGTACCTTCTCTGCCGAGGCATTATACCAACAAATTCAGCAGACCCGATTAGGTTATATAAACAAAATAAATTAATGCAAGTATGCTAACTCTTAAGATGTTAGACATGATAATATGAAATAAAAGATTGCTTTTATATGTATATGATGTCAAATTCCAAACAGTGAACTATAAACAAATATTAGTTTTTTTATGGCATGCACAACTGGTTTAAAAAAGCTTTTTAATCTACCAAAGTCGTAATACAATTCCACAAACAAAAGGTTACACATTTTGAAGCAGCAACACAACGCTTTATACACTAGTCTTTAAGTTGACCTTTATAGGAGAGAGAAGAAAACCCAAATGGAACATGAAGTTTGCGCTTGAGGACCGTGAGGAGTCTTGCTCCAAGTGACATCTGCTGTTCGATTCAGCTATACTCCTAGCTCCGTTATTCCTGCATTCAATGCCTTATAAATATACTGCAACTAACCTTCTCTTATGTCTGTTGTTCAAGTGCATGTGGGGATAGGCAGGCAGTTTCTACACAAACTACAATGCATGGCGAAAGCAATAGTAAAAGGTGTTCCATCAAACTTAATAAAATTGCAGTAGATCGGAGCTTAGCACGCATAACGGATTGTGTCCACTGGTGTGCCTCGTAGTGGTTAAAAATTGCACAAGTGTATAATCCGTCAAGAGTAATCTGATTTTCCGAGACCTCCCGTCTTCTGCTGAAAGCTTGAGGCTAAGCTAGTATCTTATTTAGGCAAGCAACCATAAATGTCCGGCTTTGCGTGAGCTTTTGGGGGAATCACACGCTAGAAACAAGGCAGTTGCCCTAACATAAGTAACCAAAAATACAAAGTCCTAAATTGCCTCCCTTATATGGGACGCCAAACGGTACACATTCTGCTTTGGTCATACCAAAATCATCCCCGCAACCCTTCCGGTGCTTTCAAATAGCATCGTCAATCCAATTATGCCAAACATCCACTTTTCTGAGATAGGTAGATAGGAATAAGAAACGCACAAAGGTATGGGAGGACATCAGAGTAATAATCTAAAATAGATGCGCAACAGAGAACACGGAATCAAAGGAGTTCGAAACAGAAGTTGCTCCGCCTTTATATCATTATCGACATTTATGCACAAGTGCGTTGGGGAGAAGGTTAACGAGGCTTTTGGACAAATCACAACGTTTTCGCTTCAGTTCATAGCAAAGTTAGCCAAGTAAACAAGGCGATGTCTACTCTATGCTATACGTATTTTTTGCAGTGCTTTGTTCAGTCAAGTGTTTGTATTAATAACGTTCACCTATGTGGCTGTATTGCTTTCGCCATGTGGTCTGGCCCTTCTGCCAAACCAATTCACAATTTTTTTCTTTCAGCTGTCGTAGCTTTCCAAGGCTTTCCACCGGGTCGAAGAAGACTACAAATAGGGCTGGATTCATGCATTCCGAAGATATCAGAGCAAATGGACCCGTGCATGACCCGAAGACCAGCCCACAAGTAAAGGGCTAGACAAATCCTAAAGTGACCTCAGAGTGTCAGGAACTCACATAAACAAAGCATTGCATCTGTATAGTCTTCAAGACTTGAATGAGAAGCTTGTAGACTCTAAATTTGTTTCCATGTTTACCAGCCATTTTAAATTGAGTGATACAAATCGGCACATATCTCATTGGATTCGCATGCGTTCGAATAGCAAGAATGTTATACTCATAGACGCAGATCTATCTTTACTTTCGAATAAGGTTAACTAATTAAACCAAATCAATGATTTTTTACAAATGTCATACCTTGCGTAACTTAAGTCGAAATTGGTTTAGTACACACAGCAGTGCAGTAGCTCATTTTAAAGTTTAAAGTTATTAAAAGTGTATATTATATTAAATGAATTTTATGTTTCTATATAAGCTTTCATATTCTATATCAGACGGTTATAACAGTGAGTGCATTTCTCAATGGTTTATTCTAAACACAATCTGGCCCCTGCTGTCAGTACCTACCTGTGCTAAAATGAGTGGAGATGATGATAGCGACGAGGATTATATGTCCGACAAATTCTTGAATCTACCGTACCGATAGACAAGCTTCGTCTATTTTTAGGGTAAAGCCTTTATGTTCAGGTCTTACGCCGAAATTCGTGGGGAAGTGCAGTGCAGGGCAACGTCCGCATTTACCTCAGCCAAAGTATGGCGGAAAGCAGATGGACGTTAGGCGAGAAGAGGGCTTAAAGAGACGCATTGGAGAAGATAATATTGGCTACAGGTTGATGCTTAAAATGGGCTTTAAGGGCGACGGTGGAATAGGTAAAAAAGGTTAGTTGCCCTTCTGTCGTTGCAGTACTCAGTGTGTGTTCATTTCTTATCATGCATATTCACGGCATCATTAGGTGCAGCCGACTTTGTTTTCCATTGGCTCGTTAATTAATGCGGGTCAGACGTCGGTGCGTTACCGACTCTGCGACTAGTACCCTCAGCCCTATTTATTCCCACATACGCGCTTGGGTTGTTGACTCATTTTTACCTTCCGAACGATTCTTTTGGGTGAATGCGGAATCACAGCTACGTTCTAGTCACTTTGATTCTCATGGTTGTTTTTTTAGCTGAAGGTCGCTCTGAACCATTACCCATTGAAATAATTGATGGACGAAGAGGTCTTGGTCTGCACAACATCAAGAAAAGACGGGACGAAGCTATTGCTGCGGCTAGAGAACAGCGTGAATCCGAGCTATCTGCTTTCCAATCTGACTTTCGTGCTTCAATGGCCTTAAGATTTCGAATGGAGCGCGCTCAACGTCAGTTAATGGCTGCGCGTTCCATATGCAAGACACTTGACTTGGCGCGGTCACTGGATCAGCCAGTTGACAAGGATTTCTGGCCTCCGGATGGGAATAGGGCAAAGCTACTTGCTCATTCAGAACTGATACGCCGGGAAATTTGTCGTTCTGGTCCTCGTAGCAGCCACAAAAAGAAGCGAGTTCAGCAGAATGATGTCGGTGGCGCGAGAGACTCAGACGAACATGGGAATGACTATGATACTGCTCTGGGAATCGAGTCTGATGAGGAAGAGTATTGCGACATTGATGCAGCCCAGCATGGCCCTATAGAGTCTCGAGTAGGATCTTTTGGAGTTTGTTGTTGTCCCGTTTTTACTTCACTTAAGTTCTTGGTCGTCACTTTTGCAGGCCTCATTTGACTGTTCGTATCTTCTACATTTGATAGTAGGCTCTTGGCAGCGGCGATTTTTTCAAGAATATTGCTATCTTGTGGTGTTGTCTTGCCGAAGGCATTTTTAACTGTGATTCTGCACAGTATCTTAAGTGTTACACTTTTAGCCCGACATAACTTTATCTCGCCTCTCCAACTACTTGAGGGAGTCGCACTTCTACTGCTTCTGGTGCGGTGTCCAATACTCAAATAGGTCCAATCTCGAGGCCACTTGTCCTGGGCCAATGGAAGAAGATCATGGATAATACCCTCATATTAACATGCCCCCCCTCCCATTAGTGTACATATCAAGTCGAATTTTTGTTGTTTGGTACTGTGAAAATACGTCTACGTGCTACAATTAGCTTACTTCAACGGATTAGCCTGCATATTCTTAATCGACACCGTCACTCCAATTCATGAATTCCGGCTGACGATTCATTCATATTGCCAAAATATTGCACAGGGAGTGGATGTATGGTGTTGTGTGCTGCAAAATCAAAACTGGATTTAGTTTGGCTGTCGGGCGCCATCTCGGTATCATGCCATCACACTCACACTATCTCAGTTAAATCTCAACAACTCTTTCTGGCTGCCTGGAGTAGTTCTACATAGGTTCATACGTTTGGCGATCTTCCCCAGGCGAAACATGGAAATTGGAGACGATGTCCACACAGGTGGCAGTCATGATTCCGGTGGCGGGGTATCGGGACTGGGTTTTGGGAGGAAGGAGAATGGTCTTGTATGCGCCCGACTTGTCTGTTGGAATCTTTGGGTTTGGCTCCCTGCTGGTAGTCGACCTCGTTCTTCAATTTCCAATTCGGCCGACATGACGCAATGGCGCTGCTGGTGAGTCAGCGCGGGACGCGTTGCGAGGTTGCCCATCCGGAGGATTGTGGGACCTCACCGCATCGCGTGGGCGCTTTGGGAGGTTGAACATTCTCGAGATGGGATGCTACGGAGACGCGTGATGGTTACGGCTGGCGGCTGTGCGACTCATTAACCTTTACTCATCAGCCTTGGTTGTGACCACGTGTTGCATTTGACTCGTGGAGAATGTTCTTTAAAGTTTCAGCAAGCTTAGGCCTTGAGATAGCGGTCCCAAGTTCTGATAGGCATGATGGCCAAGGTTTACAGAAGTGCTACGTGAGTGGATTTGCGACTCTGCCACACTGAAATGCTGAGATCGGAGTCCTGGACGTGGTGGGTGCCTGAGATGTTCGTGGAGGGTTTACGCATCTTCGGTTAGCAGGCGTGTGGCAAAGTGAGTGTCACGGTAATTCCGTGCAATTTGCGTTGACAGGCTTGTACTCTTTTCGCACAGTGGCGACAGTTTTGTTCCAAATTCCATCAGCAATGAAGCCCATCGAAAAGGGCTGTGTTAACGACGATAAGGAGAGGGTTACTGATGCAGATGAACGGATCCAGATTCGCATAAATGAAGGAGGATTATTTGTTACCCGCTGAGTCGCTGGTGTCCATAAAGACTGACCGTGATGCTCGTTTTATGTGAGAGATTTTTTTGGCAAACATATGATCCTAGTGTGGGTGAGGTAACTTTCAGACCAAGCCAAGGTTTAGACATTCTTCTCAAAAGGAGCGCTCGATGGCTTATCTGGGGGATCGTAAACACCCCATGCGAAAAATCAATTGTAGCAAATATCAGACTAAGTCATAGAAATCGTTGACGTGACTGCCCTTATTTGTCACATGTGGTTTATTAATTTACTTCATGTAACGCCATGTTTATGTGAATATCTGTTTGGCGGTCATACCCATTTGCTTTGTCCTATTTGGAATGCATGCAACCGGCTTCACTTACTGCCTTCTTCTACCAAGTAGGAAGTCTCGGAACACTACGCTGGTGGCAGCGGAAAGCAAGCCCAACATTATTTACAACGACTTCTATCTTAGCACGTACTGTTAATTGCATGTACCTACGGCGTGGATGAGGCGCATTTCCTCGGTGATAGAAAATATCTGAACCCCTCACAACGAAAGGGTCGAGACAGACGTCCACATTTGGCCTCGCCTTATTCTCGTATTCCACAGACAAGCTATTAACAACTAAAGCGACATTGCCGTGAACCATCATTTAATGGTCAACAGATGTCTGCAGCCCCGATTCTGGTTGTCAGACCGAAAACAGCTCAGATCCAGCTAAAGCTGCAGAGGTTGTAGCGTCTCGATACTTCCAAGCCGGTATAAGAAGTCAGTAAGTGCAGCTGGATACACGTATTCTACAGATGACAGGGCAAATGGACATGAGCATGGCCAGAAGGCTAGCTCGCGTGTACAGGGGCCGAACGTCAGGTAGTCACATAAACAAAGCATTACAGAGGAGACCAGGCACGGTTCCTCAATCTCATGCTATCTGTCAACTAGCGCGGTTGGCTCGTGGGCGCTTTCTTGTATTACCGAATACACTGCGATGGCGAGTGTAGGTGGTGTACCAAGAGAAGTGTTGAAGACGTCGCTCAAAAGAAGAGAGGATTGTATAAGGTTTTGTTTATGTGACTGACGTTTGGAGGTCATTTTAGGATTTTCTGGACTTGTGCTCGTAGGCTGGCCTTCGGATCATGCACATACCCAGTTGCTTCGTCCTATTTGAAATACATGTATCAAGCTTCACCTACTGCCTTCTCCCTTGCTTTTGCAGATAAATAGGCTAAATAAGTGTATTTGCAGAAAAAATGTTGTAATATATAATTTTTTAAGTGTACTTTTATAGGTGAGAGGCGGGAACTAATTGAGAACGCAAATCACGTGCGCGAAGTCGGCGAGGAGTCTCCCTCCAATTGATACCTCCTACTCGCCTCATCTGCATCCCATTCCTCATCCTTCCTAATAACAAATGCCCCATAAATCATTCGCAACTCTTACAAATGCGTCTTACGCAATTGATGATTTTACATCTTTGTTAGTTGAAAAAAATTATTATAAAAGCATTGATGTTTTAACTTTCCAAAAGCAGCAAGTAGAAGAGACCTCTAATTGCAAGTCTCTTGATTGGACAAATGGGGATGAAGTTTTCCTTGTTGCGTCACACACGATGCACAGCCGAGTAGCGAACTAGTTGTGTAACTATGCCACTTTTCTAAGCTTTCTCTTGCTTAATTTGTGTTGCTAGTGAGTTGTTGTTATTGCAATTAATGGGTGTCCCCCTCCCCACCAGTGTTGTGTGCGTGCGTCAAGAATGATCCAAGTCAGTATACTATATTTAATAGTGATATGTTTGGTGTCGTACTAGGAACCCGTATTTTGTAATTGTTTTAATTTGCTAGTTTTTTAGTAGGATTATTTGAGTCGTTCTACAAACGACGGGTGTCGTCACTTCTTTGGCTTGGCATAGCGTTCGTTTTGAGTAAAAATAGCTTCGTTGTCCCACATTTTTGTACTCTTAATATCCTACTAAATGTTAATCACTGTAGTTTTTCGATCATAATCAACGTCTGTTTGGAGCTATTCTGAACCAATTGTTATCAATATTCTAACGGATGCACTGTAATCTAGACCATGATGAAAGTAACGACAACTATTTAAGCCATTTCTGTATATGCTGGGACTCTTTAATTTACACACAGTATAATTCGCATACTGCAGTTCTTACAGCAATGTATTGTCTGCAGATGAAATCGGCTGAGAAAAGTGTAGAGGTCTCTGCTTCAAGAACGCAGGAAATGCCAAAGTCTGCAGATGATTTGAACTTTGTTGATCGATTCTTCTTCAGATGGGTGGATCCTGTTCTAAAGGTCATGAACACTCGGCAACTAGAACCATCTGATGTACCCAGAACTGTGCGATCCCATGAGTCCGAGATTGTTACAGGAAGACTATATAGGTGAGCGTCTCTGTTTTGGAGGAGGCCTTTTTTGTTTGTACTTTTTATCATAGCTACTTAAGAACTAAAGGATCTGCATCGACAAGGGCTCTTATCGCCTTTTATTTTCAAATGTTATAGTCGTTGGTGCGAAGAACTGAATAAACCCAGCCCGAGTCTTGTCTGTGCCATTTTGCGTGCTTTCCGATGGGAAATCTTTGTGGCGGCTGTGATAGCTATTCTTGAGGTGTGTGCACTCATTTAACGCTTTTAATTGCACTAATTGTACGTGAATAACTGCTCTTGTCTATCTCAGGCAAGCGTCTGTATCTAAATTATTGAATTTCCCTCATAGGTATCGTGTATAACGGTCCGTCCGCTTATGGTACGCGGTCTTCTGCACTCCTTTTTTCGGATAAAGGAGTACGATGGGATGAAAGCTTCCATCATGATGGCGGTTCTTCTAATTCTCTTTTCAGCCCTCGCAGCCGTCCTGCGAAACGTCTACTTTTGGAACGTAGCCACTGCCGGTGTCAAACTTCGCGTAGCCCTGGGGGGAGTTATTTTCAAAAAGGTTTATCCCCATGTTTCTGCATGTCATTCATAGCATATGTTGAGCCATTGATTTGAAAATTTGTTTTCCTTTTAAACACCTTTTTGCCCAGTGTCAATCAATGATAATTTCATCATTGTTCAGTTTTTCTTAATGAAGTAGATGAACTTGTGTTGTAGTGCCCTCAACATTGTATGGAATTGTAAACCATCCTACATAACAGTTCTCGTGATGCTTTTAGGCATTAACTCTGAATCAGAAAGTGATAACTAGTACGGCTGTTGGAAATGTTGTCAACCTGGTCTCCAGTGATACTCAGCGGCTTGAGCTTGTGAGTTCCTGCAATTAATGCAGAGGCCTATCATAGCATCAAACCAAGTTTTTCTTAACAAACAATTTCTCCTTCTTAACGCTTTCTTAGTAGTCATAAAGGACGTATCCTGCGATCTATACATAAGTTTGGAAAGTATTTTACTTTGCTTCATATAATGGACCTGAGCTCGTTGGTTAAAATTATCGTTAAGGCGGTGGTCCTAAAATGCACTTTTCGAACACCCCTTGAATACTTCTTGTCAAATTTCAGTTTTAAAGGAATTATGTTTAGCCTTGCGGTCAGAATAGGGTACTATTTCCATGTTTATCACCTGCATTTTTTATCTTTAAACATTAGCTACTGTTGTCCTTAAGTTCTTATTTTGGGTCTTTAGAAGTTGTTGCTGGAAGTTTATAGTGCATATATGTTGATTTTGATTGTTGGTTGATGCAAGTTTTATGCTTCTTTGTATTATTCCTATGTAGCGCCGATGTTAACGTCATTATTCCTTTCCTAATGTTGGTTTAATCTTTGCTTCCTCTTCAGTATTTTAAGCGCTTTCGTATTCCTTTTGCGTGACCTAAAGTTTCTGTGAATTATTTTGTATAAGCTGTCTAACTGTGACGCAATTAATGTTTTCTAATCGGCGCGAAATAATGTCAAGTTCTGCGCTTTGTACTCATTTAGCTATGACGTTGTTTTCCTTCCTACTCTAGGCTTTCCTGCTACTCCACTATGTGTGGCTAGTACCCATTCAGGCGTCAGTCGTCGTCTGGCTGGTGCATCGTGAGGGTGGACTACCTGCAGTCCTGGGCGCTCTTACTATAATTGTGCTTACCTTCTTGCAAATCCTCAACAGCCTCAATGTGGCTAGAATTAGGTCTGTTTCATCATTTCCTCTGTCTGGTTACCCTGCTTGCCGCCTTATTTAATTTGAGTTCAGAAACTACGGGAAGTACCTTTGCCTTGTTGGTTCGCAAGCACGTTACTTCTGTTATTATTTGCTATCCTGTTGCCGAAGTTAACATATTCGTCGATGCTTTTTCCCTAGGAAGTACGTTTCGAAATTAACTGATGCTCGAGTTCAGCATCTACAGGAGCTCATCGGGGGAATCCAAATTCTCAAAATGTTTAACTGGGAGCCATTCTTTACCGAGGTCGTGCAATCCATACGACGGTATGTTTGCCGAAGTTACGTCAGTCCTTTTGCTGCTTTTTGACTGTCATTTTTGGTAATTCAAACCTTTCCATGAAAGTTCCATTTGCTTCATATCTTTAGAGAAGACAGTTGTGCATTGGGAGCGACTCTACGGAGATCCATTACCTCAGACTCATTCTTCTAGTGATCACATAGAAAGCATCTTCACAATGGTTTTCACATTTCTGCGACTCTTCAGTGTATGTCGTCTTCACGCGTCCGTGATGACGTCAGTAGCTTGCTTGTTTTTCTCAGGGCTTGGACGTACACGCGTTGATCGATGGTGCTTGCTATTGCAGCACGAAGTCACATGTGCATTGGCCTTTTCTCTGCTAAAGGCAACTGTTTATGATGCTAGAGGCGAGTGGATCGTTAAATAGTAGCCGCATTTGTGAAGTAGTTGATTTGGTCTGTGATAAGTAGCTAGTTGGGTTTGCTATAATCGTGTGAGATAGCTACTTTAAGGCCGATAGCTACCCACGTTCATCCAAACGGTTCCTCTCTTATAAAGCATCGCCGTTGCTGGTGGCCTCGGTTTGTCTTGTTATGATCGAGTTTTTACGCATCATAGCACCAGTCTATTAATAACGGGTAGCTTTTGACAACCATATACTCGTTTCACTTTTCATAAGCTATCGAAGGGGAGTGGATGTGATACAAGCGGCCTATCACGACTATTAATTTAGTCATTTTTGAGTCCTGTGGAACGTATTTACTGCTTGTGCTTTTCAAATTAGGTAGCAAGTTATATGTTGAGGAGTGTAAGATTTCTTTTAGAAGTTGTCAGTAGTGGACTGTTTTCATCGTTTTTGTCTTTCTAAAGGAAAGAATGCCGAGGACTGTTGAAACTGCGCTTCGTTCAAGGGGTGGCATTGAGCCAAATCCTCTTTATGACAAAGACGGGGATGTTTGTCACACTACTAATGTTCATCGTTATGAGTGATGCCAATGATCCAAGTGCACTTTTAAGTGAACGCGTTTTTACCATCTACTCTCTCATAGCTGCAATACATCGAACAATGTCCATTGACTTCACCTACGGCTGGTTGCTTCTATTTGAGCACAATATCAGTTGCAGGAGAATTCAGGTTGGTTATCCCTGTTTTCATATACCTTCTTATTGCTGGCTTATAGAAGATCACTCGTCGTTTGGGGTATCATTTAACCTGAACCTTATTTTGAATGTGCTCTAAATGACTTCTGGGATTTAGCGACCTTTAAGTTCATGTGAAGCAAATACGTACCATGTCCATACTACTGGTATTGTGACATCACATTTTAGAAGTTTTTGACGACTCCGCCATTGATGGATTATGAGACGCTGCCGAAGGTTGTTGATTCCTCGGAGCCATTTGTTTACATGGAAGGCGTCAGCGCGACCTGGAATGAGGTATTCATCCCCTCTACATCGGACCAGTTTTAGCTCCTAGCTGCCATTCATCTGAAACTGCTCAATACTAAGAACTACTGGGCATTGATACAACTTTGATCATTTGGTCAAGATTAGCAGAAAGATCTAGACCGTCTTTCATGTTGCCGATTTTTCTTGTTTAATTGCGTTAGGTGCTAACTTTTTAGCTTGTAGAAGTATGTACTTGTACAACAAGGCTCAATTTCCTTATATTTTACAAAATGTGCATCTACTGTTGATAGGATGTCAAATAACGAAAATTAAATGGCCCATCAATATCAGGTGTATATTCCAGTTGGAGGACATCCATCAGCCTTTTTAAGCATATTACAGCTTTGGGATACTCCATAGAAGTAAAATGGATTCGTTAGGTCTCAAATTCATCTGCAACCAATGTCCGTCCAGATTATGTGCATTTCAGAATCCTTCAAAAGACGTTGCTTTGGAATCAGTAAATCTCAAGCTGGAAGGTAGAAAGCTTGTTGCAATCGTTGGATCGGTTGGCTCTGGAAAGGTGAATTTCACATCTTGCGTGGAAATTTATTTTCAATACGTGTTACATATTTTTTTGTTAGTTATATAATTCATGGTATTATTACTTTCGGATTCTCGAATTATGCTCTTTTGGTGTTAGATCCGTATTTAGAATTGCATAATTTGACCGTTTACATATAGACCAGAAATAGACTTTTGGTAATTCCCTTCTCGGAATGACAAACGACTTCTATATTGTGTAAATCCGTTTGAATGATCATGGGCTCTAAACCTTAAGGCGAGGTATGCTAAATTCATCGTTGTGACAATTTAACAGATCCCATTTCGAAAATATTTTTATAGGGAAAATTTATGAATGTCCTAGCGGGTGTAGGTGCTCGATGTGCCTTTCTACCACGTCATTGTACCAAGTTTTAAAGGTTCATAGCGGTGATGAACGGCCTTCACATCTGATCAGCTATTTACTGCCCTACACTTCAAAGCTTCTTACTGTCCTTGCTTACTTTTGAGTAGTTTCATATACAACGCATATTTTCTGTGCTTCCTTACAGTCCTCCTTCGTTCAGGCTATCTTGGGTGAGCTACCGCTGAGTGCAGGATCCATCCACCGATCTGCGAGCGTCGCCTACCTTTCTCAGATTCCATGGATCTTCACTGGTACAATCCGCGAAAATATACTCTGCGGACAGCCTCTCAACAACGACCGCTACGCTTTGGCTATTCGCGTCTCTGCCCTTGAAGCAGTGAGCTCCAATTTGGTTCTAGTTAAATTCAATCATGTAAGTAATCTTCAGTGACAAGGGACGTAGTTTGAATTGCTTTCACTGCATCCACTTTTTTTGGGCTGGATACTGATATTTTACCATTACAAAAAGTGCTGTCTAATTTTTACTCGTAAACTTGAAAGTGCCCACTTTTCGTTACTAACGTGGTAGGTGCACGAATAACGGATTAATGATTTGTGCAAAGGTCATCTTGAAAAGATGTTTAGGTAATGCAGTTCTGAATTTGGGATTTGAAGGCGACCTACCCCAGGTTATAATGCTTTACAGTTTCACGGCTGTTGCTGCTCGTAGACGTTGGAAATATTGTCAAATATGACGACTTGGATGAGTTCATCGCTAGGAACTCAGATTACAATGTTGAATGACTTTCATCAACTAGCTATCATTTTTTCAGTTGGATCCCCAAAGCAAACATACATACAGATGGAATTTCGGACTTTACTCAGACGCTCAGTTTTCTCCTTTGGGTTTGTCTTTTATTCGGTCTCAAACAGGTATTTGATTAGAGGAAGACTGAAAGGAAAGGTTGCACCTGTGAATAAAATTAAGATGTTTTAATAATACCTTTAAGGATTTGGTCAAATTTCCCAACGGCGATAAGACGGAGGTAGGTGAGCATGGGCTGACACTGAGTGGAGGTCAAAAGGCTCGAGTAGCGCTGGCCCGAGTGGCATATACTGACGCTGCTGCCGCTGCTCTCGTGATCCTCGACGATCCTCTTGCTTCCGTTGACCCCGGCGTCGGTGCTCATATCTTCACAGACTGCTTACGCGAATACATGCGCGATCGCCTTTGCCTCTTCACCACCAATCAGCCGCATCTCCTTCCTGAATGCGATCTCATCGTCGTCTTGAGTGGAGGTCATTTGGAGGTCTCGGGAACCTACGATCAATTGGTTGCAGAGGGGTTTGACTTTATCTCTCTCACAGCGAGGGATGACGAGAAGGTGGCCGAGGTCTCTCTCGATGACTCCAGCTTATTTAGTGATAAAGCGAGAATTGACGAAAGCCTCCCTCCATATCTTACGGATATCGATAACATTCAGAGTGAGGAGAAGATTGAGGAGGAACAACGGGAGGGAGAAGATGTGCATCTTTTGGTGGGAACAAATTTGTCTATTGTCGACGAGGAAGAAAGAAAAGTAGGAGCTGAGGTAGCTGAGGATCGATTGATCCTCAGGACGAAAGCAGACATCCCACAAGCTTTCCCCCTCTATCCAACCAAGAGTCAGCGCAGAAGAACTTCAACTTCGATCTCTACCATCCCTATACCCTCTCGACATTCATCCCTCCTCAGCTGGGACCTCTCAGTACGTGTGCTGTGTCTATGCCCCTGCGTTTCGATTAATAGTCCGAACCTTCACTCTGTGTTGTTTACGTACTTGATCGCAGCTTCTCGATGTCAGAATGTCAATTTGTCTGCGACTGATAAAAGTTCGAGAAAGTGGACGTTATGAGGATGACAGAAAATTGTGCGTTTTTTCCTCTAAGTAGTTGTATAGTTTAAGTCGGTGACTCTACAAAACGTCTTAACTTTTCTTCCCTTCAGGTTAGAAACATGCATTTAGGTTGTAAACCTTTCTATTTTTGCGTCTACTGACTGCAATCTTCCAGAGCTAAAGTGGTGTGTAATGAGAACTCCTAAGTTAAAGGATGTGTAATTGAATTCCCAAGATAGTTGACTCCACAACATGGGAAACTTTGCGTTTACTTAAATGTGGTATCACCTTACTGGCGTTCCCCACCCACAATCTGTCCCATCATTCTCCTTGAAATCGTTTTTTTTTTTGTTACTTGGTTCTACCCAATGGCCTTGTTTTAGTCCGAAGGTGGTTCCGCTGTGGTGCTTACTGATGAGACCATTAATCGCAAAGCCACTCCGGGTCAGCCAAAACTGAGGAAGACGGTTGAAAAACGTCAGCAGGGATATGTAAAGTTTCAAAACTACCTTACCTACTTCATGGCTGGTGCCGGCTGGCCGGGATGCGTTGCGGTTGTCTTTTTTTACCTCGTGAGTGTCGCTGCTGCCGTTGCCTTCGATCTCACAGTCGCGCACTGGCAAGTCAATTTTCTCATCGCAGCACTAGGCTCTATTCCGAAAGTCACCTTTAATAATGTTTGAGCTTATGTCGCGGAATTCATGCACACATTGTGGCAGTTTAAATGGAAACTGGAACAATTTCTTTCAAAAATTTTGTTAATTTTCAAAGGACTGAGTTGGCAAACGCCGCATATTACAAAAGGAATGCCTCCGAAGCGCACAATGTTTCATTGCGTGCTACCTCGGAATCCTATTTCAAAACGAAGATTATGTACCTTGCCATCACTGGATCTCTTCTGACCCTGGTCGTAGTACTCTCCTTTATCCGCTCTCTCACCCTCTTTTCAGTAAGATTCTCTTCGTCCATCCACTTGGCTGTTTCTTGGGCAATTTTGCAACGCTTCCTTTTATTATGTTATGGTATTCGTGGTATACTTGTGCTAACTCAGTAGACCCGTGGTTGCTTTCCATGTAACATTATGCTTTTTCTATCCCTCCATTGTTTTTCGCTGAATTTGGGGGTTGACGGTCACTGTGTCAATGTGATTGATATCAATTTCTCTGTTGTACAGTTTGGTAGCCAATCCATGCAATGTTTCCCATTCCTTTTACGCGATTTTTGTGTCTTTAGATTCTTACAAACGCCTCGCGTCGGTTGCACAATAGCATGTTGCGTTCTGTGATGGCTACGCGCATGAATTTCTTCCACTTCCACACTGCAGGTGAATCACAATTGCAGTGAGTCAGGTGTTTGTCTCGAGCTCACTTTTCCTGCATTGCCTTCTTTTCAGGCCAAATCATCAACCGATTCTCCAAAGACACGGGCCAAGTTGACGACATAATGGCTCCTGCTGTTGCTGAATGCCTCTCTGTTAGTCTTGTTGCCCGTAATTTCATCTTGTCTAGGAGAGGTCAAGCTACTGATTTAGGACCATTAACACCTTTCCACTTTCGTTCTCCAACACTTACTTGTTACGAAATTAAAATGTTTTCATAGAAGAAATCGTTTGCATTCTGTGATTCATTTGGCTCATTTTAACGCCTTTTTTATCAAGCAATGTGTTAAAATCGTGAGAGGTTAATACCTTCTAGCAATGTCGTCATTTATCCATTTTGATGTATTCATGAATTTCTCAGAATTTTTTTAGATCTTCTCTGACTGTCTGGGTTCTCTTGTAACTGCTGCAATCGGTGTCTACTGGAGTTTGATTCCAATGATTCCTGCCGTCCTCGTTCTTATGCATTACCGAAACTATTATGTCCGATCGGCTCGAGAAATCAAGCGGATTGAAGCTGTTTGTGAGTCTTAATTCCCCTCCCCTTAAGCCAAGAGAGCTACTCATCTGATCGTGGTTCAAGGATTATCAAAATGCAATTATTTTTTTTATTATTTTCTTATGAAAGCCAATCCATGATCATTAATTCCCGAGCAAGTAGAGTCAGGGATCGTCTTGCCAAAACTTGGAATAGCAATACTTTGCATTCAAGTATGGTCTAGCATGACTGTCACTTTGCATGTGTATTAGGTTTAGCTCATTGCGAAGCCTAGGCATTGATACCAATGACCCCCACATTTTAGCTGAAAATGATGTTGGAATGTCTAAAACTCAAAGGAATATTCATTTATTCAATAGTAATTTTAGTTACCAAAATCACGTTGGTGAAAGTCCTCCTTACGCCTAACCTTCACAGCAGGACTTGGTTCCGTCATGCAGTTTTTTTTTGTTTATTTAGCTTACAGTCCGGTGCTGGGCCAATTGATGGTGACCCTGGAGGGCCTGGCGTGCGTGCGGGCGGCGCGAGGCGAGGATGCACAGCTGACGCAGTTTCACTTTCTCATGGATGAGCATACACGTGCTTACCATTTCACCTTTGCTGCCTCTCGATGGTCCTGCTTCCGCATGGACGCCGTGTGCATAGTCTTCCTCGCTATCGTCACCGCTCTCTGCATAGTCGTCGGCATCACTGGCGGTCATTTTCCTCCTCTTCCTCTATTCATTGCCTCACAGCCTTGTCAATTTATCGAAATAGTGTTCCATTGGATACACCGAGGTTAAAGACACGACCATGGTCTTGAGAAGAATAACTTATTTGCGACATGTTATTTTATTGCCACTCTTCTGGCGTCGACTTCAAGCTTGAAATGTGCTATGACTAGTTCGTTGGTTCCGAACGGTAGCAATTTCTCATTGTCTGTAGACGCTCACTTGCCTACACGCTGCGTTGAAGCGAAGACAACACTTGGTGCCATTTGACTGTACTCAGGTTGTCCACTAGTATACTGATGTACTAGAGTCTTCATTAAATGAAATGCGAACTATTGGCATTATTATTTTGCCCACTGGTATCACGAAGTAAAATGTTACAGGTCTTCTGGTTCTAAATTACTCGCGATGTGAGATTCACATTGACTTCTTTAGCTGTTCTTTGCATAAATAAAGGAAGACAATTTAAATATTTGTGTAACAGGGCATCTCCCGTCAACCTACCCTCTTATAACAACAGCATTCTGTTAGGGCCATTTTGTGCGCTTTTATCCTTTTTTCCAAGTTCAGCAGGCTTGTGGCTGACAGTTCAGCAGCATTTATTCCACGTCCAGGCATTTTTAATGTTTCTAGGTTTACAAAGTGGAACACTTGCTGTTGTACTGGGCTACATTATGTCAATGATTGGCTTTCTGCAGTACGCTCTACGCCAGACTGCGGATGTGGAGAACCAGGTCAGCACTTCGTACTGATTCCTTTTGAGTACACATTTCGCAATAATTTATCCCTGTGCGTGTTTTGCTTATTTAAATCGTTCTAGATGGTGTCCGTAGAGAGGATGCGGGAATACATTGATCTCGAACCGGAAGAACAGCCTTCAGTTATTGAGAACACTATTACTCACCTTCCTTACCTGAAGGTTTCCTCTGAGTGGCCTTCAAAAGGAGCAATCACATTTGAAAATGTGTGCCTTAGGTATCCAGATGAACGTAACTGGGCTTTGTGGAAAATCACTTTCACTATCAAACCTGGAAGCAAGGTATACGTCGCAAATTTGATATACTTAATGTCTTTTAAAAGTGGGAGGCGCTGCAAACGTGTGCCCTGGGGGTATTCACCAGACAAAGGGTTGGGGAGGGTTTATTATTTGCACTGGTTATGGATGCACGCGTCTACTTATTAAACGCTCAAGAAATCTCCTGTTCCATAATAGCTATCCCTTGGCTAGGACATTGAACCGTTAGTCAATTTATGATCACTCAAATCTTAAATGTGAACCGGGTTCATTTTTGCCTCCTTGTTATCAGTAGTTCTTTCAAATACTTGGCGAAGGAGAATCTTATGTGAATGGCTCACTTTTTCAATTGATCGTCAACTTTATGCTTCCTGAATTCGAAGCGCTTTTATTGTTTGGTTGAGTCAGTGGTAATAAGTTCTAATTTCCTCCGTGCATAGAGGCTTACGCTATGTATTTTAAGTCACAACATTCATGGCACTTTCTTCACTCCTCTGATCGCACTTGATCTGATGGCTCAGTGGTGCAAATTAGCAACATTGGCAGTGCCCTAGCAAAAAGTGCCACCAGATGTCTTTATCTGAATATATTTGTTTTTGTGATGCTGTTGATCTGATAGACACGCCCTATTCACCGCTTATGACTTCTTTTATCGGAATCACTGATAAAAGAAGGCACAAAAGTAAAATGCTTAATGAAGCAAGATCTTGTGGAATCCTTGTTTGAGAATATTACCAAATAAGTAATCGGGCTATCACCCATCCCATACTCACTACCGCCTTTTAAAATGCACCAGTTCCATCCTGTTTTTCTATCATTTATCATTCTTAGGTGGGTATAATAGGCCGCACAGGGGCGGGTAAAACTTCGCTCATATCGCTCCTCTTCCGCCTCTTCGAGATCCAACGTGGGCGGATTCTCATCGATGGAGTAAATACTTCCCAGCTTCACCTTGCTGATCTGCGCAGACGCATCTCAATCATACCCCAAGTAAGTTTCAGCCTTAAACTACATCTTTTTAACACTTTCCTGAACTCCTAAAATTGGTCCTACTTCTTTGTCAGAGAGCTCACGCCGATCCTGGCTCGTCATTACGTATCTCTCCTCTATGCAGATAATGCGCTTTGCTTGGAGCGGGGTGATGGGCTAAAAATTGTTTACCTCGTTACTTGTGAACTGTGTGTCCCTAATTCATAAAATCCTCAATTTGCACCCACCTCCCACAAACTAGACCTGTATAGTTGTGGTACGAAGTAGCCTATGCACTATCATGTGCCAGTGCCACGTCGGTAAGTTACCGATTACGTCAACAGCATTAGCAAATGGGCTACTAAACCATTACTAAAGCATTGACCTACACTGACTTTTGGTAATTCAATATCACATTGTGTCATATGGCTGGATTGTGGTTATTCACCGGTCTAGCTAAAGGTTTATTTACTGGCCCTGCTTCTCGTCCATTAGAATCCTCTACTTTTCTCCGGTACTGTTCGATGCAATCTGGATCCAGAGGGTGCTTGTTCAGATGAGCAGTTGTGGGATGTCCTGAGCATGGTGCGTCCATCTTCCTCCATTCATTTGACTTCATTTTTGTCGTCTACACATTACACTTTGACTTATGGCAAAAGATGTGCATTTATTTGAAGTCAACCTTTTTAACTTGCTTTTCTGTTGGTGGTCTTGCGATTGCACTTTGCCTTTTTTCCTCGCAGGTTCGATTGAAGGAAACTTTCAAGAAATCAGATAAAGGTCTGAGCAGTGAAATAACTACTAGCGGGTTGAATCTCAGCACCGGTCAGAAGCAGCTCTTTTCTCTGGCTAGAGCGCTTCTCCGTGGTAACAAAATCCTCCTGATTGACGAGGCTACGGCAAACGTCGACCCCGAGTGCGTGCTATTGCTCCCCAACCTCCCTTCTTGGTGTTGTTCGTCCCACTTTGAGCAACGCTTATGGATTAAAGCCTCTCTTATTTCATAGAAAGCAATGTTGGCTCATCCAGACACCTCATTTTGCAATCATCAGCAGCATGTCATGATCTTTTGCACTGATGAAAGGTGCATGTCATGGGCTTTTAAGAAACGCACAGGTGTAGAATATAGTTAAGATCCTTTATTTCGAACAGGAACATGTAAGGATAAATTGAGACTGGTGCGATCAGTTTATGTTTTTGATGTATATGCCCATCTATGCCAGCACCTTGAAATAGAAAAGTTCGCTAGTGAGGTTGAACCACTTAATGGTGAGCAACCTTTTTTATTATTCGACAAGTACCCGTCTCTGGAGTATTTACATGAAGCTTTGTGCTGTGGTTTGCAAAACATCACAATTGCCTTTTAAATGCTTGAGCTTATCGTTTATACATCAGACTGCCTGTGTCACAACATTGCGCTGGGCTCAAAATCTTCCGCGGGTGTAAAGTCCCGTCTTCGTGCACAATTGAATGCATGCGGCGCTGTTATTGGTTGTCGTTCCATTTGGTAGGCTGGACTGAGGCAGATGTGTGGCGGCTGCTAGCAATGAGGAGGTCCTTCTAATTGTCATGTCGGGTGCTATAATCACGATCGCGTTCTTTTTTTATCAAAACAATATTGAAAGTCGCTGAATTGAATACCCTTTTCATCACACTATGTCATTTCGCTAGCTGCATGTCTTTTTTGACTTCCACCCACAGGACGGATGCTTTGGTGCAGGAGTCTATCCGTGCAAACTTTGCTTCGAACACAGTGTTGATAATTTCCCACAGGCTTCGTAATGTAATAGATTTGGATGAAGTAATGGTGATGGAGAGTGGTCGCATAATTGAACGTGGTGCACCCTACGCCCTTTTGGATCCAATTGGGGCTGCTGATGCCCTTCAGCGCGGTGGCATCGCCTTGGCGGATACGGCAGCAGGAGCATACACCGCTGTTCACACCACTGGCGGTGGTGCTTTTTCAGCTATGCTGCAGCGGACGGGAGAGAAGATGGCTGCCCAGTTGGTTGCTGAGGCAAAACGCAGCTACCTGCAAAAATTGGCGCAATGAACCTCTTATCTCCTTGACTACTTGCACCCAATTAAGTCATTGTCTAGTCGGTTTTTTCAACTAGTGTGATTTTATACAGTAGCACCATGCTCAAATATTTCTTTGAGTACATTAAATATATGTCGATATTTATGTTCTCCTTCTGGATAACCTTTTTACTCAGCTGAGTATGCAGTATCTGCAAGGAAGTTGTGATGAGAATTGCTAGTTTGTTTCGGCCTCTCGTAAATGATCTTAACTTCTTGAAATTAGCTTGAATGAGAAGCACTTCAGTTCAAACACTTAGGCTAAGGCGTGGTGGGAGTCATCATGCGAGATGTGATAGCATTCTAAGGCATGCAAAGGCTTAGTTTTTGAATGCGCAAGGACATTTCTCTCGGAGATGATGTACTTAATTTTCAATGAAATCAAAACTACTTCTATTAGGTTTTAAACACTACTATTGGGAGTCTGATTTGTGGTTTTGCCCACGCCTTGAAAAATGTGTGTGTGCTTTCTCCCTTGTGCGGTACCACATGAATTGTGCTATAGACCGTGAAGGACAGAGCCGTTATTCATTCGATCAAAATGAATGGAGCTGTATGGCGTTCTATTACCATAGTTTATTTTCTTCCGATCTCAGTCTTGGTTTTTTACTGCAAAAGGAACGTTTGGATGCTTTATTTGTATTTAAAGCAGTCTACGTCCAGTGATACGTGGATGCAGATAAGTCGGTTTTTGGACGCACAGTTGTTCAATGTTAGCCTCAAATATTGGTCGTAAGTCTGATATTCTTAAAGTAGATATTTTAACACACTTTGAGTCCATATTAGTAGGAGAAGTTCATAGTTGGAAAACATGAAGATGCGGTACTTAATGGCTTAAGAGCGAATTTTTTGCTCCCTTAAGTTATAGTCGCAGGGTGGATGGCAGTGCTTCGCTTGTTCTCCAAATCTCATATGATACTCGCAGATGAATTGACGTTGTGACGGTGTTCGTGGCCTCCGACTTGTGCTACGCCTTCTGAACCTACCGGGTCTTTGTCGCCATACCTGTTGCTGTTGTTGCGACACCATCTCTCCGAAAGCTGCTTCCAGGGCCTCGCCCTCCATCTTCATAGCCATCACCCGGTCAGCCATTTGGGCAAGTTGATCCAATGACGCGGCCTCTTTTACCGGCTCCAGTACAGAGCGGACTGCTGGCGGGAGGAATGGTATGATCATCTCTTTCAACGCCGTCTCATCCGCATCCACGGCCTTCTCATAGAGGGCGTGGCGAATTCGATGCACAATAGCCGAGGGTGTTTCTTTTCGTGCACTTCGCCACTGTGCTGTGAGACTACGCTGAATGAGAGCCGCCTTAAGGCGGTCATATGGCAGTGTCAGGTCTGGATTGAGGATGAGATCGCTGAGTAGACTGCAGTCCTCCGGTTTTAACAAGGCCAATACGCAGCTGTAACGGGCATGCTGGTTATGAATGCCGTAGGCTGCAAATTGGGCCTCACAAGCGGCGAACCAGAGTTGAACCTGGTCGGGCCAGAACGCAGGCAGTCGAATGCGTGTAGGTGCTGGATTATGCATCGCATAAATGAAGTATCTTGTGCGAGGAAGATGGCTGACGAGCAAAACTGAGGGTTGTCAGGTGCTCGTACCTGCTCAGTGACCTTTCCCTTCCTGAGTGCACTACTTCAGTGTTGTGCTGGTTCAGTAGACGTTACAAATGCCACCGCACTATCTTAAGGCATTCCCTACGAACATTCGCAAGTTTATGTCCTTCATTTAAATACTCAGCTCTTTTTCTGTTTTGAGGGACCACTGAAGCCTCTGTAATGGGGATCTGTTTAGCTTAGCCAGAATACCTTTTATACAACAGCTGGAAACGTTTTATAACTTAGCTGAAACGGGAGCAATTTCTTGGTATCATGAAATGAAACTTTGGAAAGTGACAGCCACTTTTCAAAATGCACTATCTCACCAAGTGAGTGACGCATCGCCCTTTATTTTGTCAACACCAGGCGTGGTCGATGGTATTCAAACCGTTTGGCTCCCTCACACACTTTTTCATGGGTCCGTATTAACACCCGATGGAAAGGGACTGGGTGGACTTTGCTGGTTGCGGAGACATCGGTTGGTTCGAACCCGCCTGGCTATATGCTTAAGGAGATTGAGGTGTCTTGGTGCTTGAATTCGTTCGAACAAGTGGGATGAGTCAGCGAGTGTGTTAGCACGCCTGATTGGTCAGCTCTGTCTTCTCTGACCATGCCCAATTTTATGGAGCAAAAGTTTGAAAATTCAATCTACACATCCTTAGTGGTTGTTATCAAGACACGCCCTGTTGCATTCCGGTCTTAAAGTGTGAAATAGTTAGAACGGAGTTACTCTTGCTCAAAGTATTACATCAAACCTTTGTTCTAAATGCAGAATTTTTACTTCCGTTCGAGGGGATGTGTTGCATGAACTGGTCACAAAAACAGAAAAAATAAATGGTCCTCTGAGGCGTTATTTTAATCACCATTGCTAGCATTGGGCGCGACAATTGCGGACCTGGTAGATCGAGTTGCTTCAGCTTTTGCAGCATCTATTTCATTTCCTATCAGGAGAATATGTGTAGGAGCTCATCATGTTCTCCACTGTCAAAGCCTTTGCAGTTACTTTTTTGCTGCAACTTCGGCACCATCAAAAGGGTTAAGAAGAACATTGGAACACAATTAAATGCATTGTCTCAAGAGACTAAGATGGTACGGTTGAAAGCATCAAGACAAATAGCATCTCGATAATTATCCGAAGACGAATGAGGAAATAACACCCAGAAACTGTGTACATTGGCAACATAATGGACTGCACGACACTAAGGACTAGCTACCTGGCGAAGACTCGATGCCAAAGTTCAAAGGTGCCTCCTCAACGAAAACCAAGAGCTGGACAATCTACGTACCATATGAGATCTCATTTGCTTCGAACGTTGGTAGTTGGATTTATTGTTAATCCACTCAAATTAGCCACCGCATTGGTCCTCATCATCACCCTGAGGCTAGAGCAAAGGTGAATCCTCCTTGTCAATATAATCATTCCAATCAGTAGGAAAGCGTCTGACTCCGATCTTGGTCAGGACTCATGCACCAGCAGCATTTATGAACCCCAAGACGCAGTGATAATGCCATGCACAACGTAAACACGCAAACACGTAGCTAGGACGTCACGCAGTACAGTCAGGTGTGTGTGCCTGTGGCTTATGCATGAGTGATCACAAATGGGTATTCCCGGCCATTAGGCTAGGTTACAAAGTAAGTATCGGAATACAGTTTAAGAGTATTTAAGAGCTGACGCTGCACGTCTTGTTAGATAAAAAAGATGCATCTCAAGTAATTTGTTCATTGCAGTTAGTCTCTTTAGTTACTACGCAGCGTTTAGTACCTAAGGCACTGCAATTTCCACTTTGAGTACACGATTTCAACTCCTGTCAATTTCTTATAGACGAACTAGCTGCAAACCAGGCTAAAAGATATAGTCTGTTCACTAGCGCCAAGGCGCATTATTTTCGCCTGTCAAGGTATTGAAATGACCTATCAGAAAAGCAGACCGTGTTTGCAACTGAGTCATCGGTGCGACCAATCCCCATTCGGCCAAGGGATCAGATCCGTTTGCATAATCCCGTAGCGGTCATCTAGAAGCGTGCTAATCCGTTAAGTATGAAGCAGTGGGTGCAGGAACGCATTAGAACTTATCATCAATCCTTCAACCAATAGTCCTACTTATTGTGTCCAAGAACGTCTGGAAAAGGGTTAATGATTTCTAGTAGACAATATAGAAACTTCCTGTAAACGTTGACGGTGGACACTAAGAAGCTATATTAATGAACACTCAATGGAAGAAGAATATCGAATGGATGAAGTACTCTGAAAGTAAATGAAAGCGTAAACGAAAATGGAGTTCGTGCATTCGTTTACACCAACAACTATCAAATGCCTAATTGCGATGTGCATAGGTTTAGCTATCACCGTCCAACATCAAACACACTGCGAAGGGCGAGGAATCCAACTTGCCCACACAACTGACACACATGAGACATAACAGAGCACCAGAGATCGAAAGTCACTCCAAACCAGCCATTAGCATCACCTGAGCAAATTTTGACTAATACTACATAGTAAACCTTTTCCCCAAAATTCTTGAGTAGTTAATCCTCAATTGGTGATGTCTGAATTTCACTAACACTCAACGATAAGTTATTAACTGAACTCCAATTTTGAGAGCTGGCATACTCTGGTCATAAAATTCGTTACAGGTGCCGAATAGAGAGCGTGATCACAGTCTAATTAGGAAGGACTGGGTCGCGTGAAAACCGAACGATGTGATATTTATATTCTAAATGAAGGGCAAAGAAATATCAGGAGGGATAATGGAATCAGAGGCAGCGCAAAGCAAGGTATGTACACTGGAGGTTACAAAATGGACGCATCTCATGTAATAAGAGCTGAGGGAGGTGGAGGAGGTGGCGGTGGAGGAAGCGGACCACTAATCAAGTAACGAGAGGTAGCTGATGACTTACGCCGCTCTCGGCTGTCTGAAGAAGCAGCTTCCGAAACAGAGAGCGGTGGAGAGTGCAAAGCAACATCAGTCACAGATTCCTGACTCGTCAACCGGAGGGCAGCAGCTGCTGATGCATTGTGTGCAGCTAGAGCCTCCGAAAGTTCTATTAGCTTTAGATGGGTCGTGATGGGAGGCTGCGTTAGTATATCGTTCAGGCCGACCCCACTCACAACTGACGAAGTCTGAAGGACAAAATAACCATTGTATCTGCACAAATGCAAGTAATTACCAAACACAAGTGCGAACCTCCACTTACCACACTTGTACTATATCCCGAAGATCCCATGTGCGCAAGATGTCTAAAATCCATAGGAGGACCTATAGACCGTCTGTCTATTTTATACTCCTAAGATACAATGTTGCTAATATGGCAAAATACCGATGGATCACCATTTGACACACAACAAGAGAATAACGCACCACCCTGTCCACTAGAACACAGTTTTGATCGTAGCATGGAAATCAAACTATCAGACAACAAGTATCGACACCAAAATGCAAACGCAGCATTACGCGCAAAGCGGTAGATGATCTAATCGTTAAAACGCAAACGGCAAATTATTTAAGATTTTTTATTTCATGAAAAACCCTTTATTTTACTAATAACAAATATCATTTACTGATATATAAAAATAAAAAAATCTGGCGCATCATATCTACTACAGCAACTGCAGTTATAGGGCTCGATATGTAGCAAAGCAAAATCCAGTGCAATAAACTTTTAATAGGTCAAAACGATGTCACAATGTCTACGATACATATTGCAATGCATTGTTTATGTGGCTACTTGGCGTTTGGCGATATTTCGAAGACGACAGGGCAAATGGGCCTGAGCATTGTCCGAAGGTCAGTCCACGTGTGCTGAGGCCAGACAACTTCTAAAGTGATCGTCAAACGTCATGTGGTCATATAAACCATAAACAAAGCATTACACTGTTCTTCTCTTCTTCTGAGCGACATCCTCAGCACTCCTCTTGGTACACCTCCCGCGTCAGTCATCACAACATGTTCGGCACTACAAGAAAGCACCCACGAGCCAACTGCTCCAGTCGACAGATAGCGTGAGACAGAGAGACCCTACCTGGTCTCCTCGGCAGTTTCAACTGGATCTGGAGCTACGTTCAGTCTGACAACCTGATTCAGGGCCGCATGCACCTATTGAGCATCAATTGCTTCCAGGAATAGACGGTGTAACTCTGGCCTAAAACATATATGTTACAGGGGAAAAGGGGTGAGCCACTGTCCCGTATGTAAGGAGAACCATAGTGTCATTTCCGACACCTAAACACGGGGTTTGTACGGTAAATATCGACACGAAACTTTCCCAGATGGTTCACGACGGTGTCCCTTCAGTTGTTAATAGCTTGTCTGTGGAACACAGGAATAAGGTGGAATCAAAAATGCAGACGTCAGTCCAAGTTCCTTTGTTGTGAAGAATTCAGGTATTCGCCGTCACCAAGGCAAATGCGCGTCCTGTAATTCACGTCCCCTTTACGCCTGTAGCTCATGATTGCCGGTGCACAACGCCAAGATGCGCTTCTTAATCTTGGATTTCTTCACTAAAATATAGAATTCCTTTGCAGTCTTGTCTGCTGGTTGGATTATAAACTTGTTGTCGTGAAAAGAGAGGTTTCGAATTTCAGGCCAAGTGAACCCGATTTTGGGATATCTACATGTATTTAACCAGTGCATCAACTGATCGAACCGTTGCTCGTCGGCTTGTTCGTACTGTTCTTTTCCGGAAATCAGTCGATGAATTGGCAAAGTGTAGCAACGCAAAAGTAGGATGTCAGTAAGACAGCGGTGTCTATTGGACAATAGATTTTCCTGCACACTAGGTCGCTTTCAAGAGCACCTTACACCTAAAAGTCGTTAAAAAAATGTCGGGTTCGCTTTTGCTGCCACCACTGTAGCGTTCCGAGACTTCCTGACCGGTATAATAAGCCAGTAAGTGCAGCTGAATACATGTATTCCGAAGACAACAGGACAAATGGGGCCTGGGCATGGCCCAAAGGCCAGCCCACGTGTACAAGGGCCAGACAACTTCCAAAGTGACTGCCAAACGTCAGGTATACACATAAACAGTGCATTACAATCACTGCCTTCAGGACGCTACACATATTTCTGGTGGCTTTAACAAATAGAGGACAGTTCTGCGCCTTAGAATGAAAGTTAAGCTGCATACTAGATTTCTGCGATGAAAAAATGTTTATGAGTACTTGTAACTTTCTAGACCTTTCAGATTTGTTAGTAACAGGCATCTGGCATGACTGCACGCTTAGGCAGGAAGAGTGACGTGGTGCCATGTCACAGTCCAATATACAAATTGTGCCCCATGAACATGGAAACAATCAAAATAACTTAATATAGTGCGCGCGTTCAACAGCCGCTTTGGTAGTTGCCCTATTTCACCAAGAAGTGGTATGCAAAATCTATAAATCTAAACCTAAATAGCGATTTGCTCGAGCATGCCTTTAGTAGAAAAGATAGTCTTGGTTCTGCAGGCTACCCAGCATGACTGAAAGTAAACTATTGGAATAAAAGTCTTCTTCGAATGGACTATATGTACTTGATTTGGCATAAGAAAGAATTCCGCTATTACAAAAAGGACTATATTTGATCCTGTCTTCACTCAATACTCGTTTTAGGACTGTATTCCCTCTTCTAGCCCTAAGAGCAATTAGTTGTCAACAGATGCACGCGACCCTAATTCCTGCGCTTAGCCGAAGATTAACTCCAAATCCAGCTGATCTGCTAAGGAGATCAAGCGCAATCGCTTAGTCTCACGGCAGCTCATGACTGGTGCGGCTGGCTCCTGGTGTCTCCTTGTAACACCAAAGACGTTGTGGTGGTTGGGGCTGGGATGTTCCAGGGAGACTGTCGAGGACGTGGCCCAAAAGAATGAGGGCAGTGTAATATTTTCTACAAGGGCATGATGTCTAGGCGTCACTTTGACCTTCTGCTTGCCCTTGTACGCGTTGGCCGATTTAGGACCAAGCTAAGACTCGACCTCTTACTCTCTTCTTATAATGCACTTATTTTAGGTAAACCTATTGCCATCCACCACTCAGTGATTATGCTCTGGGCGCTACAACTGTAGCTATTTTTATTGCGTCCCGAGACTTCCCACCGGGTAGAAGAAGGCATTAAGTGGGAGAGCAAATGGAGACAGCCTGAGTTCGGTCCAACGGCCAGCCCATGCGTACAAGTGCTAGACGTGTTTTAAAGTGACCGCCAGACATCAGGTGGCCACACAAACAAAATGTTACACTATCCCTCCCTTCTTTTGAGCGACGTCGTCGACGTTCCCTTAGGTATGCCTCCAGCACCAGCTATCAAAACATATTCAGTACTACAGAAAAGCACCCGCAGAGCCAACCGCGTCAGTCAACAGCCACCATGACACCGAGGACCGGCACTTGATCTCCTCGGCAGCTTCAACTGGACCTGAAGTTACATTTGGTCTGAAAACCAGAATCAGACCCCATATATCTGTTGACCGTCGATTGCTCCCAGGACCAGACAGTAGAACTTTGATTCAAAACAAATACTTGGCAGAGAAAACGGTATCACACACTGTTGCGAATATAAAGAGATCCGTGGTGTCATTTCCAACATCTATACACGAAACTTTTTAGACGTTTCACAGCAGTGTCGCCTCATTTGTTAATAGCTTGGCTGCGGAATACAGGGACAAGGTGAAACTAAAAACCGACATCAATCATCAGAGATTCTCCCGTCCCAAATGTAAATACGCTGGTACATGGGACGGTTGGTTTATCCAAGAATTGAAGTCGGTAAAATGGTGAATTTGCTTTCCACTGCCACCATTATAGTGTGCCGGGACATCTCGCCGAGTAGAAAAAGGCATTAACTGGAGCTTAATGCGTGTATTCTAAGGATGGCGAAGGGGTTGAGTCTGAGCTTGATCCAAAGGCCAGTCCGTGCTCACGAGAATAGGACGAGTCCTGAAGTAACCTCCAGATATCGGACGATCAAATAAACAAAGTATTACAGTCTTAAACTTGACTTGGGTTTAGTTGATTTCGATTGGTATGTAGAAAGGGATCTTTAAATGAGCCCTTTGGATCAGACGCCGAAACTCAGGTCACAAACTGTACGCCTCGGATTAATTTTCCTTCTCCAATTCTTTTGTACTACCTACATAATATATATTTCGTTAGTACAGGTTCACCTATTCATCAAAGGCGACTAATATAAAACTTTGTGTATGTATAATCCCGTATGCGTAGGCCGGCTCTCAGGTCAAGCTAAAGCCAAAATACCTCTTTGTTTCCTGAAACATATGCATTTAGTTCAGTTTAATACCTTTTCCCACAGTACAGAATGTCTGGAGGAGCTAAAACAGCTTTTGGAAAGGTTGCAACAAGCAGCACAAGATTAAATAACGCATGATTTGCAGTGTATGCTAATGTGCTTATGTATACCTTTATGGAAAAGAGAGACGAATTCATTGTGTGAGGTGTAATATGTACCACCTTTATAGGAGAGAGGCGAAAACCGAAATTGGAACGTGAATCTTGTGCGTGAGGACCGTAAGGTATTCCTCTCGTGTGATATCTGCTACTCGGCTCATCTGTACTCCTACCCTCATTCTTTCTGTATTCAATGCCTAATAAACCTACTGCGAATAACCCTAGCTTGAAGTCTGTGGTTCAAGTGCATGAGGGTAGGCAGGAGCTTCTACATGGGGAATGTGAAGATTCCTCCCCAGGGCGACATTGGCTTACCGCCTCATTAATTCGCCTCCATATATTTCCGTTCTGCACACGACGACGAATAAATATACCTCAACTAGCCTCAACTAGTAAACAAGCAGTCTCTACAGGTCTATATACAAATTAGGAATCGATAGAGAAGCATTTATTTATGGTTATTAAGCACTGACTTAAATTATGGTAATATCTACGAACGACTAAAGCATCACAAGTAAAATGACAGATTTTTATGCATACAATATAGAATTGCAATTTCCAAAGTAGGGAAATGATTTTAATTTTAATTAGCCACTGATGTTATTTGTTTTAAACGTTTTTGACGTGCCCGCCCCTTCGAGTTTGTTCACGTCTTACCGTACCTGCTGTTGGTTTTCCCGCTTTTCTGTGTTAGTACCGTATATAGCGAAAGTTGCCTGCAATCCGCTATGTTTTATTATGGTTTTCTGGATTTTTGAGCTATTTTGCTTCTTAAACCAATGTGCTTTTTAATGTTTTTCAAAGTATCTTGTGTATGCTGGTGTGCAACATATGTTTTCACATGCTGTGAACAGGATGCATTGGATACCTTTTTTCCGCAAAAGATGCATTTTTGTATCATTTTACTATTGCTTTTGTAGCTGGCTGTGAAGCAAATTCTTTCAAATTGGTGCTTTTATGGACACATTTATTGAACTATCTTTTGAGGGCAGCTCTGACGATGAAGAAGATGTAGTTGATGTGCAAGATAATTACTTTCCTGCAGCAGGCGAATCTTTCGATTCAGGGCAAATATACTTACCCAACGTTCCAATAAAGATAAAAATAACGCAAGTTTATTGGACGAGTAAATTCAACTATATACGGGATCGTGTTCGAAGTCCCAGTTTTTCGCAACACATAGTCGATGATGCAACAGTGGCAAGTGAAGAACCGGCGTCAGTGGGAACTTCAGGCAAAGTTCCCAGCCGTTATGAAATCACCGTCCACCATGAACCGTACGAATGGAAAATCATGAAGACATACAATGACATTTTTGCTTTACACAGAGAAATTGCTTTTGATCAAGTTAAACGGCGTGTTAAACGTGCCACGTAAGTGTTCGTTATGCAAGATGACTACTATTCTGTGCAAAGCGCTTGATATCGATGCTCGCTGTCCTGCATTCAATCTTTATTTGACACTTCAGCTCCTCATTTGATCACTCGTTTAGCGCCTTCCGTAAAACCAATTTTCATGTTTCTATTTTTTGCATCCTGGGTAGGAAGTGTTGTTTACAAGATTAATATATTCGGCGATTCCTAATATTCTTTAGCCTAACATAAGAGCACACGCCTATCTTTAAAGCAAAGCATTTTCAGAAAGTAGTTTAACTAGTGTGTGTGCTTTCTAAACGCAAAATTTGGATTGTTTAGAAGAACTGTTAGATCGCGCTTTCACCTTGCACCACCTACGGAGTCGCTTACGAAACGTCGATTGTCTGTATTTCCCAAACGATGGATCCTCACTGTTCCAGAAGAGGGTATGGCGCAACGCACAAAGCTATTGGAGGAGTATCTCCAATCGATCGTTGACTGCAAGCCGCTTCGCTATCTGGAAGGCGTGGTAAGCTATTTGTGCTAACTGTTCCATTATCAACTCGTGCTCCAGTTTGGGTTTGGCCACCGATTTTTGCTTGCAGCGGCACAAAGCCCGTTTGTTAGCTGTTTTACGAAATTGCTGAGCTTATGTCCATCCCCCTTGCTTACCTCATATTGGATTTCTGGTTTTCAGTTTACTAAGCCAACTGCTTGTCTCTGACCCCATTAAGCACGTATTTTTCGCAAATGTGTCTAGCATGGACACACGTATCTTTTACCTCAGTTGATACGAACATATCACTTGCTAACTTTTTAAAAATTATGATAGATGAATTTTTTCGAAGTATCACCGATCACATTTCGCTTGCGACTGGGCACTTCAAAATTCAAAGAGGGAACAATCATGAAGATTCCCAAACCCGGAAAATTGCCAATTCCACTGACCGCGTTTTGTGTATACGAATGCGCTTGGCAAACCAGGTTTGTAATCGTTATTTTATACCCAGTCTCGCTCACTTAGTGTGCATTTGTTTTGTGTTCAGATGTTGCTTTTCTACTTGCATTCGTCTTCGTAAATTGAATGTACGTAGACTTTTTGAACTCGTCACATTTAGCTTCTCATTATCAAATGAGAGGCTGCCAATCATAATCACATGAAACCGTGGAACCAGTATAATCAATCACTTTTGTGCAATCACAAAGAAGCTTGCAGTGTTTTCACAACCACTCTCCTCTTCTCTCTCGGTCCACCAATGCTCGTTCTTGTATTATTTGGTCCAATTCCTTTTCGTTCAGTTACTGCATACGACCACTATGACTCCTGAATGCATGTGCTGTCTCAGGTCTTTCGGCCTTAAAGCGGCCTTGACACATATCAGTGGAAGCGCGTACTACTGACTAAATAAAATTGTACTTAACTCGCTCTATGCGGTGCGACGAATTTCTGTGTTTACTGAGATGCGAATCACTCTTACCATGCTTGGGTTTAAGTGTATTCTATCTCAGTGTAGTCAATGTACCTTTGAGGCGAGGTGGTGTATGAAAACCTCTTATGTCCCACCGGTAAGCTTTGCGATTTTAATGTACGTTTGCAGGGAATACAGATAGATGAAATGCACTTACTGTGAATCTCAATGCATTTAGCGCCTGCGTGGTCCATGAACGATGACATCGCACCATTACTAAGCAGAGTTTCACCATCCTCCTGCAAAACTTTAAACTGCTTACTGGTTGTGTCACTGACATTATCTGTGTATTTTGGTGTACACTTTTAAGTACTGCAATATAGTGGTTCTTAAACTACTCCATGCCAATAAAAGCTATGAAAGGTTTGTTGATGTTGTCGTAGAAATATAGATATCATAGGTTATATCTTAGTGCCTAAATCGGCTCATTCGGGCAATTGATATGCACCTAAACTTGAAAGCATTCTTGTGTGACCACTGTCCACTTTCGCTACGTGGTTTCACTTAATCGAAATGCCAGTTTCTGCCTTTAAATAAACTGGGACCTGACGACTTTCCATAGTTCTTCTTGGAAATGTTACTTAATTATTATCCAATTGTGCTGTGCTGACATATCCTAACGCGTTTTTGCACTTACCTATTCCACGACAGGTCTGCTGATTCTGCCGACGTTAGAATGGTGGTCTTTTGAACTATTCCTATCCTCATCGCTTTTTGCTTTATTGTATACCTTTGCTACACTTTGAAACGTTTTGCCTCTCAAAGTGCACTGTGCATAAAGCGGTGGCAGGACGATTTAATGGTCTAGTTTTTTGGGCGCAAAAGAGAGTGTGTTTAAAGGCACTTGGTAAGTTGAGTAAATACTAGGCTTTCTTTTGAACGCCAATGACTGGAGGTTCGGCGGTGTTGGAGCTCTTTGGAGAGTTCAAGTTGGATTTTCTTCAAAGAGTTTTCAGTCGCTTCAGTTTCAACTCAATTATTCTATGCAGTGACAATTAAGACTCATTAGGCAAACTGATCAACAGAGCTGAAGTGGAATTGACGTGCGTCACGATGAGTTCTCTTCATCACATTTTTGATGACTAGAGGCTCATGATCTCTGGATTTACTAATATGGTAGGTCATAACTCCTCATAGATTTTTCGTGTTGGTTTGAAAAAATTTATGCGTCAGGACGCCGACGGAACAATGCTCTTCTTTCGTAATTAGTCACAACGCCCTAACCAAACTTTTGTTTTTTGATATAATTGCTTTCATCTGCACTGATTTTGCATCAATATGTCTCATCCCTTACTCAACCCTAGATCCTACCTTAATTCACTATGCGCTCGGTTTTAGTAACTCATGAATTTAACCCCGAGCTTTGGAGTCTACCAGAACATAGGTACAGTTTTAACTCACCCCAAGTCAGTCAAATAAACGAACTGTCGGGTGGTCGCCTTTTGCAATGACAAATGTCAGCTAGTATTTTTACTCACATTATTGTTCCACATTTCGTTCTGCAGCGGGAAGATACGATCACTTGGCAATGAAGTTTCTTTTAGCATGTGCAAGGCTTTTCAGCTAGTAGTGTGTGCACATACATAAATACTTATTTCTTTTTACTATTTTAACCTCCTCAAAGTTTGCTTTACCAAGTGTACTTGTACGCTCGTTCTTTTTTTCCCATTTCGAGCCTGCCTGTTCTTTTTGCTCTCCCATGAATCCGAGTATAGAGTACGATGGCTTTGAGGGAACTGTTTATCAAATTAAACTGGCTTCTGCTGAGGCAAATGCCTGTTCACCCTTTTTTCGACCGATGTATTTCGGTTTCACTATGATGACGTCTGTGGATGGGTCTCTAACATCTTTTTCCCAGACTAATGGAAGTTGTCGTAACGATCACTCAAATATGTCAATAAGCCCTCCAAATGCGGATTCAGAACCACGCTAAACAATACCATCTTACTCACCGCAGGACAGATGCACAGTTAGCTATAAACGCTGGAGATGTTATTTTTTTCACTGTAATTTGCATACAAACTGTAAGAGGAAGCATACAGAATGAATTTAAAGGTGAGCCTTGCTCTTTACTTAGCTTAGATTAACAATTTCCACATCGGAAATTGAATCGAGATAATGGTGACAGGGATTCAGAACGTGGAGGTCGTTCGAAATTTCAAAGATTTCAATTGCAACATCTTCACCAGTCATTTGCTTCTAGAAACAATCTCTCTGTCAAAAACACTGGTTACCAAATTGTGCCTCACTCTTCATTGCTGTTGAGCTGAACGTCAGCGGACATTACAGAGCATGCAAAGTCCAATTAAGAGGTGTTGTAATCCATTGTTTCTACTAGAATCAACAAATTTTCTTATGGCAACGCACCATTGTATTTTCAAAGTACGCGACCACCGTGGAAGGGCAGTGCACAAAGTAGCTGGTTCCTCCGTTCTGTTTATGGTCCCTTTTTTCACCTAGAAGCAGGTTTTCAAAAGCAATCTTGCGATAAGCGGATCAGCGCTTGCAGGCTAACTTTGCACTCTTGTTCAAAATCATTTTCTGTTCTGCGCCGCCCCACTTCCATGCAGAGCGGCGGCAATTAACCCTTTGAGTAATGGGAATGTTTTACGCGCAACGACTTCACATTTTCTCAGGAGGATTTGAGTCACTGAACCAAAACTTCTCTTCTTTTCTCTTACTCCTGTCATCTGCACATCTTCAGGATCAACATTTGGATGATTTCCATCTGCGTAATGAGCAATTTTAGACCGCTTTGTGCAACTGATGGCAGCTTGGAGCCACCATTAAGACCGACGTTTATGAGAATTCCTCTTTGAGACTTGTTGGTCTCACCTTTTCCACGCTGCACATCACTCTGTGGTGACGCATTTCGTTCAAACAATTGGAAGCATCTCTGCCTACTTGATAATGCTTTCCTTTTGACACAATCAATTTTTAACGCAAAATGTCTAGGGTCATTCTACAATATCCCATAAACACAGTTAAAATCTGCATTTAACAACTCCCGGATATCGCTCAACCGAGGTTGATTTGATTGTTCAGCGCTAACGAATGGCACAGAGACATCTGCGCTTGATGGGTTTACCTTGTTTGCATTTATTCATGCAAATTTTATCCACCTACTGAATGATTGAGCGATTGTGCAAGTTACGCAGAGGCCTTCGCGATATTCAGGGAAACCCGTGAATAGCAATTAATATTTTGTTTCAAGCAGAGCACAACAGCTGTGTGGGTGGGTTGGCTAGTGCTCTTCAATCCCCCTCGTGCTTTTAACTTACCCTCGTCGGAAGCGGGAGATATCTTCGGGACTGATCCGCATCAGTGAAGCAGTACATACAGAAATCAGTTACCAACAGGCAAGCTCATTTATCCTTCTTACTTATCATTTGCAGACAGAAGATGAGGCATTTAGGAATGCAACCATTGCACTTGCATATAGCATTGATGTAAGAAAAGTCACCAGGCTTTATTTTCGTCCGGACGGAAGCACATGCACATTCATCCAAGGCGCATTTTTAAGATACATGGCCATAAATGTCGATTGATTTCTCCGAATGAATTCCCATTCAAAATCAGGGCAAGAGTTAATGAAATTGTAAGACTTTCTGTCAAAGGTATCATTTGCTTACCTGCACTCACGTCAATACCTTCGAAGGTGGCACAAAGCGTTTCACGCCTCTTAATTGGCAAGGGGCGCACATCAAAGCTCTGAAAGAACAGCGGGTGAGTCACTGCCTCAACTGCCTCAAACGTTAGGCCATAACTCGGAAGTGTCAACGCCCGGTACCGTTGCGGCTCCATTTGGCGCAACGACGGAGCGGTTTCTGCAACTCCATATCAAAACGTTGATCATCAACCAATAGTAATTCTCTCAAAGGTCAAAAACATGCACATCTTTCACTTCTGACGTTTAAATTAATTGCTCTATTCTAGCGTTCGTTCATTTCGTTCTATCTCTTGTCATCTTCTGTGCTGAAGAAGGTTTTGGACTTTGAAAACAGGCATTATGCATGGCTTCTGTGGGACACTTTATGGTCTTTGAGAACGAGCCCTTCTGCAGCCTCTGCAGAAAGGATAAGATTTTCAGGATAATGTTAGACCACTGTCAATGGCAATGTCGACAAGTGTACAAGAGTTATGAGAATCGGTACCAGAATCCAGGTGATCTTACCTCTCTTTTGAATGTTAAACAGGTTTATGTTGAATTCTACCTGCGTTAATCCATTCATATCGATAAGAATAAATTGATTTTTGAGGAAATTTCGAGGAACGAGAATTTATCAGACGATCAGGTAATCAACTCGATGGTGTTTAAAATAATACTAAAACAAAGGATTGGCGTTGAAAAGTATTTGAAGGTCCAGAAGCCATACTCATGAGAGGTACTCACTGGCACCTCTTCAAATAAATTCTATTGCATAAATCCCATCGTCGTTTTCTGAGAATACAAATAGCACTAACTCTTGTAATACCTGTCACTTTTGGCATTATGAATAAGAGCCAACGATCACCAACTTCTTCAGTTTATAAGAAAAGTGTCCCAAGCACTTTTAACTGACTGCCGTCTTTTAGGAAAACCTGGCGATCTCATTCTTTCCATTGATATCTTGACTAGATTTGTGGTTTTAAATAAAAAATACTCCTTAGTTTCCGCGCTTTTGAGCACTTGACCTGTTAAATGCTTTCTGAGGTTGATACTGCCTATTTGCTTACTCCTCTTTTCGCCCATCTATCAATATCGCAACTTTCTGTCTGTGCTTATTTGCAGGCATTTCATTGTCATAAGCACGTTGGGGTTTTGCACTATAAACCCAAAACTGGTGCATCCTCTTGCGTCTATGAAATCTACAACTGCGTTTTTTGTAAGGAATAAGAATGCTTTTGATCTAAAGAAGACATAAAGAAATGTTCGTAAATGTGCAGTGGTCGAGGATCCGGATCCGACCTTCTCAACTTTTAGCAGTGTGGTGTGACAAATTCATCAACTATGCTGACGTCTATAAATTGCGCGGCACTTAATCTGATTTCGATTCGGAAAAAAATTCGTTTAACTCTGGCATATGGAAAAAAAGGATCAAAGGAACTACAGGAAATTCCAGCGGCCTCAGAGACACTTAAGGGATCAGAATTTGCACAAATCGCCATTTGAGCTCTTTACCAAATCTTCGCACACCATTTGTGAGGGCAGCGAGTTGACCTGTCTGTGGGTGTGTATGCTGGAAGACGCACTCCATTTCGTGTGCACGCACACAACCGCACGCCCGCGTGGTAATGCGTGCGCAGCGGTTCCGGTGCGTGCACGAGCGATCGATCGCGCCGCAAGTACATGTCGGCTGGAACGAGCAAAGAACGCCTCCACTTCGGCTCAAAATACGATGCACAATTTACCAGTCCTGAGCCTGCATAATATTTTTATAAAAGGAATCAATATGACCCGGACACTAAAGTTCGTCCGCTAGCACGAGTTTTGCATCTTCAGCTGGAGGCTGAATGAATGAATTGATTGGCAACTCTTTAGGAAAACAAAGAGCCCTTATCATAGTCTTGAGATTATTAAGGCTATCAGCGCGTTCATCATGCTTTACACTCCACTAATTATTCCTGTTAGCCTTATTTGTGAGGTCACTTTTAACCTCGGCTCTAAGTGTAGTCTCATGCCTTGCTTTTGGCAATTCCATCATTTTTTACGCTTCAACCTAATGTTTATTTATCTTCACCCCCTCATTTGTCAGTTTATGTGCCCTTGCTGACCTAATCCTGATATAACTTTGGTTTTTTGAGGACCGACATAAGGGAGGGTCCAATTACTCTTGTCCATTTCATACTGCTAAAAGTGCGTTATGCAGGCACACCCCCCGAATCCGTGCCTTCCAACCGGCATTAATAGTTTTTGCCCTTTCTATGCCCGACTGGCGTTTAAACTCAGTTGTTATTTGATGAGGGTGTATAATGACAATTGAAGGTTCTAACAAAATAAAACATTATGGTTTCCTCAGTAACCCTCTTTTGTGGACTGGTTTTGAGTATGATCATAGCTTAACATGAAAACTAGTCTTTGTGATGTTATCCATTTATTCAACCTCGGTAAGCCTATCCCACGCTCATTCTTCCAAAGGTCAGGTTACAACCCCGCCCATCCGATAGTACTCTAGTAATGAGTCCTTCTCCATAAGCCTTGTTTGTGATTGCGGCTACCGTTGTATACTTTTATTATCAAAAGACAAATTGTTCTTTAAATCTATATAGCACTCCAATCTCTGCTTTTTTTAACTTCTCATGAACGCCTTTCTACTTACGTCTTGTACTCAGAGTTCATAACTTGATTCATCCGAAACTGCGATCTATCAGTTTGTATTTCTGCATTGCTGGGGAAGTTGAACAAGCTGATAGTGCATTGACCTCACCCTGTAATGCTTTAAAACACACACACCTCCATTTGTTTCCGAACTTCCGGGCGATCGAATTGATGGGCGCCTTGCTACTAGCAGAGGGCAACTGTGTTTCCTTTATTAGCGTTGCAACTAAAATGTTGCGGATAAGAGCGCTTGATCTTATGTACTTATTTTTGTTCCTATTGCAGATGGCTTGTCCTTAAGGATTCTTACTTGGTGATGTTGAAGCCAAGTAAATTGAATCAGCAGAAGGCCCTGCGCTCAAGTCAGCAAGATGACAACCTCACGTCCAGTCAATCAACTCTGCAGACCTTTGTAACCACAAGGAATACAGAGGAGCCACATCTCATGCACCACCAACCGAAGACTGTGCGTCGATGGTACCATCGCAACAGACGCTGGCGCTTCTGCAAGGTCATCCTCATGGACCAGTTATTCAAATACTCAACTGAACACAGTGCTGCTGGCACTATCTTGAGCATCAAGAATATGCATTAGTATGTCCATACAGCTTAATCCTATGAAATTGTTTTGAGTCATAGGTCGTACTCATTCCTACAGCCATATTTCATATTTGAGTTTCAATTGCTTCTGCCGGTTTGAAATATTCAGTTAATCACATGCGTTAGCTTAAATTGAGTCCTTCGCAGACCAAAAATGCGAACGTGTTGGTACCTGTTCGCTACCCTTCTAACCGGCTATCTTAAAATTCACTTTTGGATGGCATAAAACTCACAATTTCCCACTCGTGCTGTGTTTTCTCCATAGCGAGATGCAGTTACGAACACAGAGACCCAATGATTGGGTAGCTGAAATGACCAAGGTCATCAGTCGGACTGCTGCACTGGACTACGTGCAAATTAATCGCAATGACTCTTTTGCTCCCGTCCGCAAGGATGGACAAATACTTCTGTAAGTTCATCTTCCGCTGAAGTCCCTCTCCGGAAGATACATTCTTGCTTAGCTAAAACAGATTGCTGATCCCTGTACTGAATGAATAGCTAGGCTAATCTTTCTCGTTCCCAGCCGTGTGATGAGTCAAGGTTCAAGTCTTGCAGTTGGGTCCCTGCTAAGTGTGCGCCGTTTGCACGTCTAAGCTTAAAACGCTGTCTCGCCGCCCTAGTCTCGCGGATAATATGCTCTTAAAGTCAACAACCCAATCACCCTTTTATCTGTCATTACACTCCACATCGTTAACTTTGTGAATACAGTACCGTGATAGTTTGTGCTTCTAAAGGCACAGTGGACGCTAGAACAGCTTGAAAATGCCATAAAGTTACGCCTTACAGTGTAAAATTTTGGTTTTTGTGTGTGAACACATAATTGATGGTAGTGGCGAAGGAGCTCTATGTGAGGTGAAAGAGGACCCATTGTAGGATTAAGATGGTAAGGTAATCATGCATGTTAACCTATTTACGGCAAGTAGATGTGATATTTTTCATTAAGGTAAACTGTTCAATTTGGTATATTTTCACATAAGTTGATGTTGTTTTGATGCCCAAAGCTGCTGGTAAGTGGCTTCGCAAAAACTGCGCAACGAGTGGGTTACGTACTTTGAAACAAGTCGGTTTAGAAGGATATGGGTAATCGTACTGCGTGTTTGATGGTTCGACAGCCCCTATATGTCAGTTTTAAAGGAGAGTTAATGGTTAAATTCAGTTCTCAGATTATGATATTTTATGGTGCTACTTCTCACAATGCATGGATGGAATGGTGCATTTCCTTCCAGTATCCGCATTCCAAAAGCCACGTCATTCGATGGCATTAAGATGTAGGTACATGGGAATGTTGAGAGCAACGCCACAACAAGCAGCATTGAAGATTTTAATCTTCGAACATTTACATGAATGTTATCTGCCTCCCACTTTCACACCAGATCCTGTCGCCTTTTTTCCGCTAATTCGATTTAAAAACAGCTGGTCGTGAAATTTTAAAGATTTGAAATGTATCTTGCACTCCTCTACGCTCCATATTTCTACATAATTCACACTCACTTCACTTCGTGCTTCGCCTCCTCTATCCTCTGTACGAATTTTGGGAGACCTAGGGGGTGCGTACGCAGTTTAGAAATGGCAGTTACAGTCAGAATAGACATGAAGCGATTATGCTACGATGCCAATATTTTTTTCCTCTAATGGGCTCTCTGTTGGTTGTTTCATCGGGTGATGCCTCGATAATCATATCAAAGCGTTGACACTAATAGACTGTGGTGGGTTACTCACTAAGTAAGTATTCTCTCAAGGAATAGGAACTTCACAAAAGCGTCGGAAGCTGTAGCATGAGTCAGATTAAGTTCTTAAAAGAAAAATTACTGATATTTTATTCAATAATTGCAAATAATTCGCCTTCATGTTATTGTGTTTACACAACTTTATTCGAAGAGTTGTGATGTGCATTCCAACAGTCACACCAACTTTTTGTTAAACACAATGGTTTCCGAGTCCAAATTGTCTATGCATAATGATTTGGCTAATGACATTGTTCTTGGGTGGCCGTTTGTTCGTTCCAGTGCCCGTGGAGGTCACTCATCAACTAATGCCAGATTGGGCATTTTGATAAGAGTCGTTCTGCTCCACATTATTGTTAGTTTTTTTTGGTTGGCTAGATTGAGTTTTTGCTCTCAGTAGTACTACTAGGCACTTGCACACAATAGGCGTGTTCACTTTTTCAAATCAGGTGCGTTTTATTCCTTGTTCTTAGAGCCAGTGACTGTGGCATACACCTAAGCACCATTCAACAAGCGAAATAGCTTATGGATATTTTCTTAACTGCAGTCTCGCTTGAAAGTCTTAGGGAATCTGTATTGGGAGTGGTCACCTTTTCAGTGCTAGGTACTGGTTCAGGAGATACTTAAAGCAGGATGTAACGAAGTTGCCTCAAATGCAATTGAAATCTTCGTCAGTGATAGGCCCATTAGACAGTGGCTAGTGTTCAAGTCCATTCGGTTATGCCACGTTTGTGTAAGTGGATGCGTAAATATTTGCACACACCATACTACATGACTATTAGACAAATGCCTCCCACTTTTTCACCACCAACTGATCTGAGCTTTGCGGAAGCTAAGTTGAGAATGAAACCTCTTCTTATCTTTACGAATACACGTAGAACTAGAATCACGTTCGTTTTAAATCGCGATTAAGAGGTGCATACAGCTGAGAACAATATAGAACTGAGAGGTCAACTTTTGTCAGCTTTAAAAGAGCATCATCAGAGTTTGAGATCTGTTGACTTTGCTGAAAGTTGTGGTAGAGGTTTAGGCCTTCAAGGCGCTGGATGAGGAAGAGGATTCTGGCGTCTGATTTGCGTGTGGTCGTAATTTGTATAATGTCTCACGGTCAGGTGCATCGACGGTGCCTCCTACATGGATGCCGTGGCGAACGGAATTGAGCGAGCGCAGCATGAGATCTTCATCACTGATTGGTGGCTCTCGCCTGAGGTCTTTCTCAAACGTCCTGACGGTGGTGACAAATGGCGGCTAGATTTCCTACTCAAGAGGAAGGCGGTATGTGGTGTCTACTGCTTCAGTGTTACATGTATCCTTGCTAATTGACGTAGTCACACATTAATACAAAGTGTAAATCTCTCCTACCCTCTGTTATGCACCTCAAATAGCTTTGGCATTTCTACTCATTTGCAAAAGCAAAAATCACTACATCAAACTGTTTTGAACCACACTTACCCTCGATCCATAATCCACTACCCACCATGCGCAGCCATAACTGCGGCCAAGATACTGTCATCCTCGCCCTGGCGTTTGCGTATTCTATAAATCGCCTGCAATTAGGACTTGTCTAGCTAATGCGCTCCAAACATTAAAAAATTCTCAGCCACTTACAAAATAAATTTTACTGTTTGGAACCTTTAGCGTCATAAAATGTGCCCATTACTTTACTGCACGCATAATCGGTGTTCAAAGTCACCAGTTACATTATCTTTTATCACCGTCGTAAAGAGCGGTGCAACTCTTTTAATAATATTATCGTCAGTTACATGGTTAAACAAGCTTATTCCGTGGGCTGTAATATACTGGTGAGGGGTGTTGATTGCCTTCCACTGGAGACTTTCATGAAGCCATCGTTCTGACACCCTAGTAGGTGTGGCTACATGGGAAGTAGAAGAGGCGTCTGCGAAGAGTAGTTGTGTCATTGTCAGAATAGAATGCAAATGCGAATCAACGCATGCAGTTGTGGTAGTTGCCTGATCGACTTTGTGTGGTTGAAGTGGTGGTGTGTGTGCGATTGTTTTGTCCCCTGCTTCGGCAAAATCTTTAATCACCTCTTGGGAAGAACTAGACATTCAGTACAATAAGTGCAGGTCTAAACTTTTGATTCCAAAACAACGTCAGGATGTTTCTCGATTGGTTAAGGGGGAGTTTCGGATTTATCAAACTCACTTCTTTCTTTTTCGCCACTATCAGAAATTATTGGTATTTGAAATATGGAATCCATCCACCGTGTTTCTTGATATGTTTTAAATTATAAGTTCATTATCAACTCCCCACAAATGTACTGGCTGTGGTGGCTGTAAGCTGTGACCATAACCTTCTCTGAATATGTTTCGTCTCCTTTTCAGGAAGAGGGTGTACGAATATGCATTCTAATATACAGAGAGGTTCCGCAGGCACTAACAATCAATAGTAAGCATACATCAAGTTGGTTGTCGAGCCTCCATCCAAACATCCACGTAAGTTGGGCATTGCCTCTGTGTGCTCAAAACGTGCTTACGTAATACCATGTGGCAGTGCCTTAATTCCCCGTTTTTGCGATCTGGAAGAGTAAAGAATAAAGTAATTGCATCCCCCTCAGTACCATTAGTTTGTTGATCATTTAGGTAATAAGACATCCTGACCACATTCGTGATATGGTGCTACTATGGTCGCACCACGAGAAGTTGGTCGTAATTGACCAGTCTATCGCCTACATGGGAGGCATTGACCTTTGCTACGGACGCTGGGACCGACAGGATCATCCGTGAGTAGTGGAATGCCCCTAGCTGAAACTAAGCCTGTTCGATTCCAATCCTTCATCTAAAGAACATACTTTTTAAGTAGAATAAACTTCACCCACCCATAAGTGCTTTACGAAACTGCGTACGAATACTTTAAAATTTAATCTAATCACACAAGTAATGTCAGAATCCGCGTTTCTTTCCGGTTTCATTTCCTGAACTATTTGACTTCCAGTAAAATCATGCTACGGTAATAAAGTGTCGGAGTTACACGAATTCATGGCCTAAGTATCTAGGCAAATGTTCTTTTATAGTCCTTTTAATCCTTACTTATTTAAACTCTTACCCCATCTTTATAGGTTAATTGATCTGGATAAGTCCAAGCCTTACAGAAGAAAGCAAGTCCAGGTAAATCCGAGCTTTTTATTCTTGATTTTTTAGCCTCAAAAGATTGTCAAAAGGTGAAGAACTTTGGCCGGCCAGAATTCGCCATTTGTGTAGGTAGTCAGCCTGATAGTGGGGGCTGTAAGTAGCGGCTTATAGAACAACCGTTTGTGCTCTTTGAACTGCTTTGGATCAACGGCGTATGTGATACAACCGTGTGTCCTGTTCCAGTTTCCTTATTAAAGAGGAGTTGGAAGGTCACCTTATCTAGGCGAAGGGCTCTATCTCGTCCATCTACCCTCTAGATCTGCTCACACCTTGTAATGAAGGCTAAGATATGCACTTTCACTCTATTTCAAGGGTGGCACTCTCTTGTTATTCGTCAAAGCTTCTCTTTGCATTCTTATCCATTAAGCCTACCCTGGTTGGGTTAATAAATTGCGAATGCAATTTTCATCTCCTTCGTAGTAGTGCTTTCTGCCAGAGGTTGGAACACTTACTCCATTCTTCTTTCCTTCAAACCATAAACATCCGCCTTTGATGTTGCGTCTGGCTTAGTCTCAGTAATCTAACCACCTCTCCAGTATGCCAGTATTAACTCTTGAACAGTTGTTACTGTTTTAAGTCGAATGAACCACCAGAAACTACTTGATCATGGGGTACTCTGTCTTTTTTGCTATGCGCGTATGGCTGAAGAAGTGTTCAACAACCCTTTTGGTACTGTGTTTAGTCGTTCCGACGATCTATGCTACGAAGTTTCACTAACCGTTGGACCGATAGAGAATCTTTCGGATACGATTTTATGTCTAACGATGTCATTTCATTGTAATCTGTTTAAGTATTTAACTGATTGGTTCCCACAATCTCTGCCGCTTTTCATGGGCTCATGTTCTTATCAATCATGCAAGGACGTAAATCAGGTGTTTTTGTGTGTTGAGTACCTCACTCTCTGCCAGCCTATATCGCCCTTTCTTGACTTGAAGCTTCTCAAGGAGAGTGCATTTTTGATTGTTACTCAGTAGTAGTGAAGAAAACCTTGAGGAAACTCGTATAACATACTTTTCATCAAAGCGAAGCCGTGGCGTGTGAAGGTGGTTTAACGTTGATTTTTATAGTACATCGCACGAGTTCAATTTTTCTTTATTCCGTCTTTGGTGCGCTCCAACGATAAGTAGACTAAAAACGTAAAATCAACTCAAGTAAAGCTCCGTTCTCCTCCCAACTAAGGTGCGATGATTTGTGTATGAAGCAACTTCTATCATGAACCATCACATCCACTGATTTTGTCCCCGAAAACTTAAAGCATTAACATCTATGAAGTCCATTTTCTACCAGCTATGGAAATAATTCACTTTACTATCACTAAAATACGTTTTTTTTTGATAATTACTTGAGTGGGCGGCTGGACTTGTTTTACGAGTTTGTGCACAGTTCTAACGCCTCCAAGTCTTAACTCTAGCAATGAGTAACCTTTACCATTCAGCGCAAACATTCGCGCTTGCAGAAATGCACCAACTTGTGCAATGAGGTTTAGCGTCAGAGTTAAGCTTTGCTAGTCCATAAATTGTCTCAGTGTTATTTCACAATTAGGCGGGAGAAATAATTGTTTAACGACATGAGAAGAGCGTTCCACCGCTAGTGTCAGATCTAAATCCCATATTTCAAAGGCTCATTAAAGGTGAGGGTACTAATGGGGACACTTCCACCATGCTTTTCAGAATGCCTTAACATTATTAGATATTTTCAGAAGCTCAATAGTGTGATATGGTTTTTATGCCTATATTGTTACAGCTGCAAGACGCTGCAAAATCAGCAATTGTGGCACTGATGCCTGTCATGCCGATGGTATCGATAGAAGCAGAGGAACCGATAAGCCGGAATTCGCATCGTAGCGACTCCCTTAGCGTAGTCGTCACTGACGTACCGCAGGAGGAGGTGGATCGTGACCGACGAAAGCGACATGGCTCCCCCACTTCCCCGTTTTCTGAGGGTCGCCTCAATTTCGCCGCCCTTGCAAACATCTCCATGGTAGCTCACAACTGGAGACGACAGGTTGGACATAATGAAGATCTCGAGGTCCGTTCACTCTCCTTTTCACCTCTATCGCCCTTTTGCATTTGCTGATCACTAAACTACTCGATGCCCTCGCCAATGCTATGTCCTCTGAATCCTAATCCTATTAACAAATCGCGTTTAGTGTCGAACCTTCTTTAACCTTAAGATATCTGGATTTAAGCGGCGAGATTTTGGTCATAGCCTTAAATAATCCGTTTGCACTTGTTGCTTTTGGCGGCTACTGTCCAATTCCCAACCTGTTATCTCCAGCTTAATCGTACCTAAACCTAATGCTTTACGGCCACAAGCTCATAGCTACGTTTCAAAACAGTCAAATCGTCTATGGCATTGGATGCGAGGCCACCTCCGAGTTAAGCCTAAAAATAAAAAAAATTAAACAAATACTGGATGCTACCCGCTTGATCATTGCCTGCATCTTTCCTTTTATTTATTATTTAAGGAGGCCATGTTTTATGCCATTGCCATATTCGGACCGCGCTTTCATCCTCTGGGCTCAATTGAACATATCAAGCATATTTTATGAATGCTTTTGCCATATGGCTCGTTCAGAGCACCTTGGCTTGTGTTAAGACAATTTCTGAGTGGTGTGCATTTACCAGCTACGCTCGTCAAAGCCACGTTGAGTAGGTGAGGTGGTGGTTTGGTTGCGTCACTGATTAACACCGTTTTTTTTTTACTTTATTCGTTGCGAAACCGAGCAACACCTTCTATTCTATCTCCATTAGTGTGGACCCATACTTGGAAAATCGTCAGTTCTACCAACAAATGTGTGCTAGAATAAAGCGGCATTTATTTTCTGCAGTTGAAAGTTCATGGGAGGAGGATTGTTTTGTACTGTAGGCAATCAATAATCCCTTCACCAGAATCGATTCGATATCCGAAAGGTTTCAAAAACATTTTTGGTACCTTTCACTCTTGATTTTTCATTAAAAATTATGAATTGATCGCCATTTATAAGAAGTTTTATCCATCAAAGAAATCACAGCTTATTACAGAACGAAGGGCTCTGTAGCATTCAACTCACTTCTCACCACAAAGCACGGAATTCCGCACATTCAATCAGCAAGAGATTTGTGTTGGATGGCTCTTCTGCATAGTTTCCACGTGAAGCGGGGAGATAAAGCGAAATTGAATTGAATATGCTGCGCTTGCTTGGTGAATTGCTCTCTTGGTCCTAGTAACCCTACGTCTCGGAAATTTTTTAATCTTAAAATGAAATAAACTAAAATTAGTATCGCACTGAACCACAATGTCATTAGTTTGCCATTCTTCTTCCGTTCTGAAAACTTCTAGCGTAGAAAAGAGGAAATTATTTGTCTTTGAAATTATGAAATCATATGAAAGTCTGTAAAAGCCTTACCTTGAGGAAACCAGTTTCTGACATCAACGCATGCAGTGTGGAGTGTTTTGGGAGTTTATTGAGTCCCACAAACGCATCGCATTGTATTAAATTATTATCAGAGTCAACAATTATTTTGTCTTCATCAACTAGCCAGGAATTAAAGTCATGCCAGACGGTCAAATGGGCTTCCGCTCTTCGATGCGTACTCGCAAGAGCGTACGTCGACATCGTAGCCATGGTGAAGACGGCGGAGGGCCTGGTGGAGGGAATTTGGAGAGTGGTGATGAGCTGGAGCCCACCATGGACATCCAGATTCCTAATATTGGTCGCCTCCAGGTGCCAATTGACGCGTCCCGTGGCGACTTTCAACATGGCGCCGTCGACCACCGTCATCAAGATCCAGATCAACGTCCTCGCCGCTTATCCTCAGTAGTCCCCAAACGAATGGCGGAGTTTGCCCGACGGCGCTCCCGTAGCCAATCTGTGTCTCCACCTTGCGAAGTTCCCAATCGCACTGATACTGATCTCAACCGCAGACCTTCAAAACCACGTAAATCACGTTTCTCCACCGCTGAAGTACGTGTGTACATACACCTCTATTCGCAAAAAGTATTTCCAGTTTAAATCATGCTAACACATTTTGCTCGGTTTTCAGATAAGTAATGGGATCCAAAACTTGTTCTCTAGAGTTGGTTCTCAGCGCAGACGCTCACCAGTGCCAAAATTGCCCGAATCGGATTCCGATGAATCTGATGACATAGAGTTTGTAAATTTGGGCTACTACAAACGTCGGCAAACTAAAGCGCCGTTCTCCAAACTTCGTGCGGGACACGAAGCCACACCAGTTTATGAATTCAGGTTTGTGTAATCAAACTTACTACAGCAGCTTTACTGTTCCTAATGATCTCGGTCGTCCTATTGGGATTTTTTGCTAATCTGCAGAGGTCTGGATCAGTAGTTAATATTTTCAGCAACCTCGATACTTTGGAATTAGGGCCGTTTTTATGGTCACATAAAAACCAAAGCCAGTACTCGTATCAATTTCGTTTCCCTTTATATTTACCTAAGCAATTAGCACCCTTTAACCGATACTGCTTTTCATAAATTTCATTTTTTTAGAGAGGATCCCACCGCTTTCGATGAAGAGTCTAAGCTTGCTGAACTTTCTCATCGTTTCCTGTTTGTTGGCAAGGACTACGAAAACTGGCTTTTCAAAGATGCCGACGATCTTCATCTCCCAGAGGAGGGTGAGTTTGGTATTTCATTCCTCTTCAAATGTGACTCCCCTTCATCACAACAAGACTTGCTACTCAAGATTTTGTTCGTAGTATCATTCTACGCATTAAATTGACCAACAGCTCATTTAAAAACGCACCACACCTATCCTTATTTCCTGGCGTACATTTAAAAACCACAAGAAAATCAGTCGAGGCAGGGTTCTCAATAGCGTTTGCACTTGGAGCGGCTGGCATCCATCACTTTTGACGCGAGAAGAGCGATTTCTGGTTATGGATCAAAGATTTCTCTGAACATCCGAACCTAATGGTGTTTGCGGAGAAACTGGGTGCATGGCAGCATTTCTAGGATCCGGCTTGTACAAACTACTGAATAGTGCTCGCACGAGTAATGACACGAGTGACTGAGCATGTGTTATTCCGACGCAAGGAAAATAACCTCTATCTATGCCTCACTTAGATCGCATCGACCGGACTGAAATGCCACGAATGCCCTGGCACGACGTCGGTTGCGTAGTTACGGGTTCAGTTGTCTCCGACTTCGCTCGACACTTCATCCAGCGCTGGAATGCCACCCGCGTATGCACAACAGTGCTTTCTCTCTCCATTTTCGTGCTCACCCTCTCTACATACAGAGGAGACCTGATGATTCATTAAGTGTTTATCTTTTGAAATCTCGTTGCTTTGCTCTCCTCTAGAGGCCTTAATTCACTAGTTTAGAACCGCATGAAGTAGAATACATACCCAATCTAAAGAGGAGAGTATAAAACGTACAATGCTCGAAGGGTTTTGAATTGTCATTTTTAAAGCAGCTTTTATTGCCTTTTGTTGACAACGTGCAGGCTCCCTAACAAGTAACATGGTGTTGCAGTCTGTTATTCAGTAATAAAAACGCAATTTTATTTAAAGAGCACTGTTGACTGTGTAGCACAAATTCAGCTAGAGAAGACTGATCATTCGTTCTACCCATCCCAATATAGAGACTGTTGTAATGGTAATTTGTATGCCTAGCTGCGGAAAGTGAAGCGACGACGGGCGAGCAACAAGCTTCCAATACCACCAATGTTACTTCCATCACCGCCCTGCGATCCGTGGAAGCAGATAGGCATAGCAGCAGTAGGTGGAAGACGACACGCTCACCCCGTCCAGATGCAAGCGTTGCGCTCCGCCAGTCGCTGGTCCCTCGTGGTCAACCGCGGAGGGGGTACAGGCGGTGAAAACGATTTCGCCTACGAACCCAACAACCTCAACATCACTCCCCAGTTTACTGAGCGCTCCATCCACAACGCTTACATCGAGGCCATCCGCAACTCCGAGCACTATGTCTACATTGAAAATCAGTTCTTTGTTAGCTGGCTCAACGAGAAAACCATGGAACAGGACATTCAAAGTGCCAACAGCAATAATAGCACCAGTCCTGCGGGCCTTGAGACCGAATTACAGCCCTGTCTGGTCAAAAACACCATCACTCAGGCTCTCTATGATCGAATCTTGCGTGCCCATAGGTAGGTCTACGTTAGGCACATAGTTTTATAGCATAGCTTATTCATGCAAGCATTTGCTTTCTTTGTGGCTCCAATTAACAGGAAAATTATTGACCAAAGAAATGGTAGTGTATAGTTTGCTTTTTGACTATTGATACGGACTTCGTTGGCTGTAGGGTGGATTGTTGGTTGACTATTTATTTTAAGTTCCACCTGACTGTTACTTTTCAAATTCATTTGATGCATCGAACAGCGTTGCTTGCACAATACTGCTATCATTGTCTGAAATCAGATGAAACATCTTTCTACATCACTGGCTCGTCATAACCTCCTCAGGTGGTTAAGGCTGTCGTCACAGCCTTGAGGGTAGCCATCCTGTCCAATTATCCTGCACTTGAGACAAAGTAGGAAACTTCGAAACGGATTTTCCTCACTCTAGGGAGAAAAAGCCCTATCGGGTGTACATAATCTTGCCCCTGTTGCCCGGATTCGAAGGTGACGCAGGCTCTAGAGACAAGGGAACGTCGATTCACTACGAGCTGCTTTTCATCCGAAAGAGCCTCTTCTACGGTCCCACAGCTCTCATTCCCCGACTCAGGTTTTTCATCTCAAATCCCAAGGATTACATTAGCGTCTGCGGCCTTCGCACCTACGAGACCTGGCCCGACGGTCGCTTGGTAACCTTACTCATCCTTTCTGCCAATCGCAGTACTAATTGCTCACAATATAGTCGTTTGATCAAAAAATGGTCTAAAGGACAATGATTTTACTCTAGACACATCTTATTTGTCAACATATCGACCCAAGGTGACCTCTCTTAGGCATATGCATGTAATTATGCTTATTTTTAGACGACAGAATTCATTTACGTACACTCCAAGTTGATGATTGTGGATGATCGCAAATTGATAATTGGATCAGCTAATATCAATGACCGTAGTATGCTCGGTTACCGCGATAGTGAGCTGGCTTTAGTGGCGGAAGACGTACCTGAGGTGAGTCCACGTCTCCGTTACTCCCATGCAAAGCATTGTAGCACACAATATCAGCTGAAGTTAGCATTCTATTGTGGTTAAGATAGTAGTGAGGAGAGAGAATGGAGAAATACACCAGTAGACTCGTGAGCATCTATCAGTCGTAATAAGCTGAAGTGCGTTGGTAGATGGGATCACTGCAGGAAGCCACGTTTGCTGGAAAGAAGGTGTTTGTGGGCAACGTGGCTCGACGCTTTCGCAAGTCCCTGATGGCTGAGCATCTTGGCGTGCTGACGAAAGAGTCGCGGGAAAATATCGATTGGAACCACGAACTCCTCAACGATCCCATTTGTGACGAATTCTACCACAATGTTTGGTGCCGCATTGCCGAAAGCAACATGAAACTTTTTGATGAGGTGAGCCACAAATCGAGAAACTCTTTACCGCAGCTTAGGCAGCAGCAAATTTTCAATTCGAAATGCCGTTTCTTTCGTTGTAATTTTCTGATCATCAAAGGTCTCGGAGGTGTGAAAGTTGCTACTTAAATGGCAAAGTAGAAAGCCTACAGGTTCCCCGTGAATAGTTCACATTACAAAGGTGGTTGCATATTTATGGTGATAATTAGCAGGTTTGCTGGTTATAGGAGCCTCAAAGCTGCAGAATTTACCCTTCTGCAATAATACTTTAAGTTTATACACTTATGGTGGTGGGAGCTCTCTCAAGGACGCCACCACGATTTCACGCTTTGCCCTCTATGGCTTGGAGTGTCGTGCAGCAACACCATGCTCCCTGCCCACACACGCGCACAAACAAGATCTTTAATGACTTTACTGTTGTGGTTCAGTAGACAGCATTGCCTGTGACTCGACAATCCTTGATCTGAGTATCTCATTCCCGACACCTTCATACACCTTGGTAATTTTTGCTTCATGCCTTCAAGTCTAACGGAGGTTAGATGCAGTCTCATCCGTGTTTGTTGCACAGGCACGAGTTACGCAACGATGCCAAAGAGAAATTCAAGCGACATTTGCAAAACTCATAGAAGAGATTATTGGTGAACCAACTTTACTCATGCAATGTCTCTGAACGCAAGCGTCGATGTAAGATTCGGGCAATCAATCCCAAAGTAGTCACTCATTGGTTTTGCATTTTTACAGAAAACGCTTCATATTCACCTTTTACTAACAATTTTGTCAGTTCTGATGACTGCCTCTCAGGTCCAGGCCATGGATGTTTCCAGCATTAATTTTTTAACCTTGTCATACATCTTCGATCTTCGTTCCTGAAAGTAATTTCCATTGTAGGCCTTCAGTTGTGTACCTTCAAATAACATGGATTCCTTCGCGAAGGTAGACATGATACGCAGCGAAGAACCTCTGTACAAGCGCGATCCAAAGAAAGCCGAAAAACTTGTTGAAGGCATTCGTGGACATCTGGTAAGCTTCCCTGATGAATTTCTTTGCGAAGAAGACCTCTCACCACCGCAAGTCTCCAAAGAGAATGTCCTCGTCACGATAGTTTGGACATGACATTCCTCGTCTTTGCATGCGAAATGTCTTTCCTCTCCTTGTCTTTACCCTCTTACCCCGTCATTCCTTCCCCCAGCCCCTCGTTACCTTTTCATTCCATGGTCAACAAAGATAGTGCCTATTTTCTAACATTCCTATGTCAAATTTTGCTATTTTTTCCTTGGAATATGAACCTGTCTTTCTTATGTTTTTACTTCGTCACAAAAATCAACCTAGCTAGATTCGGCTTTGCAGAAATAAAGTAACAATTCTTATTGTCTTTTCACGAAAAGCTCCTGAAAAGAATTCGATGGTTCTTCTGAGTGCGAGTACACTATTCAATTTTGTTCTTGAAGACGTCTTCCTGTTCTTGAGTCAGTACCATTATCTCTGAGGTACGTGAGCAATGGACGTTCAACCGAAAATCGCCTGACAGTTGTGCTTGATGCAACCAAGACGAGGCGACATCTCACGTCGAATTATGCGTAAGGCACCATTCTTGTCAGATGGATGACCCTCTAAAGCAGTAATAGTCACATGAGCCTATCAATTCACTTTGGCGAAGTCAGGTGGCCTTTGATTATGAAATGATCAGAGACAATACTGAAGTAAAATGTCGCATTAAAAGTTGGGCGGAGTTGCCTTTACTGTCTTTAACGGATGTCTTGTCATTCAAATATCCACAGAACTTTCGCGGCTTATTGCTCAAGAGCCTGCTGGTAACGCGCATTAGCCGTACGTGAAGTTAATTCGCTTTACTGGTAATTGCGTCCGGAGATTGTCTATTAATCCGCAAGAACATTTGGTATGCATAAGTCATCCTCCTATCATTTACCCAGTTAGCGCTCAGCGACAGCTTTCAGCTCTGTGGTGTGGTAGAACTGCATACACGCTCTCTAGCTCGGGGGTGCCCACAATGCCGAGACAGACTCCTAAAATTAGAGTCGCTCACACATAGGAGAGTTCTCAATGCTGTGGCCAAAACCTGAGCTGAGATAGTTAATTATTCACAACGGATGGGATTCTGCAGTCCTCAGTGCATTTGCTTGATCACTAAACACCCTTCACTCTCATGATCCAAGTGTGCTTAAAATTATTTGGAATCTTGCTTTGATTCAACTTACCCAAAGCATGCCCTTTTGCGAAAATTGAAAGGCAACCTGCCTCAATATAGGATGTCTCCACAGCCGCACAGTTTGCTCAAATTCACTATTCGAAAGGCAGGTTTAGTTCCACCGCCCGCAATGCACAGGTACGACAAATTATTTCCAACTTAAAAACATCCATATTCAACATGTTGCAGTATAGAATAAGCGAAATGCAACCAAAAATAATGCGTCGCAGTAGTGGTAGTCGCTTGATTTGTACCAAAAAACCGACATAAAGTTATTTGGCTGAAGTTTAATAGCAATAACAAAAGAAAACATAAAAAATACAACAATGTGCTGGAAAAAAATAAGGGTATTTCTCGCTTTCAATCCTTGTCATGGAATATGTGAGTGAAGGTAGTCACTTTCAAGTCCAAAGTTCTAGAGAGGCGAACTGTTCAACGCTTAGTAGGGGAAATGTAAGGTCCTCGTCAGCCAGATAGTCCTCGGGGTACTCGCATAGGTGACCTCTGACCCTGCGAAGAAGATCAGCGGCTCTTTTTCCCTTAGGCTGTTTACCCTGCAATCGGGTTGGTCGCTTTGGATACTGCTGAGCGCTGTTGGACGGCACACAATTAAAGACCTATGAGAAAGGAAGTAAGAGAATGGGCTTAGTGATAATGAAGTTTTACCATAGGTTACCAAGAGCTCACCAACGTAAGTGTGGGAGAATTGGACAATAGATCGGAGCCATAGCGGTTCATTTTAAATTTCAACTAATGAAGTTGGTACGATACCAAAGTGAATGCATTTCACGCAAAGATGAAGGCTGTTACCACTTTTCTACTTAGTCATAACTTCAAAGTATTTCTATAAACTAAAGAAAAACACTAATGTCACCTATAGAAAGTCGCGCATCATCTTGGCGGTCGAAACAGTGAATATAAATTCGCTTTAATCATACTAAAACTAGTCAAAATTATTCCTCTTTCACAAAAAGAGGGTTCTTTACACCATTACTCGAACAAATGTGTTTCGATATAAGCGTATAAGTGTTTCGAGCATAGAAACAAACCTCCTCAAAAATGTTCATATTGCATAGCGCGGTCTTCCGCCAGACACCATGGAAGAAGGCATCGGATGTGGGTTGGTAGAGGATAGAGGGGTCCCAGGATATCGTAGCACGATCAGAGAGCATCCCCAAGTGCTCAGCCATCAGACGGCGCCTCATATCTGCAATAACTTCGCATTTTTCCTCACCCACCTCGCCCTCAACCACCACTGCTAATTCGCTGTCCCGATCGCCCAGCATACTTCGATCATTGAGGTTTGCCGATCCGATTATCAGTTTTCGGTCATCGACTATCATCAGTTTGCTATGTATGTAGATCATCTCTGTAGTCTTTAAAAAAAACAACATCTGAGGCATTCGATGAAAGTAGCACTATTGCATAGAAGAGGGGAGAATAACCTTGGAGCAGCAGTAAAAACTTACAAACCGTCCATTCGGTCGGCAATCGTAGTTACGAAGACCGCAGACACTGATGTAATTATCAACGTCCGGAATGCGCATTCGAAGACGAGAGAGTAGCGCGTTGGGCCCCTTAAAAAGGCTTGCACGTGTGAAACGTAGGATTGCGTGGATGTTCGAGCCAGATTTTTTATCCCCAGGCACGCCCTCAAACGCCGCCAGGAGAGGGATGAGAATGTATACTCGGAAGACTTTCTTATCCCTGAAAGCGTTTTATAAGAAGCCAGTCAACTGACCTTATACAACCAAAGGTGCCATAAATTTTAGGTAGAAATCATTGTGGGGAGGAAAAATTGCTCAGCTTGAATCAACAACGATATCATCGTGTAGTTTGAAAGATGGAAGACAAGGAACCTCTTGTCAAAAGACCTCTGGCTTCGAGATTTTCCGGTTCTTTGTGTTACTTTAAGTGATAATAAATTTTTCGTTAAACTGGGGTGGCTACCAGTGAAAAAGTAATATGTTCCAAATCTCACCACGGCAATTGTGCGATCCATATACTTTACTTTAATACAATTAAAAGTTTCAAAATATGAGTGATAAGAAAAGGCAAAGGTTCATAACAAAAGATTTCGAGAGCGTAAATATTACCGATGAGCCCTGACTACACGGTCGTAGATGGCTTGCGCGATTTGGTTTTTGACAAGACGATTTTTCTCCGCACCATCAGAGGCGTCTACCCAACTGATGAAGAACTGATTCTCAATGTAAACGAAGTGCTCTGCTTCACGAATGGCCTCAATGTAGGCAGTAAGGATGGAGTGTTCGGTGTGTGAGGACGTAGAAGAAGATGTGGTCACTGCGTTAGCTTTGACTCCACGCGTTGACACGAGGGACCAGTGGCCGGCTGAGCGTAGAGCCTGCAGCCGCACCTGCCTTGTAGTCTCGCTGTCAGAGATGCAGGTGCCGCCCAGTTCGTGAAGGCGCTCGGCCAGAGACGTATTGGCGGGCAGGGTGGGGAGAAGGATGGGCGGTATGCAGGAAGTCAGAGAACGTATGTGTTTTGTCTTCCGTACCTTGACCAGAAGTATAAAATCACCTTGTAAAACGCATATGCGAATTTTCAATCCACTGTTCGTAACGATCGTCTGCTGTGACATCACCATAGAAGGCAAGGCAAATGTTGTCCACTGCTTAGTACTCTTCAGTACACACCTTCATCCACCAGTCAAGATGAAAATAGAGGCGGAAATATGTGGTTGAAAGGATAGTTTCCAAATAATTCCAACAGTTATTTTACAAGAGAACGCCATTTTTCATAGATACGTGAAACAAAACGTTGAATATTCCGCCACCATCGATGAAAATTGATAATCATGTTGGTAAGATAATGAGTGGCAAACATGAGGATTGTACTTGGACATATGGGACATATTGAGATCAAAATGTTTTAGTTAGCAGGATTTTTTGAAAAACAAGAGGTAACTTAATACAGACATCTCCATAATGTACTACCAGGCATTATTATTTTAATAGAGGGAATGGTGCGACTGCCCTTAAGGTAAGAATGTGCACTCCATGTTCTACCTGAATGTATTGGGCGAGGAACGCCATGTAAGCACTTTATGGACTATTGCAAAACGCACCATCGTCCATTCTCGCTCAAGCCTTGACGTCATATCTGGCATAGTCAGGAGAGCTTGAACATTCTTTCTAGAATTTAGTTTTTAAGTTACTGCTCTCCAGTCACACTGGGTGTCAAAGATACTTCCGGATGGAAATGATTAAGTTTACCAAAACAATGAATCCGCCACGCAGTCATACGTGTCAGCACACCACAAAAGTAATCCAAAAAGTTAATGATATCCTCGCTGCACTCAAATGCAATTAGCTATTGTAACTTGTAATAATTGGACGATGCCAGCATTTAATCCCTATTAAAAAGGGAACACATGTAATATTCCAGATGTTTCCGTTTTCCGTTGCAGGCGTCTTAACCATAATTTTCCAGCCCTCATAGGAAGGCGTGATTCCGCCCACTCTTTGGTGTACTCCTGCTGTATTAATAACGTCTCGATTAACAAAGTCAGTTTTCCATCACAAGTGGAAGCACCCAAAGTCACCGGGACAGATTTGCGTTGAGGGAGTCCGCTGACTACCACTATCACTCTCCATCTACCAACCTTGTTAAAGCCTTGACATGATAACTTCCACATATAAAGATTTCGATGGAGAATGGACTCGTTCTCGTGAAAGGGACGACAGTTCGTAATGTAGATTATTTTGGTGGGTAGCATAGTGTAAGGTACTTCTTGCTGACCATTGTGCTTTACTGGTAAACTCATACGAACTCATTCAACTGACTCCTGTAACTTGGAACTGGTTATTTTTAGAGAATCAAATAGAAAATACCGTGAACCACGTAGAACCGCTCAACTTCTGCACCCGTATTTTAACCTACGTTGACAAAATAATCGTAAATTCACTACTATGATTTCGGAGAGATGGGTATACTCTGCATAGTTTGAATCCCGTTTGACTGTCATCCCAAAGAGTTTATTTGACGTGAATTAATGCATTCTTTAAACGATGTATCTGGAACAATTGTGAAATAAAATTTGTAGAGCAAAAATAAGAAAGCTATAAAAGAATCGTTTCCTTTAGGGTATTGTAAGACACCAACTCACTCTATGAGCATTCCACCGCTGAATGAAGTGTCGAGCTAAATCGCTTACAATTTTGCCCGACAACCCAACGCCAACGTCGTGCCAGGGCATCCGTGGCACCTCGTTTCGGTCAATGTAGACTGCAAAGAGAAGTAAAGTTGAGCTTGATCAAATGCATTTTTCAGGTGTTGCTCAATGCTTCAGCACTATACACCCCACAGAGATTGCGTCAGTCTCCGACTGACTGACTAAAATGAGATTTTTGTGACAAAAGTTTCTATTTGGCACAACTCCTCAAATTCTAGGAAAGAAAAATAACTTAGCACCGGATTTTGGGTTTGACTGTTGATATGCCCTTTTGCGAGCAATAAGCTTGTGCGTACCTACATCCGGTTTCGTCACATCGCCAGGGTCTTTGAAAATCCAATTAATGTAGTCCAGCCCTGGAAAAAGGCAGTGTCCATCTTCCATTCCAGTTGAAGAGCTAAAGATACAAATGGATTATGCACACATTACCGCTAGGTTAATTATTGAAGGTTGACTCCGAGTATGGCAAGAGATGAGCCGAAAATTGCTATGGCGTTTAACATTGGAAACCCTTGGTCTAGAAAATCAAGTCTCACGGATTTGTAAACTCGACAACCCAATGTGCATAACCTAAGAAAGCTCTTCGATCTCCCACCTTCCTTAACAGCAAAAATACTCAGTCATTTAATTCGAGAATGTGGAGAGTAAGACAGCGAAGACTGTTCTCAAAAACCCACCTCTTTTAGTGTTCGTCTGTACTTTGTTTTAAAAAATAGTCGTTAAGGTGGAAAATTCGATAAGTGAAGGAGACTTACAAACTCCTATCCTCTTTTGAATTTTCTTCCTTGCCTAGACATGCACTGTAGCAGCTGGATTCCTTATCACCGGTGCTCAGAGCTGGCGGAGATCGCCTTTGGGAATCCTCACACTGCTGTGGGAAAAGTCTTGGCTGAAGAGTCGCAAAGTAGAATGAGCCTGGTATCAAATGCAAATAATTCTTTCGGCTGTCCTTTTGTTTGTATTAGTTCCTGGAGATCTCAACAATTCCAAATTCCTATTTGGGAATGTTAACATTACACAAGCCAATTTTTCAATTGAATACCGCATTGCTGCATACAGATCACCAACGCAAGTAGTTTCATAGATCGTGTTTTCGTGCTTAAAAATAATCTCAATTACTTCAGTTAAAATATTTTTTATTGAAGCAACGTAATTACATTGATTACTATGTAAACTATGGGATTGATGAACAAGAATGTGGCCCCATTTTTGCTCAGTAGTACTCCACGTAGTTTGTATGAATATATTTAAACAATATGAAAAAAGGAGTTACTTGTAATGGTCGCTCATTTAATGATTTAGACCGTTGGGGGGACGATGTTGTATCTGTTCGAAGGAGACGATACGGGTCTGCTAAGCTTCTAACCCTGTCTTTCAGGCACGTAGGTGCCGTTAGTTGGAGTGGTAGGAAAGCTGTAGACAGCGGCAGGCATGCCAAATCCGTTACCTAGCGTACAACAAAGAACTTGTGCCCAACTCGAAGGCTTAATAACTACAGAAAGAGAGAGCTTAGAACCATTAATACAATACCTTAATGGTTTCATTAGCATCTCACGGAGTCTTTTACTTCCGCGAAAATAAGGATGGTTTAATGGAAAAAAAACTTCTTAAAAGCCAACCCGGACTTGCTTATGAGACCGTGCATTACGTCTCAGCAAGCTACAACAATCAGTTCATAGGTAAGAAAAAAAGGCGAAAGTCAAAATTGTAAATTTTTGTGCAGGTATACATCGACTTAGAATCTCAGAAGCCTTCTCCACCCATAGCACAGGAGAACTGCACACAACATGTGCCAACGTATGCTTAGCAAAAAAGAGCTTCATTCCCTCTTGAAGGAGCTCGCGCTTCCATGATACAATCACTTCAACAGTTCATTGTGCAATTTGCCTGATTAGTCACTATCACGCAAAATCAAAACTCCAGCCTCAGATGTACTAAATCAGCCTCTTTAAACTGTTGCAAAGAGTTGGTGAATTTAAAATTTACCTCGTAGGTTAAATCATTTTGCAGCAGGAAGAATAAGATAGTTGGATAAGGACATTTTTTGTGTTTTTCTTCTTTTGCAGTGAGTGAAGTTAGTTAATCACTCAGAGAGTGTTTTGTTGATGAAAATGGTAGGCGTCTGCGTGTGACAAATTACGATTTTGGAGCAGATAGCGGCATAAAATCCCTTTTTTTGGTTGAAGACCACTCCAACTGTAGTATGAACTGCTGGACATTTTACCAAGATAGAATAGAAAGACGCACATAATGCAATTCTATATGCGATTCAAGCCTTACTTAGAATTGACTCCCTGCCTCCCCTTCATATCATCAAATAGGGGCTATCAATCTGGTACTTAGTACGATACAATCGGAACACATTACTTGTTTAACTCTTAGTTGTGATAAGGAGCCACCTTGAGTTCGAATATTTTTGATGAACTTACCTCCAGGTCATTCCAGCATCTTCGAGGCATTCTATACGTTGGTGTTACATATTCTGCTCATTTACCTATTTTTTGGGAAGTTTCGAGGCTCCGCCTTACTAATTGCTGAAGCAACTTGAGAAAGCTAATGTGCTACCTCATAATCCATTTATTTATGAGATGGGTAAGTACAAGCTGTATGAATAAATGGTGACTTAGAAGAGAAGGCGTTGACTGGGCTTCTCATTGTCACTGTCTATGATTGTGCGTAATTAATTACGAAGCTGCAAAAGCGTTGTTCAGCAATGAGTAAAAAAAACTAGAAGCATATTCTTACATCAAATTCAGAGCGGCGGATAGCTGCATCAAGTATTCTGGAATGGAGGGAAAGTTAAGCACTTCGATTTGATGTACTAGAACATCGACGATTGCTGCATAGATCAAGAACGTACGGATGATCAGGACGGTCCCAGCGCCCAAAACAGAGATCAATTCCACCTACGAAGGCCACTGATTGATCCACAATGACCAATTTTTCGTGATGAGACCAATTCCAAGTGCGATCTCGGATATGATTGGGATGTCGAATTACCTGTAAGTTCAAAAGATATCCATAAGTGAACTGCCTCCCAGATTTTTGACCCAGGAAGAAAACCTTATCTATGAATGAGGCCTTAAACATGCATATTATAGTAGACCTAGAGAGAACTATCTATCCTTGTAGTGTTCTACAAAGGCATTCGGAACTTACAAACGGATATGAACTTCATGGACGAGAATAAAACTAACTTACATGAATGTTAGTGTGCAAGGAAGTAAGCGTTTTCATGCAGTGGCGACTGTTGATGCTGAGGACGAATCTTACTTCATTGTAAATCAGAACGCAAATACGAACTCCTTGTTCCTATAATGGAATCACGATTTATCATTTATATGTTGAAACAATGATACACAGCATTCACCAAGAAATTCTAACGTATTAAAGTTAAAGTTTCAGACACGATGTACATCCATTCTGAGGTCAAAGTAGGAATGTTGATGGAGAATGACCATGAGCCATAATTACTAAAAAAATAGTTCTGTGATTCCACTTTGAAGGCTGCACAGACTTGTGTTTTATAAAACTATTTGCCTCCATTCTAACTACTCGCGCACAGCCAAATACCTCTCGATTCCACCATTACCTGTCTTTGTGTCGCCTAGGCAGGGATGTAACGACTCCTTCCTCTGTTCTTTTAGAGAAATTCCACAGCAGTCACATGCGGCACTTAAATGAAGGGTGACACCACTCCTACTCACTCGACTAAGGCCATTGACGCAACAGCGATCAACACTTAGTTTAAGAAGTCTCTGCATGCCAACGTTTCAACCATGTCTACCAATCAATTCTTGAATGGATGGAGTGGATGCTGGGAAGCCTTTCCTATGGCATCCCCAAACTTAGCCTAATACGTATCGGGAGTCATCCATACAGTTCCTCGATCGACAACTTATTTTGCCATTGCACGCCTTAATAATATTTAGCCTTCAAGATGGCACAGTACACACATGGACCTCTGAGCCGAAGCACGACTGAAGGCATGTTGTCCTTGATGTCGCGATGTCAGTTCAGCAACCTTAAACAAATTACTAACCGTGGCTTGTCACATTATTATCGATTATCACGAATGCTATCCTTTAAGATAGTAAAGGTGTCTCATTCCTGGCTATCCAAATTGAATGCAGCATGAGTAATAAGAGATAATGTGTACGAATTTGATGCGACAAAACCTAAAGAATTGTTTGATGACTTTGTTAGTGGGTGATAAAGTTAAAAGTGAGTGTCTTTTCCTCCGATGGATTGTTTGTTAGCAATATGAACACAATATCACAAAACTTATTCATACGGCCTTCCGCTTAAGCAGGGCATCCAGTCGCCAGTAATCATCAGAATAAGGTCGCTTAAGATGGATTTCAGGAGAGAGCCACCAGTCAGTTATAAAGATCTCGTGACGAGCTGCTTCCATCGCATCCGCCACTGATGCCATATATGAGGCACCATCGATGCCACTGCAGACAAAAAAATTGCTTAATTGTTGCGACCTCAAACTTTGCAGCATGCAAAACAAATGGGTGAAAAGGTCAGAAGAAATAGTGATTGCAGAGCTGAGCCCATGAACATACACAATAACTTGACCGCCGGAGCGAACGGGCGCAAAAGATCTGAATGGATTGACGACGGTGTAGGCCCACGCTTCGGGGGAAGATTGGACCAGATTTACCATTGCATCCCAGGCTGCCACCGTGTCGTAGCTCGTTGGAGTGAAGGTGAGTTGACTGTTTAAGTGCAAATCGGCATTGGGGAAGTGAAAACAATTTCACACTGCTATCGAGGCGCAAAATTTTCATTCTCGTGTTCATCACGAACACGAGGTCACGATGAAACTTTTGTTAAAAAATGGCAAGTACCAAGATCCGTATGATACACGCGATAAAGTACCAATAACTTCTACATAATTGGTTCTGAACTCAAATACTTCAGTATCACATTCCATAACTAATGTTGCAACTTGAATGTCTCGCCTTGAAGCTATTTATAAAGCATGTGCAATAAGCATTTACACTCACCCTTGGTATCCATTTCAAATAGGTTGGAGAATCGATTTTGATACGCTTCAACTAGTTTTTTTTCCGCCAGAGGAAAAGTCATTTCTACTGTTTGCTTAGTTTGAATTATAACTGGCAATCATACGACGTAGATACAGTCAAGCTAGCTGAAGAGGGGTATATTCTACTCGATACGGGTATTGGTAGCCTAGATCAAAGCATCAGACTCAAGCAAAATAAGTTTTCAAAAAACCATAGAAGTGGAGTCTTTGACTTTTGCCGTGACTGTACAAACTGAGCGGAACCCCTTCACTCACAGCACGAGATACTAATGATACTAGGTGACTTCATGAACTTAAAGCAGAATTCAAATTTGATCCTTACAGTGTTTAGTCCAACTACCAACAAATCAGGTAGCCTCAGTAGCAATTTGATAGGGGCGGAGGTAGAGCTAAGAAGAAGGCTGACCTATGCATGTTGCGTATTTGAAGGAGCTCGTATTTTCCGATGCGAACGATTTTGCGTTGAAAGTAGTGATCCATCAGAATGACCTTGCAGAAACGCCATCGATGATAACGCTTCCACAAATTGGTTGAGCCCAAACCGTCCTTTTCGTCTTTCTGTCCTCGCTTCCTACTTCCTTCTTCTCCATCCTCATCCTCTCCGTCCTCCCTTGCCATATTCCAGTTCTTAATCCCCTCAACGCTGTCAGCCTTATGGGGTTTCAGAACCACCAGATAAGTATCCTTCAGTATTAGCCATCTATAAAGAAGTTTACAATTCCTCCTGAAGCAAGCTGTTCAATTGAAATCAAGCTTGCCAATAGAAGAAGCAGCTCCGGCAAACCCTACATGATGGACTGAACTTAAATGGTTTGATACAATCATTGCAAAGCATTGACTTCAGTTCAAGAGAATCTAACTTAATTTTTTTCCCCAAATAGGCGCACACGTATTAACCACATTTAAATAGAAATGAAACGATAGTCAATTCGGACTCACTGGGAAAATGCGTGAATTCAAGAACTCAAGGGCCCTCTTATGTCATATCACCTGTTGTCCCTACTTGATAATTCTTTTTATACTTAAAAAGCGTCTCCGCTAAAACCTTAGACTGCACGGTAAGCTTAACGAGCCTTCGAAACCAAGTTATGCCTTCAATTAATAGGAGACGGAAAGAATTAGTCTAGATGTAGTTTTATTCAGCCCATTAGCAGAATGGTATTCAAGGCACAGGTGTCCTGTCTGGATAGGCTACAAAGGACCGTGGCCATTGAGCCTTTTGTGAAGTCGTGAGAAACGCCAGCAGAAGAGCAGAACATATAAGATTGACAAGGGCTGGGATGCTACAGGCGAGCACCAAAAAAGTGTCCTCTAGTGGAAGTGCAACTCGCAAAGGCTTTAGCATCTATACGTGGTCAAAAGCGGAACTAGCTAAGACCACAAACCGAACCCAATAAAATGCCAATCACTAAAGTGTGCATCGCAGAGAGAATTTACCATGGATAATCCTCAACGACACTACGTAGTGGCAACGGCAAGATGCTAATGCAAACAAGCAGTACAAATTGATTACAAGTCGTATTCTAATACTATTTTATGTGTGTTGGAAATGGTATCTGAGGCTTGGAGTTAAGGTAAATGCTTTTAAAAGCCTTGTAAATAGTTGAATGATGGACTAGGTTATGAGATCACATGTTCCACATGGCTTGGTGAGGTTTCCTCCTAGTAGCCATTCAGCCCTATGTTTATGTTGAGAAAATCTAACTTTTATTTTAAAGCATGCGGGATGAATAGGAATCAAGTTCCCGGAAAAAGTGGAGGAAACGGGTTTAATTGATCCGAAAAGGCCTTAACTACTAAAAGTGTAATGTAATATGCTTTCAAAAGTACCGTGAGGTCCAGACTGATATTAAAATCAACCCCGCCCTTTTGGGCATTGTGACTGAAATCACGATCATTGATTTGAAATCCCTCCCCAAATACCACACATAATAGAGTGATCCTTATGCTACAAAAGCACACGCTTTTACCATTGAACGCTCTGGTTGGTTGATGAAAGTTGCCATCATCTTTCAAAGCTATCACTTACCTTTTAGGCCCATACGCTCATTCCTTCGAAGTATCAACAATTTTAGCACGGAAAGGCTTATTACTACATTTTGTGGTTGCAATGGAAGGTATTAACGCGAAACGACTTTAATCCAAGCCTACCTTCTTTTCCAAAACTTTTCACCCTTATTTCCAGTTAGAGGGATTCGTCCTTTTGGCAGTACTTGAACCTTTCCCTCTTTGAATTTCGAGAGTCCCAGTTGGGTACAGAATGATAAAGGGGATATTTCAAAGAAACTTAGCTGAAATAGAGAAAATGCTTGGTGCTACGAGCTTCGTCTTCAATGGGCTCATGAAAACTACTCGTCCACGTCTAAGTAGACACAAGAAAATCTAAAGAGAGAACGTCTTTCACGAAGGAACATGGTTTGCTTAACAAGCATGATCAAAACCACACAGCAATTAATTGGTAAATTTGCCTTCAATCAGTAGCGAAATGGATGTTGCTTGGGTTCAGTTCATTGAGCATTCCGCATTATTCGTGCTTGTGTTCCATGCTGTAAGTCTATTTTGTGATCATAATTTAAATGCATATCTACTAGCGTGACCAAAATGTCTCCGTTGGAAGCAGCACAAATACTCAAGCGAACTTCAAACAAAAATAAACCCGCGTTACTTACCACACAATCAAGACGTTGGATTTCGTGGTGGTTAATCACGGTTTTTAAATAGGCTTCTATTTTTTCCTAGAGTTTTATTAGATAAAGTATAATATTTACATTTACCCCACAGCTCTCTTTGTCAATTTTTGGTCTTGGTTTCCTTGTGGAAATCGCATTATTTTGTGTGAATTTATCTCTAACATTTTTAAACATTAATAATCCTAAAATGCACACTTTATTCTTTTCATTCTAATCATAGACCAAGCAATCCGAATGGCTCGATTAAGTTCATGCAGCTCCTCCTGTGTCCGCACTATTTTCCAACTGTAGGGTCCGTAACGCATCTTGATCTCATATCTATAATACTATGTAGATCGATAAAAGCGATTGATTCACCTACCGCGAAGGTAGAGAGTTTTTGGTGTCAGAAGGATGTGTTTGTTGACTCAATTCATAACTGGATAGATCCTGAGAAAAAGTTTTTGGGAAGTGCGTCCAAATCAACTTCACTTCAACAGGCACACCGGGGTGAAAAGTATTCCCAACAGTGAAGACATCACCCTCTCCGAGAAAGGGCAAATCATGGTCTGAGAGCCAGAATATTGGAAGGTAATATTATGGTTACCCAAAAAATCATTCTCCTCATCTGAATAAGAGATATTTTTGATTTTGTCATCAGCATTTTGGAAGGCATCCACATCGAAATCCGAGAGGAAGTTCATTATTTGAGTGTCGTCGTCCATGGCCTACGTTCAAGTATGAATCAAAATCAAAGTACACTCGTAGCCAATAAGGATGGACGGGTGTATGACTACTACCATGCAAGCGGCTTAAAATACAAAACAGGTGCAACGTCAGCTATAAATCGAAACGAAGTATTGCATAAAGCAAAATAAATCGGTCATAAATAAGTGCTGCAGTACATTTTGGCTCGAGCAACACTTCTTATTGTTGTCACAACTCATGCGGTATTTAAAAGTACGTTGGTAATTCTACAGCGGAGAATGGTGGCACGAGATTGGCCGACCGGGCATACATAATAAGCGACTTCGATAGCGATAATAACCTTAAGCTATTTCAGAATAAAGTCGCTTTGTTAGGAAGCAGAGTTTGCTTAAAATGATCCAAAGTTATAGCGTTTTATCTTCAGACAAATGCTTATTTTGGGCAAAATGGACTAAGTCGTGGATTGCAGAACTTTGAAATGATGTTTCCTGCACAAATAATAAAATCCAAACTTTTGAATTAACAAAGTTCCCAAAAAAAACTTTGCACCTACAGAACCGGCGCACGACTCAGCGATAACAAATACAACTGCACGAACGATTTTGACAATCCCGGTACAGTTTATCAAAATACTCCAAGGTTGGTTCTATTAAACAAAAATATTTTGTTATTGCAATTATTCATTTGCAAGAAAAAGATGTACAAGACAATACAACCATAGAGTTTGACTTTCAGGTGCCGTATTTTAGCGAAGATACCTAAGCATGCTTTATTGCATTGTGTGTGGATTATATTCATTATTCCGAATGCGAAGACAGGACTGAAAAATAATAACTCACGACATAGTCTAGTCCCTACACTAAGCATACAACAGTGGTTATTTGACTATATCTGATCGGTGGCAAAAGTAACTTTATTTTTCTTTTGACGGTTTGGGCTGGTTTTCATGCCAACCCAAAGCCACACGTCTTCCCCTCCTCCCAGATTACAGATGTTTTTGCAGCCATACGTTTAAAGTTTTGAAACTTCTTCCTCTGTGATAGAAGGTAATTTGCATGATTGAATAATTGTACGCAGGCAGATATGGTAAAAAGGATGCTCTTGCCTGGTCCCAAGGTCAGCCCACAGAGCACGAGCACGATGGTTTCCGACATGAAGGCCTCCTATTACAAGTTCATTGTCAAAACATTACTGCAGTGTCTCCTGGAGGATCCCGAGGCTTCCCATAGGGCGGAAGAAGGCATAAGTGAGGTAGAACACATTTATATCGAAAACGGTAGGGCGAATGGGGCCTGAGCATTGTCCGAAGGTCAGTCCACGTGTGCTGAGGCCAGACAACTTCTAAAGTGATCGTCAAACGTCATGTGGTCATATAAACCATAAACAAAGCATTACACTGTTCTTCTCTTCTTCTGAGCGACATCCTCAGCACTCCTCTTGGTACACCTCCCGCGTCAGTCATCACAACATGTTCGGCACTACAAGAAAGCACCCACGAGCCAACTGCTCCAGTCGACAGATAGCGTGAGACAGAGAGACCCTACCTGGTCTCCTCGGCAGTTTCAACTGGATCTGGAGCTACGTTCAGTCTGACAACCTGATTCAGGGCCGCATGCACCTATTGAGCATCAATTGCTTCCAGGAATAGACGGTGTAACTCTGGCCTAAAACATATATGTTACAGGGGAAAAGGGGTGAGCCACTGTCCCGTATGTAAGGAGAACCATAGTGTCATTTCCGACACCTAAACACGGGGTTTGTACGGTAAATATCGGCACGAAACTTTCCCAGATGGTTCACGACGGTGTCTCTACAGTTGTTAATAGCTTGTCCGTGGAACGCAAGAATAAGGAGAAGCCAAATGTAGACGTCAGTCTTGATCCTTTCGTTTCGTGATGCAAATGCGTCTCGTCCACACCGTAGGCACATGCAACAAACGGTACGCGCTAGGATAAAAATCGTTAAAACATGTCGGGTTCGCTTTCCGCTGTCACCAGTGTAGCCTTCTGAGACTTTCCATAGGGTGGAAGAAGGCAGTAAGTGAGGCTGGATGCATATATTCCGAAGAGAACGAAGCATGGCCCAAAGGCTAGTCCACGAGTACAAGGGCAAGACAAAACCTATATTGGCCTCCAAACGTCAGGCGGTCACAGAAACAAAGCACTACACATCTATTTGCTTGCAAACCTTAGATAGTCGCAAGCGTCCCCTAATAATTCCACCTTGTTCGACTGCCTGAATACGTGGTGGTTACTTTGGCGTCTAAGTTGCTTCTGATTTGTGAATTGGTTATTAAGCCATGCCATAGGCCTCATCTCTTTTAGTGCTGCCCAAGCAACTGTAATTAGTCAGGCTTGTGTCTTCTTGTAGTCAGTAGGAAGTCATGGTTTACCTAATCAAAATAACATTTAAACAATTTCGGGTCTACGGATTTAGCAGCCTATATGTTCCTCAGGGAGAAAATGCACATGCACTGTAAGTGAAAAGATAGAAAGTCACCGTTTGGTTTGGTCCTGAGGTCAACAAAAGCGTTTGCATCAGTTAAATTTCAATCAAATCTCGATACTTAAAATAAAAATTGTGAGAAATCGAATAAAATTCCGTAATAGATAAGCTGATTCTTTAAATGAAGTCGCATTAACGTGGGCTAAACTAATGCATTTTGACTAAATTATATAGCTTTTTTCGTCAAGCACTTCTAAATTTTATTGTGGCAATATTTCAAACTCTAAATATTGACCAATCAGGATTGGGCTTCGTGGGCATTTCGATTCTTAACAGGCTCGGTTTTTGTTGGCGATTCTTGATATGTCTGACGAGTCCGAATGGATCAAGCTGTCAACAATCGACAAAATTGAGCATAAGGCATTTTTATATCTAAACCCCTATATATTTCTTAGCAATGGAAGGCGCGAATGGCAGGCTACGATGAAGCTATTAAATTGTTCCAAACACAGTCTTCAGAAAAAAGTGCTGTATTTGGGGACTATATTGGGCTATTGAAGAAAGTCGTTACTGATAGTAATGCGTTTGCTCAGGAGAAGGGTCTAGATGTGGTCCTGGCGTTTGTGGAAAATGCCTCCATCGCTCCTCGGTACACTTTTGCCATTGTTCTAGGCTTATTCCTTAGGGCTGCGTCCGATGTGTGTGCCGCTGTAGTAGGCAAATGTATGAATGCTTCCCGCCCAAAAACCAAGGAAAAGGGCATTGAGATTCTCCTTTATTATATTGAACTGGAAAAAACGGATGTTGTTATTGAGGAAGTACTCAAGGGTCTCTCGCTTAAGCAACCGAAGATTGTGGTGGGTTGCCTCCAGACTCTTAGGACAGCTCTGTCGTACGTCCTTTCACTGATTTGACTTACGTGAAATGAATAGACTTTTCGGATCAAAAATTATTTCTATAAAGCTAATCCTAAAGGATGCTTTGAGGTTGTTGGAAGACCGGGATCCAAATATTCGGAACGAAAGCAAGGAGTTAGTCGTGGAAATGTATCGATGGGCAGGAGCACCGATCAAAACCCAGTTGTCCAGTCTGAAACCTGTCCAGGTGCGTCTTCTTTTTCCTTGAAGTAGTCTTTTAGCTAACAGAACTTGAAAGCGAGTTTGCTAAATGTTCTGGACAAAAGCCGGTGCCTACTAGATATCTTAAAAGTCAAAGACCGAAAGATTTGCCCCAACAAAGTAATAATGCAGCTGCAACAGAAGATCCTGGTTTTAACGAACGTGAGGACGGAAATGACGTTGAATTGGACCCGTACGAGCTGGCTGATCCCGTCAACGTTCTCTCTAAATTGCCAAATGACTTCTTTGAGCAGATTGTAACTCCCGACATTTATTTGTACATGTTTTTTTAGGAAGCCAAAAAGTGGCAGGATCGTAAGGAGGCTCTAAGCCTGATCGAAAATCTCTCGGATACTATTCGCTTGGCACCGGGTGATTATGGAGAACTAATGAAGGCCCTCATAAAAGTAATTGCGAAGGACACTAACGCTATACTTGTTGGTCAAAGTGCCAAAGTTGTCACTCATATTGCTAATGGTTTGAGGAAAGATTTCCATCCCTATGCTTCTGAGACCGTCAAAGTTTGCCTGGAGAAGTTCAAAGAAAAGAAGCCGACCGTTCTCAATGCCATTCGGGGTGCTGCTGATTCTGCACTTAAAGCCGTGTGTACACTTGTCAAGTCATACTCCACTAGTTTTGGGTTATCAATATTGCTTGTTTCCTTTTCAGACCACTTTGGATGCTATTCAAGAGGATATAATTGCGGCCACATCAAATAAGGTTCCCAGTGTGCGTGCTGAGACTTGCCTTTACATGGGCCGTGCCTTTGCTAACATGACTATTACAACTCTAAACAAAAAATTATTGAAAGCGTTCATTGGACCACTGATCAAATGCTCCGCTGACACAACCATGGAAGTTCGCGAGGCCAGTTTTGCCGCTCTTGGCACGGCTATGTTTGTCGTAACAGAGAAGAACATTATGCCTTTCCTTGGTGATATTGACAGTATACGACTGAGTCGAATCAAGGAGTTTTATGAAAAAGTGGTTGAAGAGAGGAAAAAGGGTATATTTATTTGCTTAGCGCCTTCATTTCTGCTCCATTTTACGTTACCAGAATTGATTTTGATTTCACTGGTTTCCTATCATAGCTAGTATCTCTGGGAGTGGAAGCACCGAGGGTGGCGTTGTTGGGGCCTCCAAACCACAATTTAAGGTAGTCAAAGGGAAGTTGGGTTCTGCAGGCCCATCAGCTACGGCCAAGCCGACCACGGTTGTTGCTAGTGGAGCGAAATCAAAACCTCAGGTCGGTGCTAACGATCTACCCAAGGAACAGCTAATTCCTGATGAAGCTATTGAGTTGCAATTAACCGAGTAAGTGTCGTTCTTGCTCTTACTTGGAGGTCAGTGATCGAATTCCCTGAAAGTGGATTATTAGTTGTGGTCTCGCACTTTTTGATTGCCTTTTTGGGAAATCCCAAATAGATGCCACATTACCCTCCTGTGTCTATGCCTAGATTTTTTGGTGAGGCGCTGCTGACCGAGTTGGCTTCTGCTGTGTGGAAGGAGAGGCTTGCTGCCATGGAAGTGGCTCAAACGAAGATCTCTACTTCGGACTCATCACTCTCTTGCCAACTTGTTTGTCGATTGATGATGCGCAAACCAGGTCTCAAAGATAACAACTTTCAGGTAGTTACATTCATATTTTGACAACTTTTCTTGGACCAGCTTTCATACAGTGTACGCCAGGTGATTACTTTTTTCTGGAAGTGCATTGTATTTGATTTCGAGTATGTATTTTTGAATGGAACGGGTTTTGCAATAGAAGTTATTTTCTTACAGTGTTTCCAACCTGAACTAGGCTGTTTGCCGTCTTTGCATGTTCCACTGTATCATCTGTTCTCTTGCTCTTATCTATTATTTTGTAGTAAAGTTTTTTTCCCATCTTACACTTTTGCACGCAGGTTCTGCGAATGAAGGTGGAAGTGATAACTGATATTTTGTTGGCTCGAAAGCCCGTTGGTGAAGTATTGGTCGACCTGTTGTTGCCCGAACTTATTGAGAAAATTGGGGACTCGAAGGTCGGTGAGGCTGTGAAGCAGGCCTTTACTGCTCTTGCGGAGGCTACAACCTTCGAGATTGTTGGTACACAGGTATTAAATGCAGCCTTCCAGCAAAAGAGTCCCAAGAACCAGGTCGAAGCACTCAACTGGCTTGCTAGTGCCATTAAGGAGTTTGGTTTCAAGTAAGATCTCTGCATTTTTTTTACTTCTTGTAGTCATTAGGCCTGTTTCCACTTTTCAGTCTACCCACTCATTACTCGCATCCTCTCACCTCTTGATTGCGCTGAAAATAGCTACATTAGGCCCCGTTTCTGCTTGTTAGCCTTCTTTCATCGTAGTCATTTATTGTGGAAGCCTGTCATTGAGGTCCGTAAATGGGTTAGCGAAGTTTAACCTTTCTCATGTTACGTTTCCCCTCGATTAGAGCTATTCTTTTGCAAATTATACAGATGGGTCTGGAAATCGTTATCTGCAGCGAAATAACCACGGTTATTATAGGCCCCTCTTATTTCATGACTTCTCTTTTATATTTGAACTAATTAACGTGAAACCTGCTATGTTACGACTGTACCATACGTGCTCTGCGCAGACTGAATGGAAAACAGACAGTGGATTTCTTGAAGACGGGTCTGAGCGCAACCAACATGTATGTTCGTCAGTCCTGTATCCACCTCTCGGGCGTACTTTACATGTACATGGGCGCAACTTTGCGGACTCTCCTTGCGGACGAAAAGCCCGCAGTCATCGCGTTGATGGAAGAGGAGTGGACCAAGCTTGGCGACTCCAAGCCCCCTGCTCCCACGCGTGGTCTTCGAGTAGTCAAGATGGACAGTACTGGTGAAGGAGCAAATAACCATGTGGAGGCCAAGGAAGAGCTTGAACCGATACCAGAACCTGAAGAGCTTGTTGAGAGGGTTAACATCAGGTGCGTGTGTCGATGCAAGAATTTGCAGCAGCGCATTGTAGAGAGATGTATGTTCTGTCGTTTTAGTAGTTCGATTATTTGCGCTGCACGTGTCAATCATAGGGTTAGTGTATATTACATGAAACGTTTCTCCTTATAGGAGTCGAGGGTTTTTAAGGATTTACCTCTTCCAAATCCTTTGGTTTTTTAACAGTGTAATTCCCACGTCCAATTTTACTTCCCAACTTTGCACCCACTCTTTGGCACCATGAATTTCCGTACTTACTGTTCTTTTTCCCAAACTCACGGCAATGATTTATTTTTCGCTGTTTAGATTCTATGTGCTTATTGCCTGCTATCAAATATGTGGATCTTCATATACTTGTTTTTCTATAAATCGGCTCGTTGCATCATTAGGAGTAATGGCTTTGTTTAATCAACTTCAAAAGTAGCGGATCTGTCAAAGGCTGAAGTCGAATTATCGAAACAACTGCTATCAACTCAACACTACTCAGCTTTTTGCCTTTGTATCTATCAATTCATTACGGGGATATTTAGCTTTCCTTTTCTCACTATAGTGAAAAATTAAGTGGCGAGGTGCTGACTCTCCTTTCAAGCAAGAACTGGAAGGAGCGGAAGGAGGGTCTGAGTCAGATAGAGGAATTGCTGAAGGCCAATCCATTCATTGGTGGTGGTTACGAAATGCAAGAGCCGCTTGCTATCATTGCTAAAGTCTGCACTGACGTGAACAAGATATTGGGCAAGACCGCTCTTGGTCTGATGGAGGCGTTTGCGAAAGCTTTCTCAAAGACTGATGCCAAGAAACTTGTAAAGTGGGTTTATTCCCTTTTTCAATTAGGTTTGTCTTGTACTTTGCATTCATTCCTGTAATGACCTATAAAATCTCCGCAAAGGCTTTCTTTTAGTTTCAAAGTTTTGCGCCCTCAAACGACTGCTTTAGTCCTGTATTCATCGCGTTTCAAAATGTCTGGTGCTGCCTCTATGCCGTTTGTTCTTGTGATTGAAAGGACAAAGATTGCCAACGGATCTTATCGTATACACATCACCGTTGAAAGCATCAACACCTGCTCTTTCAAATACACGTGAAAGATAAACAGTTTGTTCAAATTTCCTTTCAGATGCGTCGAACCGTCCATTTTGGTTTGTTTCGGTGACTCCAAACCAGTTGTTCGCGAAGCTGCTGTTGCAGCCTTGAGCGCTTGGAAGGAGCGCTGTGGATTTATACCGATGACAGAGAATGACATGCTTTCGGAAGCTTTGAAGGTGCGTTTGATGTACTTCTGTGGTTGCGTATATTCTATGATCCCTGTTTGATGTCATTATATATGCTCCAATGTCCCCGTATTCTACTCTGCATTTGAGACTGTTATCTCACTATGCGGTATTATCGGGGCTACATTGATATTCGCTGAGTTGTTGAGGTGAATAACAACTAGAAACTGTTGTTCATGCGATGAAACTCAGACACCTGTCCTCGGGACGTTTGAATTATCAACTCAGATTGTTTTCCATGCATGTGTTAATTGAACTGTGGAGGTTTCTCAATTTACATTCGAATAGCAATGTTTAAAATGCATGCTGAGAAAAGTGACTGAAATAATGCACTTGAGTGGCTTTACACTTGTGAATACTGATGGATGACCTTGGAATATTTCGTGTAGGTTAAGCTTAGTCAGTTCATCCGAAAGCTTACATTGCTGTTTTTAATGTTTTCGCTCCAAGTTTAAACGCCTTCCCTCAAGAACTTGTCTCTTTTCAATTGCTGTCTTCATTAGGATCGTGCTCTTTCCCAAATGGCTTGACCTAATTAAATTGAATTTCATATTATTCAATATTATAAGGCTTTGAGCCCATAATGCGTGCCTCTATGTACAATCGGTTTCTCACATCTTTCAATAATTCTCCATAGTCAGCACGCTTTGGAATGCATTTTTCTCTTTGTGGTAGTAGGCAATTCACGACACCCTTAGTCACTCACCATGGTTGGATTTTCTGTAACTAAACTTTCATTCCTACTTTCTCATGATGCGCCTCTGATCTAGTTCACGTGATTGAGTAATTACTATGAAGAAGTGACTTCCCCGACTTCGCTAATACTTTTATTCAAATAGAAATGTTTTGCTTCTTTTTGTCCCTTTTGATTATAGGCGGAGAACCCCTTTTTGCGAGCAGAGCTGCTTGGATGGTTGACAACTGCACTGACCGGTTTACAACTAAGCGGAAAGGCGGCAAATGCATTAGGCCTCGCGCCAGACTTTGGGCTCAACCTCGCTCTCGCGGTCTACGCAGTATGCGAGGAACGCAATCCTGACGCACGTCAGCGCGCTCACAAAATTCTCCCTGTTCTTATCCGTTCTCTCGGCTATGATGTCATGCAGAAGGCGCTAAAACGCCTCAAGGCCACTTCCATGGATGCCATCACTCCCTTGCTAGAGAAGGCCAGAGAACAAGTGGCTGCCGAGGATGCCGCCAACCCTCCTCCGGAGGCTCCCAAGGCTATACGAGGTGGTGGAGGAAAAAAGGCGGCTCCGTCGCAGCCATCTGCCTCTGGAGAAGTGGCTTCTGAACCCGCCGCCCTCTCAGGTTTGCTTTCGCTCTTATTTTTGTACGCCTTGTCTTCTATTTAGTTACTCATCATAATCCTGAAGGGAAGTAGCTTTAATTGAGTTTGAAGTTTATGTTAGTTTTTATTTCATTTCTGCTTCCTTCAGTGGTTTTTACACTATTCCGTTTTCAAATTTTTTTAATACAAAGTGATCATTACGTTTCGAAGTCCAGTTTAATGGGATTCCGTAAGTTGCAGCTGTGTTAACATCTAACTCTCCTTTATAATTCTACATCCAGTTCTTCTCCATTTCCAGACAATACAACGACGCCTGATATGGACGAGGAGCCGTCGATGGCATCCACAGTAAAACCTGGAGGGAAGAAGGTGGCGGGCAAAAAGCCTGCCATGACTTCGAAGCGTGCGGCTGCTATCGAACAGGCCGAAGAGGCAGCGGCTGTTGTTCCTCTCCAAGTGAACAAACTCCGTGAAACTCGAATGCTTGACGAAAAGAAACGAAAAGTGAGCCTCGCTTCGGTTTCCATATCCCTTCGATAAATAATCATCATCTGGGTATGCGAGAATGCGCAGGAAATTGTTTGCGTTGGCTGCGGCGATAGTACTACGATTTCCTCAGTATACTTCTTTCGGCTTGCCGAGTTGTTGTTTTTGTCCCGTGTCTCTGTAATGGTGTATCCCTTAGTTATTTGAATGTCTGTGCGGAGCGCATCTTCATTTGAAGGCATTAAGGTGTGCAGATTTTCATTTTACGCATTTATTCGTTCGAAAGATTCTCTCTTTAGTCATCGTTTTGTTCACTAACGTTGGTTCATCATCAAAGATATTTTAACTCTATGTTTTTTTGTGGTCCAGCCCAGTTGTAGGACATCAGCAGCTTTGAGGCCATTAAATTGCCTTATATCTTGGTTGTTTTTGTTGCGGTAATTAAAAGGTAGGCAGATTTTGGTAAGCTACAGTATCGCCCAAGCTGGAATGACCACAGAAGTATCAGCCAGATGACATTTACGTCCAGATTTGAACTAGATCATCTAATTTTGATTTCGGTATATTCTTCTTATTGCCTTTTCGCGGATAGTCGTCACATATTCCTCCTTGCTAATGCTTTGGGTTTTTCCTGCAGTTGCTCAAGTGGGACTTTGACACGCCGTCCAAGGATCACGTGCAGCAACTGAATACGCTCTTCTTAGCCGCTGGTGCCTCACCAGATCTCCATTCTTCTCTCTTCCATACGGACTTTAAGCAACATATTAAGGCCGTAGAAATCCTCACTCGCCTGCTAGACGGCGCTTGGTCAGCCGTGGATGGCGAGGCTGCGACTCGAGCCAACCTTGATCTCATCCTCCGCTGGATGGTTCTGCGTTTCTTTGAAACTAGCCCCGCCTTCCTCTCTCGAGGTTCATTCTACGTTCTCCTCCTTCTTGCAAGCTATCTGTCAAGCAGGTGCATTTTCGTTCTTTTTCAGGACTGGAATACATTCATAAGGTGTTCTGTCGGATGTCAGACGCAGGACAGCAGTTGACGGAGTACGAGGCCTCTGCCTTTCTGCCCTACCTCGTGATGAAGGTGGGTGATTCAAAGGAGAGCATTCGGAAGGATGTGAGGGCTATTTTTCGGGTCATCACAAACATCTACCCACCTGAAAAACTATACCCCCATCTCGTCGGTGGTCTTAAATCCAAGGTCAATAAGGCCCGACAGGGTAAGTTAGATATGCACTGCACAATCCATTTGATAGTTATTTTTTGTTGAATATCAAGTATTTTACACCAATCCATGTGTTATTTTTTCCACGTAGTATAAATTCTAAGCGTTTACATTGCCAGTAGTGTAGCGATTCTGGTACATATTGGATTCAAAGCTTGTGTACACTTATGGCGTTTTCACAGAATGCTTGGAAGAGATTGGCAGCATGATTGAACATTTTGGTCTGAACGTCTGCCAGCCCTCGCCTGCGGCCTCACTGAAGGTTTTGGCTGCGCAAATCAGCGACCGTGATTCTGGCGTTCGCACTGCTGCTCTTAATGCTCTTGTTTGCGCTTACATCATCGTTGGCGAACCGCTCTGGAAAATGCTCGGACAGGTAAAAACTTTTTTGTGCTTTCGTATTGGCAATAATGTGGCTAGTAGTCCTTTGAATTTTGAGTTAAAATTGGTTCCTGTCCTCAATTTGCTAACCGTTTGAGTGACTTGAACGACGTGAATTTCCGATGGATATCCAAGCTACACAGTTTATTTTCGCTTTCCCATTTCTTATTAGATGCACCGTCGTCACCTTTTTTCCACCATTTTTCCTAACTGCCAGATACTGATAGTACATTCGAGGCTATTTGTGCGAGCATGATGTTTATCTGCATGTGTCTCGGACTCTTAATCTGTCTTAATTTCCAAATGTGGGGCTACCGAAAATGGGGCTACCTAACGTTTGAAGTAAATCTGTCATCACGGGATATGTGTTTGTTTAGTTGCCTGAAAAGGATAGATCAATGTTGGAGGAACGCATTAAGAGAACGAGCAGACCTGCCACTGCTGCCTCCACCGCAACGACCTCTAAACGTTCAGCTTCCGAACGGCCAGTCAATCGAAGGTGGGTTCCTGAAGGCTTACCGTATGCCACATACCTCGAATAACTATCAAACTCTGCATGTAGAGATACGCAAGCATATCCTTCAACTGGTGTCGCACAACACTCCCAGCAGCAGCAGCAGCAGCCATACGGAGTGGGTGGGCCACAGTCACTCCACGCGATCGCTTACGCTCGGGCGCAGCATATCCTTAGTGGGCTGGGCGATCTCAACCCTGAACTCCCACCCGCTCTACCGAGCCTTCTTCAATTCGACAGGGACATTAATGAGCTCTTTAAGCCTATCGAAATTCCCGAGCTCAAGTATGGTCAAATATTTGCATCTTATCGTTCGTAATATTCCTTTGAATGAATATTTGTGCATTTCGGTGGGTTCTCCGTTTGATTCATTCTACTAGTCTATATTTAATGCTATTTTTATTTCAAAGGCTACTTTGCATTGTTTTTTAGGTCATACACTCTATTTTGGTTGAGTAACATGAAACTTCCACTGTGTAAATAGACAACTTTTCACTTTTTTATGCTGCTGGTACATAACACTGTTTTACACTAGTTTTGTTACATTTTTCCGACAATTCAGAGGGAATTCGATGCTCCTTAAACAAAGGCAAATGGTTGAACATGCTTGTCCAACGATTGGAGAATCAGATAGAGGAATACTTCAGCATCTCGATAACTTTTTTCAATAAACTATTTACTCTGGTCCTGCTTGTTTCGAGGGCTCTAATCTCTAGACAGCATGAAAGCAAATTTGATTAGTTTGTAGGAAGCCTTTTTTCCCATATAAATCTGTCCACTCGCTCTCATCTACTAACTTCACTTTGTGTGCATTTAGTTGTTTTGTTTTTTTTAAATCGGGCGAGCAGTGTCTCTCTCCTCTTTTTTGCCATAGGTGCGATTTATTTTGTTTTTGGGGTGAACCGCATCAGCTTCTAATTTATCCAACTGTGCTTTTTATTTAATCTATAATCCCCTTTGGAGGTGCAACTGTAGCATAGCTTTCCGTTGCGTCATTTCTAATTGAGTAATGGGAGCCAATTCTAGTTCATTAAACCCTCAAGTAGCCCACTGTACGTCACAGCAAAAGCCATAAGTTTTCTTTTTCTGTGCGTGGGTTTCACTTTGCTTCCCCCCTTCTACCCAATTTGCGTTTTTCGAAAGCACTGCTAGTAAAACTGCTTTGAAACACGGAAGCTTATTAAGTACACTTTGGCATTTTGAAATTGATGTTTGCTAATCTGCCATATTTTTTACTGTTTCTGGTTATTTTGTCAAAGTTATCATCTCTGTTTATATTTAGCTTAACATATGTTGTTAATCAACTTAAGCTCACTTTTCTGCATTAGAACGCGAGACAAGCAGACCGTGCTAAATTGCCTCCTTCGAACCAGCCCCGATGCTGCTTCGGCTATAACCATGGTAGTCACCCAAATCTCTTCCAACGACCTCAACGTCTGCTGCTATGCCCTGAGCCAAATCGACACGCTATTACAGAGTATTAATTTGTGGCTTCTTTACGCCTTTTCCGTTGACCTTCAACCTTTGTGTACTCTTGGACTTTGTTCTTAGGTGACAAATGGCAGCTTCTAGTTGGGCATGTCAATCAAATCATCACTCTAATAACAATTCAATTGCGGCAGACAAACTCTCGTTTCTTTGATGACCCTACTATTCCTGAGGGCCATCTGTCTACCGTCCTTCGCTGTTTACTGGTCACCACAGAGTCGGTAGGTGGTGTTTGCTCCTCATTGCATCATAAATTTAAACAATTTCATTCTTTCGGCATATTCATTCCACTCTCGTTCTTTGCCCATTGTTGTTTGCCTTGGAGTTGTGTCTGTTTTTAGTGATACCCCTTAGTTTTACTTTTTGAAACCCTAAACTGTGCATTGGCCCAGAATTAAGGCTTTTTTTGATAGTCTAAGGCGGCAGTTCACCATCAATGAAGTTATCTTTCGTTGTATAGATTTTTAAGCGCCCGCTGCTGGCCCGAGAGGCCTCTCGAGAATCGTTGAAGGAGTTCCTTTTCGCTTCGCTTCATCTGATGGTGCACGAGAAGACCCCTGAGTTACCTGAGGGCAGTGGAATTGTCCGAGCCATCAACGCTATTACCTTGCGTGTCATTTTGGAGTCCAACAGCACTCGTGTTCTCGGGTCAGTTGCATACGAAATTAGCGTCAATGATATGCCGATCAAAATGGAACCCTTGAATCTGCAAGCGAAGAAACTGAAATAAATGAAACATTTTAGCAGTATCTTTTGACGTATTTGCATCCCTTCCAACATTTAACTAGTTAGCATGCATTATCCGAAGATTACCATGTTCACCTTTCCTACAGAGCGTGTAAGACTTGTGCTTTCACAGGAGTACCCTCTCTGCTCTGATTTGCAAAACATCACAACGATTTATTTGTTCTGTAATTTTGTTGAGGAGCAGTTCCATCTTTGCTCAAATTGGTAGTGTCTGGACTGGGGCAGATACGTGGCGAGTGCTAGTAGTGGGGAGGTCCTACTCGCCATCTCGTGCGGTATCATCACGACAGCATTTCTTTTTATGAAGCATAAACACCTATGTTTTTACTGAGTCAGTTGTTGATATCAATTTTTCGTTTTTGTTTGGTAGCAGCTATTCTTGGGCACTTCACTCTCTCCATAAAGGATTATTTTTTTCATTGTGCCATCACATTTTTGTTTAAACTATAATGAAACACCTGAAGAAACAGCTTTTATACCCCTTCTTTCTTAGGTCAGCTTGTGGAGTTGGTGTGCTGTTTTTCCTTCCACGCTCAGAGGTCTTCATAGTTCATAATTTGCACCATCGATTACATCAATGGTATACTGTTCTTCTCACATTGATTTTTTGATAAATTCTCGGTCCTCTCACAGAAGTACTTTAAGCCATTTTGCGCAAAGCACTTATTTGTTTCTGTCTGAATCCGTTTTACCCTCTCTTAGGCAGAAGACCTATTAAATATCGGGTTTTTTTCACAAATTTGTGGTAATCTTCAATAAACTAGTTTTTGTATGATCAAATTAATCATCTTTAACTGTTTTATTTGATTTCCTTCTCAGTGCCTTCATTCGGTTGCTGCACGAGAGTGTGAGCAGTTCCCACTTTAACAACAGATTCACTCAAGTTGTTCTTCGAAGTCTTTGGAAGATTACCAAAGCCCTACCGAGTACCGGTTAGTTGCTTGTCTTGCACTGCTATTGGGTTTGTACTTTTACCAGTGTTTTATTAGGGGATCTGTCATTGAGTGTGCAGAAAGTGTGGAAGGCTCCTTCACTGAAAATTTATTCTTTTACTAAAGCAAGTTTCAGTTGTCAATCGCGCTCACCTAACAACCCTATTGTTGCTACTTCAGCTAACAATTATTCGTTGGACCTTGTTCTTCTGGACTGCCACAACTTCCTCAAAGCCTTTCCATCGTCCTCCTGGAAGTCCCGAAAATCAGATTTGCCTCTCCGTACGATAAAAACGATGCTCCACTCCTTTTGCAGCATTCGAGGTCCTGCTGTCCTTAAGTTCGTCGATTTGATCCCAAATAAGGTATATGGTGCTCGATGCTCGTAGTAACCACCCTCAGTTTCATGCGCTCAAAATGCAAAAATGAGAATTGATGTCTGCTAGTGTCTCCAGTCTGCGAGGTAATCTTTGATGCTTCTAATCACTTTGCGGAATAAAGTCTTCACTTGGCACCAATTTAATTCGCTTACACTTCTCCAACCACTTATTAGCGTTGATGGTCACTTTTAGATGATTTACTCTGTCAAATTTTATTGGCGCATTGCTCAATGATCGAATGTTATGCAACTGCTTCCTGAGGGCATCTAGAGCATTTTAGAACAGTCAACTTCATAATATGCATTTTTTTTCTCTAATTCATATACTAGGATGAATCAGAACTGGAATCATATATGAAGAGGACTTTGAAGTCTCTAGCCAATGCAAATGGGGGCAAATTGCCACCGGCTCTCCAAACAAGCCAGAAGCAACTCATCTCTCCCAAGGTATATAACAAAACAGCAATCAATGGTTACGTTGTTGTGTTCCCTACGGCATAATCTGTGTTCGATTTATTCTGCTTTAATTCTAGTCGGCTGTTATAAGTCCAGAGACCCATGCGAAATTGACTTCGCTGTTTGCGAAGATCCTTTCTTCCAAAGATGAATCGGTTGGTTTTACTTTACTATTTCTACTATTTAAACAATAATTACACATGTTGCAACGCATATTTCGGATGCATTCTTGTTAATATAGTATATTGAAGAACTTTACGACATTACTGCGGCGTATCCAGATCTGGATCTGCAGCCCTACCTGGTTGATTCGACACCCTTCTTCCAGACATACGTCCATCAAGCTCTCTACAATGTGGGCCTCAGGCGTGCTCGCACAAACCCTAAACAGATCACAAATGGCGATGTTAATGGTGTCGTCGACAAGCAGGTAGGCTCCTCTACTCCTCTCGTCTTTTCTGTAAACTGACTTTGTTTTGTTTGATCTAGATGAGTGAATTCTTCTGAAGAATTGGCAGTAGTGCTATTACTTATTAGCGTAGTTTGATTTGTTGGTCTCTCTTTTCCGATATCAAGGTCATTAGTTTAGTGAAGTCGTTTTTCTCAAATCGATTCAGCGCTTCCTTGTCGCTTTTTGGCATTTGTGGGCCCACACTACCCAAGTTCCATCAAACCGAATAATGATGAGTCTTTTTGAAGACATTGCTTTAATCTCGTAACGTCCATATGAATTGGGCTGTGTGAAGGACTTTACGTTTCTTTATCTGTTGGGCTACGTTCCTTCGCCACACCGGAAGCGCCTCTCGTTTTTATCCTTTTCACCTCGGCAACGTGTCCAAAGCTTCTGGAATCTATGTTATGATCTTATATCTTATATCACTTCCTCCTTCAAGGGCTTTGCAAATGTAATGCGTGAGCGCCTATTCAAGGTGCTGCGTGGTGGAAATGGTGAAACCCTTGACGTTTTCGACAAACTGGTAGGTCCTTCAGCAGATGTTCACACCACCTTGAAGTTAATTATGTTATACCTTTGGATTTTTGTTTCACTTCTCCGTTGTATTGACGAGATCGTAGTAAATGAAATGTTCTGGACCAGTAGGTGGTGGGCTTGCGGAATCCTCCACCTTTTCCAGCATTTAAGCTGGCATCCGATATGGATTTGAAGACTGCATTAGTATAAATTTCGCCATCATTTGGCGCAGACTCTCTGGACGCAAATTCTGTGGGTTTTTTTCTTGACTACTTCGCTTGATTTGTAGCATGAACTCATGCTGGTACGCTTGAAAACATCTACACAAGATCAGTTTCATGTTCTCGAATGGGATCCCGGTTTGATTTGTTTGTATTCAACTCACATTTATTTGAGACATCTCAGCCATACGGCTCGTTTACTCTGTAGCCACCCCTCTGTACGGAGGAATTGGCTCAGCATCCGATCAATCCGAAGCTCTTCATGGACCGTCTGGCCACGCTGCGCAAAGAGCTGGGTCTAGAGTCTGGAGTTAGCGACAACAACAGTCAGGATCTGGGCGCAGAGTGTCGACTCTCCTCTGGCACCTATGGCATCGGAAACACAGTCATGGAATCCGCTGCGCAGGTACAATATAGTCGTTCTTTCGCAATATTCAAGTAATCCGTTAGCGTACTTTAGCATAGTCAAACCGTTCTCCTGCCTTTTATCCATGTTATCATCTGTTTCATGATATGGATTAGACCCAGCCTTACTAAATAGCCCTGTCTTCCGCTGATTCAGGATGAAACGCCAAGCAGGGGTATGGATGGATCCGATGCCGCAACCGCCAGTCCACCTGACGATCATCCTGCAGCTGGTGGTGGGATGTCCCAAAATGAGTTGATGGACATTCGACGACGTCTACAGATGATCAAAAACGCTCAGACGCGAGGGTGATTGGTGCCTTGCTTCCTATACTCTATCCCATCTTCACTACTTCGTTTCTCTCCCTGAAGCATGTGTACATATACAACTGACAGACATTTCCCATTCCCTTTACGTACTTTGGCAAGACAGAGACCGGTGTTTCGCTCAGTATGTTTAAAGGTTCGTCGATCATCTGTTTCCTGGCCTCTGTGTGAAATGTTTGTGTAATTTTATCATCTGGTGCCTGTGATAAACTGACGTCTAGGCCTCAATTCAAATTGACCTGGGTTGCTATCCTACGATTTGAGGCAACTTTGCGAACGACTTAAAATTCATTAAGCTAAAACGAGTGGCGAATATTCTTCAGCTTTTTGCATTCAGTCGGAACCTCATTTTTAATGGTGGTCAAAGTTTACGTACGAACCCTCCGGCATAGAAATCAGCTCTCACTTCCAATTTTATAAACAAGAGGCACTAGTTTCCCTATCCTCAACCATCAATATTTTGAAGACCTTTGTTTCTATCCTTCTTGGCTGGATAGAGTAAGATTTAGTGAGCCTAAGTCCGTTTCCTTAAAATTCCTTCACAAGTAGTTAGACTAGGAAACATTAGCTTCTCAATGCAAAGAAGAGTGCTTTTGGCTTCATTCGCCTATAAAAAGTAGCAAGTAGGGGTTGATCGACATTAGCGTGGTGCGTAGGAGGTTGTGGCCTAATGCATTATCAAATAGGCTGCTTCTTCAGTTCAAAATCCTCGCTGTAGCCACTAGAGGAAGACGGGGGCGGGGCGGAGGGTTTCTCGGCCTCCAGCTGGATAGTCGTGTGATGCCTCCCGACGACTCCTGGAAAGTCGCTCTCACTGGCCTCGTCCTCCTCTACGTCGTCGTCAGCATGATTGAAATCATGACTGTAGTACTTGGTCTTGTAAATAGACCAGAGCTTCTGTACCACTTCGCCGCAAATGGTGCTCCCTGAGTTGATAGCCATCATACGGAGGAGGAAGATTCCATCATGGCGCAAGAAGTGATGGCAGAACTTCTTTACCATAATGTTATCTTTGGGCGAACATAGGTCATTCAGCCGCAAATAGCGTTTCACAAAGTGGGTGCGCCCGCGCCGACGGGCCATGCGCAGTAGCCACATCGGGACGCTAGCGATAGTCACTACAGCGCCGAGTAGAAACCAGTACCAGAGGAAGATGTACACTCGCTCGTTGAGCATGTTAACGGGCAAAGCGCACTGGGCTGTCACGTACACCTGACCGGCCAATTGGCGAATGGGGACTACACAAAATCCTACGCGGGGGAAGTTCAGGGTTGCCTAAATAAATAAAAATAGGAAGATGTGAGATTTGCTCGAATCGTGTAGCCAGTATCAAAACTGCTGGTCTACAAAGTTAGGGTGACTGGCATTTTCGCTGAAGAGTTGTGCTCTTAATGTGTAAGCCGTGCTATTAATTTCTGGATTTTGCTAACACAACCTCCACAAGTGTCGTCGTGCATTTCTAACATGTTATTAATCTTGTTTAAAATGCACAAAGTGGAAAACTACCTGCCAATCCTTTCCATCGATTATATTTTTCGTCATCGTGACTCCGAGACTGTTGTGAGACTTGTGATCTAGTCCAATAAAGGACTCCAGAATGTAGATTTGACCCACCGAGTTGAGGATGTAGAGAGCCTTGATTATTAGGTAAGTTCCAAAAAGGCGATTGCCCAGACGTTTCCCGATGTAGAGGAGAGAACAAAATTTGAAGGCTTTTCGCCTCAATCGGGCAACTTTGCCAGTCCGAATTTCGCGATGCTGTGTGCGATAATTAGGCATACCTTATCAGGAAGCATCAGTCTTGACATTATAAACCGTCCTAGTACAAGTTATTGCTGACTTTCGGATCTTCACTGCCGATTGGGCCACTAGAGCAAGGTGGCTTCTTAATATTCCGATCACGCGTGATTCACTCGAGGAACGTTTCATTTGGGCACAAAGCAAAGCACAATAATACAGTTTTTAAACAGTTCAAAAACGAAGAAGACAATGATTTGCTAGAAGCAAAAGTTGTTGCCTTGAAAGCTCAAGGAACTACTTAAGTGAAAATGTTGATAACTCCTGGTGATGAGCCTTGTGATGAAAGCAAGGGTTAAAGAGATCCCCTGAGCACATCCACTACAGCTCGATGGAGTAATTAAATGAAATACTTTTCGAACTCTAGTGAATTTGAACAGTCGAAAAATCGCCCAGAGTGTAGTTACTGTGATACGATTCATGCTTCAAATTCGATTGTCAAAACTAAGCAATGCCAGTAACGCATCCAGGGCGGGTTCATTTGCCCTACTTTTCCGTTTAGGCTCTCCTAACACCAAGGTTAAAAAGAGGCACAACCCAATGCCCTTCTGCCAAGGATGGTTTACGAAGGGGATCCTTGTAAAAATTGCTGCTATATTCGTCGTGCGTAGCAAATGATTCTATGCAAACGAGGTTTAGGTGGTCTGCATCTCTCGCAAGGCTTGGTGGAATTTTCTGACTCATATAGTCACGGCTGTCACAGAATTCGATAAATTCGACCTTTACTTTCTCAGATTTATGGAAGTGACGTCATTGTAATGATAACCGACCCATCTGTAAAATGAAGAAAAATGTTTAAAGTGGTACCCTTGTGCAATGCCATTTAAGAACTCCACAGGTTTGATTAAATTGTGTAGTAAAGAAAAATACCATACGATCACTACTCTGCGGTCAAAGTATTGTTCACCAATTTCATTGTTCGGCATCACTTCTCTGAACCGTCAAATACTAGCAATACCAAAACCATTACGTCATAGCAGGGTAGGAATGTAGCAAAAACAGGGTTCAAATTCAGGTGGTGGCATTTTAAAAATGATACAATCAGACAAAGTCATTCCCCTTTTCCCCTTCGATAGAATGTGAGGACTTCGAATTTCTATCGTCCTCAGGCTGGCCGACTCCGTTTACTGTAGTGTATGGTAAGAGACGATTGGAGGTCTTGAGATCTTTGTTACGCCTATACCGTTCCCAAAGCACACCAACTACATCACCAGCCAGAATCTCCCCCGAGTTGGTAGCTATCATTCGCAGCAAGAAGTCTCCATCTTGACGAATAAATTTGGTAGCAAAGAGCCGCTCCTCCTCAGGGTCAACCTCATTAGTGCGCATACCGAGGTAACGCTCCACGTATCTGATCTTAGATTCACGCGACACCACGCGCACCACCCATGTGGCGAGGCTGGACAGCGTTAGAACACCGCCGCAGAGGATCCACCACCAGAGGAAGACGTAGATTCTCTCATTCAGCATGTTCACGGGAAGCGCACATTGAGCCGTGATAGCATTGTCTCTGGCACCCAGATTTTTCACCTTAACATAGCAGAAAGCCACTCGTGGAAAGACGAGGGTCGTCTGCCAATCCTTGCCCGCAAGGAGGTTGCATAGGACAACTAGACCGTAGGGTGCTTTGGTGATTTTAAAGCCCAGAAAGATCTGCATGAGGAAGACTTGGACCAAGGAGTTGGCGAGACAGAAGAGTTTGATGAGAAGGTAAGTTGGAACAACCAGAGTACTACGGTATTTAAACACTTGCCGAAGGAAGGTGTTGCTTCTGAGATGACTCAACCGCTTGGATAATAGTTGCGATTTACCCTCCTAGGCAGGATTCAGATTAAGGGTAGTATGCAAAACACCACAAGTTCGCAGCACGCACTCATGCAATAGCAAGCACAACTTATCACAGACCGACTTTGACAGGATCGTTCAATCGATATCTTGGAGATTAAACAAGAATCAGAAAGGAAAATTAAAAGAAATCGATCTGGGGTAGAACGGTAGCGCAACTCCATGAAACATCGGCTGTAATCACTAGGAGGGGAGTAAGTGCGTCAATCTGAGGGAAGCAAAAAGGGTGGAACTTGAAAGATGAATAAACCTACAGAGTGAATTTTTTAACCGGACTAAAATGCAATCGCTTCTTCAATTAATTTGTATCACCAAAGCAATCAAGACAACGCGGGCAAAATCAGATAGTGTCGACAGAATACGAAGGTGATACCTTGATGGCATACCGCTGAAAGGTAGTAAATGAGCCTTACAAACTACTAGAACGATAAAATGCTATCCTGTCTAACAATAGAGAGAGGAACAGAAAGTAAAGTATTTTATGACATCTAAATGAAGGTTAGTAAAAGAAAGCGTGCTCTTCAGCCACTTACATGATACAAGAGGCGTTCGATGGATTTTGCCAAGTTTTGCACCATTTCCTCCCGCTTGTCAGCTTTTGAATGACACGCCTCATTGGCCATTGAAATGAGGTGGTAAAGGTCCGTGCCGGTTTGGTTGTAGCAGATTATCTGCCATATAACTCGCGGAATGTAGAAAAGTATGCACTGCAGACCCAACACGAACGGTACCCACTGGTAGTACACTGCAGAGGTCAATCACCAAAAAACTTGGCTACTCACCCACTTTAGTAGATTACCTCATAATGAAAGGAATTTCACCGTCAAAAAGCATTTGTTTTAATTCAGGTACTCATATCAATCTTAAGGTTTCGCTCAAAGAACAGTAAGAGGGTTTTCTAAGGACCCTAATAGAATGCACTGTTGATATCCTCAGAATGAACGAAAAGCTAAGGTTTGCTAGACTGAAAGACAACGAGGCTGAAACATTTGGTTAGATTTTATTTACTGATCAACAACTTTTGGCATCCTCATATTGCTAATTTATGCACTATGGTGTTTGCGATTATACGATGGCATAGGCTTGACAATAGCGTTATTCTCGAAGAAACTGAGTTTTTAGCCTCGAAGCCGTCCACTAGTTAATATGCATGACGAAACTGATGCAAAACAACATAGTGCGGCATGAAAGCATATGACAAGGAGGCCGCTGGAAACGATTAGCCTAGAACTCGTCAATAGTATGTACTTTGAAGTCGTTTACACACGTGAGTCTGACGCAGTTCCAAACCAATTTCGAAATCGCCCCCCTCCAAAGGAGACATTTAAAGACTCAAGTGATGTCGATGGAATTCTGACTCTATGAGACCTCATATAAGCGACCGGCATAGGGCAACCGTTGTAATGAACACCTGATCGGGTGCCAACTGATTGCACCCCTATTCAGTCAATGTAATTCGATTCTTTAAAAAAACATTTTAGTAGAGACCGCAGAGATGACATAACTATTCATCCTTCCACATATTGTAACGATTTTTGATGGTTTTGACCAAATACGCACGAAACGGTTTGGGTGCACGCGAATTGGAAACTGCGTATCAGTAGCCCTAGAGTTCAACAAGCATACCAGAGAGCTGAACCCGACAGCACGTGAACTGCGCACATTCCAGCATTGGAACCAAGACTCAAGTATCGATTTAGCACTTGTAAAAAGGAGGAGTTGATACGAAACGCCATTGAAGCAGGCCTTATGCTGCTGCAAGCATTGTTAAATACGTAGATCCAACATTGTTTGCATAAACTTATACCAGCTTGTACCAATGATGCTTAAAAATGCTTGCTTCCATGGTTCAGGAGGAATATCACTGGTATCTATCTTCGAGCATATCCATAATATGCTCGCGCAGTTAAGTCAGCCGCAAAATTTATTTTACCTGAGCCAACTAAGATCACTTTATAGACCCTGTTTAGTTCGGTCCTTCAATTGATTTTTTGCTTACAGTAACGCAAATGCCTCATGAAATTGGGATCCTGTCCTCAGTATTAGGAGATTGCGTATCTGGAGTCGTGCGATAATTACTACAGAGTAAATGTGACCTATTTAACTACCAAGGGGAATGAATGTAGGTCCCACGGTCAGCGCCCAAATTACCCGTTGCATGACGCTAAGCTGAGATTGCATTAAAACTCTGCTAGTAACATGCAATGGAGAATGCGTTGACATTGCTGTATTGCGCCATTTACTGAGTATCCCACTTACTGTTATTAACGCAACTTTGAGATTTGAAAATGCTAGAAAATATCTGACAAAATGATCCAAAAAACTATTCTCGCTTAAGCAAAGGCTAGCTTCTATGAATTTAGGTTATTTAAACGAATATCTTTTAACAACACTAATAAGGGACATCTCACGGCGACAGCAGGTAAAACGGAATGCAGAATGCAACCCCAATAGACATTTCAATGCGTTCCAGCATATCCTTCGCTATGTTCAAACGAATGGCATCTGCTTCGATGGTCGAAGGCGTTGGCATGCGAAATGGTTAGTATAGCTTTTAGCGTTAGTAAGGATGGATGGACGATGGAAAAGTTTCTTCTGCATATAAAGTTCCAGAGATTTGAACAGTACTTAAAAGGTGATCACAAAACTTCACTTTTAACAACATTCAAAGCCCGTAAAAAGAATTAGAGTTGAATTTGGTTATGAAATAGCAATCAGATTGAACCAACAGAGCAGAAGTTGATCTTCACGCAAGACTAAGATCGGGTAGTATCCAATGGATTAACTCTCAAACATACTAATTACTCTAAGCTTAAAATCTTCGCACTGAGAACGATTTGGTTAACCTCCTTGATGAGAATTTCGGTGTAATTTGATGCATGAGAGTGATGTTCATTCATTAAATGTTTTGTGAAAAAATTAAGAAAAATAAGATGAAGACTCACATATTTTACGGCTTTCTAGTCTATTCCAATCATCTTCTGTTTCCGGGACGTCACTGGAGTAAGATATAGGAATGGTGCCTTGAACCCAGCAGTAGTTTTCCACATAGTCAAGGAGATTCTTCCCACCAACATCGGTGGAAATGTAACATGAGATTGGTTTTAGAATATACTGCTTCACAGTAACCACAGCAGTGCAGATGAGGAGTATTATGACAGTAAAGATGAAATTAAATCTGTCAGCAAAATCCTCCACACCCACATAGGTAGCCACTTGCATCTTGTTAGCGTAGTCCATAAAGAGTTGTTGAATCATTTTAAGGTCAAAAACTAAAAATTGCAAGAGGATTGAATCAGGAACTTTCGCAAGCCGAGTAGACTGCTAAAGCAAGTAACGCGTGAGCCTTGACGGTCAAACAGCGCTCAAAAGGAACATCGTTCACAGGGTGAAGCGAAACGTTAAGCAGCGGACGCGATTGCTCGAAGAGTTTGCTGACTGACCAATTGCCGAGCTCGGCAGCGAATTTGCAAGCTGATTGGTCGATAAAACCGAACAATAATTGGACGGTGTTTGTTTATTTTGTATCTGCTTTCCTACGCTTTGGATGGCTCCAGGACGGTCCGGTGTAAGCAATCTGGGGATTTTAGTAATGCAATAATGCCCACTCACCTACACTCGTCTTCATAAGTTGCCTTTGGGACACTACTTTCAAAATATTGATGCGAGCTACCTTTATTAACTGCTTTTGTTAAGTTTGTAGTCATGGTTATAAGTGTTTCTGCACCTTTATTTAACTGCATTATTTATTCTCTTATCAGAGGCGTCGTTACGGTATTTGTATATAGTTTGTGGAATCGGATTTGCAGTATACAATCTTTTTTTTATTGGTCACTACTTCATCACTTATCAAATGCATTCTATTGGCCGAAAGTCTATGGCATCTGGCTTACTATCTGCCGTTATTCATTAAATCCCTTGCAGTCAAGCGTCAAGCGGTCAGTAAAGCGGACTTTCAGACTTGCTGAAGATCCCAGCTTTCTTAACCTCTGCTTTGGAAAACAATCAACATAAAATGTACCTTTTTGAAGGGCAAAACCTTCTTTTGAAATTAAAATGTAGACCGTCGCAAGATCCATCGAGGGTTATTCATCACAAACGATGTGTAGACGAGTACCACTTTGGGCGTGTCTGAGACTCGTTCTCTAATCAAATTACTTATCTCCTTGCTTATTCAAGCGGCGAAGCGCTGAAATACAGAATGCGTTTGCGTAACCATAAGCTGTGGCAAAAAGCATTGCCAGTAAAGTATTTCAATCCTGCCCAATGTGTGATAAATTGTCTTGGATGCTAGCGTCGAACTGAATAAAGTGCAACAATTTTTATGGGAAAAATTATTTTAATTCTCATTAGTCCTCATGAAGTTCGCTCATTCTCATGTTATCTGTTAAAACTCATATTAATTTGGGAATGTCGATAGTAATTACGAAGCCGTCCTCGTACACCAGATACAGCGTCAATGGTCCGATTCTCTTCCAAAACACGCCTTGTAAAACTTTTTTAAAAAAAAAACATTGAATCGAGGCCCAAATGTTCTGGTATGGGGTTGTGGTACGGATTTTAGGGAGTGGTTTGGTGGTCTAGACAGCTATGTTTGTGGTACGCTGACACACTCCGT